GACTATATTTTCTTTATTAGGTTCTTTATTCAGCGAAGAACAAGCTTAAAAGTCAGATTGGACTAAATTGTGCCCTAGAATATCAAGCTGAGCGTAAATCCAAACTACATACATATATCCCCAATATTGTAAAGATCAAACTTGAAAGAGCGATAAGACTGAGTTATCATTCTGAACAAATCAAGGCGAGCTTAAATCAGAGTCCATCCATAGCATAGAAATCGTTTGGAAACAATGAAAACTAACTGAGATCTGAATGATTTTCATACTGGATTTCTTGTCCTGGTTCAACTTAAGATAATATATTTACTATACAAACACATAAACGAAAGCTGTTATATGCATTTTCAAGGATTACTGTATGGTTCACGGCGAAAGTCTGTGGTGGCGGCTAAACGACGATTATTTTGCCGCAGTTTGATATTTTTCAGTGTCGCATCATGCAGCGATGCTTTTAATGAGACACAAAATTTCTTGTTGGATGGATCTACAATTCAAATTCCAAAGTTGTACAGTACTCACCATGTGCAGCCAACAGAACAACAAATGTCAGAGTGAACAGCAAACGAATCATTTTTGAGGCTTCTATCTTGTGCTGAAGTTGAACTCTTCGTGCTACACCGAACACGTACAGCCACGCCAAATTTATGCAAAGTATGGTCACTAAGGGCCTTTAAAAGGTAACAAACAAACATAAAAGGTCGGGGGGGGGGAAGGGGGTGTATACCACCCCTGTGTTCCCAGTCCACAAATCATTTCATTTAATGTTATTGGTGTCATTACATTACTTTGCGGGATTTAGTTACGTCGCTGAATAGGAACACAAAGTGTGTCATACACCTGGTTATCATAGTCAGAATTGGAATGATGATTGCCCATCTTTAAAAATTAAAGGAGTTCCACAGAAGTGATCCGCGAACTGTACACATGGTTGTAATTCATGGACCCCCAGTTCATGCCTTATAAATTTGTAATCGATAACAACGCATTAGCGTGTCATTCGCGTGTCAATTTGCAATAATACCCAGTGTTTGAATTAAAGCGAGCTTACTAATTTCGGCCATAAACAATTCTGAACTGAAATAACTGAAAAGAAAGTATATGGAGGCAATGGAAGCGGAGATAATTTTGATGTTCAAGCACCAAGAACGTAAGACTCATATCTTTTCGCCAACGTGTGACATCTGTAATTACACAGGGTAACATAATCCTTTACTGCCTTGCATTTGAAAGCACAACTCACAATAAACTACGTATGTACTTATTGACTTAGTGTGAAAGCCGGAAAGTGTAATATTTGGTAATAATATTATCGAATAGTCCACCAAACCGAATGGCTCGCTATTGAATGGCTCACCAAACTGAATGGCTCACTTTCAAATTGAATGACTCATTATCGAATGGTCCACCAAATTGAATGGCTCATTATTGAATGATTCACTTCACTATCGAATGACCCACTGCGAATTGAATGCCGGGCCGAACGCGAGGAGCCTGGTTTATACTCGGCGCCAGTCTATCGCAGGCGAGCTTTTTTTTAAATTTGGCGGTGTCACAATGTTTAGGGTATTTCCGTGTTTTGTGTATTCCCGTACCTAAAACTCTTGTGTTTTCGGTTTCCCCTCAGGGACTGGGGCAAGTAACATGGCATCCTCTTTTGAATTAGTCGTGGGCCAAAAATAGTTTCTTGCAGTCGTCAGAAAATTGTCATCCAAAGTTAATTCTCGCACTTGAGGTTGTGGTTGGCGAAGAAAAGCGTTCATTTTGTTTTGAAGCATTGGAATGAAGTTAAGTTTATTGATCGTGATCCTCACTGGTACACGCGCAGGGTCAAAGAGGAAATTCTCATAAGACTTCAACATAACAACATCGAAAGGGACAGTAGAATGGAAATTCCTGAAGCATGGATGCCCACGATCAAAATACACATGAACCGGAGAGCCGTACGACAGTGCACCGCCGAGGACACAACTCAGCCAAGAAAAAAGAGGATTGGTAGTAGGCTAAAGCTTTCGCAAATAACTTCAATTGCAATGTTCGCTGACCATCCCGGAAATCTGGCAAGCGTTAGAGAAATAGAAACGCTCCCGAGTTTACGGAGATGTCACTTCCCATCCTAGGCAATCGGGAATATCTTCGATTTTTTCATTCGTCAGAAACTCTGGGACAATCAAGAAACTGTGAAATCCCCAATCGTCTATGAAAACCAAGCTCAACGAACATTGTTCGCCTCAGTAATAGAATAAAACGAAAGGGGAATGAAAGTCAATATGATAATTCATTCATTAAAAAAAATAGAACCGTTTACATATATAAAAAAACAAATTAAATAATAAGAAGGGTTTATTTCATTTACCGCAAAACCCTGGCCAAAAAGCACGATATGAAAAATCAAAATCACGTACATTGAAAGATAAAACATTAACAAAATAAACATTTCTTGTTTTTGAAAATATAGTGATTATTGACATAAATAAATAAAGCTGACATCAGCGCATTTAAAATACGAAAAATGATTTTATGTAATATTTATCGATTTGGTAATTAACTCCTCGAGCACTTCCGTGCTTTGGAAGGTTTAAAAGACTGCACGGTATTTAGAGGGTGTGTTGGATTCAGAGATACTTAGTTTTTCACCATTCGATATTTCAATTCTTGAATAAATAAAACACATTTGGACACTTGTAGATGTAATCTGTATATTGGAAATTGATTTCTATTCATTCGTTCAATTGTTGAGTTCATTAATAGTATAAGCTTATGACCACATATGGAGGTCTTCTACGTTTCAGGACCCTGTGCGTCTTGAACAAGCTCTGCCAAAACGAAGAGTCTATTTTCCAGTTCTATAACTGCAGAATCAGTGATAAAAACAAACAGGGCTAAGCTCTAGTAAAAACTCTTTCTTCTTTTCAGAATTGGCTATGTCAAATGGAGCCATGTCAATGATTGGTAGCGCCTCCTTATCAACTGTGTTGATCTCTAAAATTGTCTCATGCCACTCATCGTTTAGTTCCTGTTGAATATGATTTGAACAAACCTTGAATTAGTGATGTTAAGTCAATAGATTAGTAAATTCATAGGCCAATCGATAGATCAATCATTCTATCAATTGGTTGGTCAGTTAGTGATTCAATCAGTTAGGCGGTCGGTCAAATAGTCACACAGTCACATTAGTCCAGAATTATTTCGTCAGTCAGACAGTCAGCCAGCTAGTCAAAGAGTCATTAAAAAGTTCATAGATTTATTCAGTCAATGAATACGTCAGTCAATAAGTCAGTCAGTCAGTCATTAGCTCAGTCATTAGGTCAGTCATATAATTTTTCGGTCATTCAGAGTTTTCCTTTGTTTCACGCTCGCGACAAGACGACTAACATCTTTATTTCGTAAGGGGAATATAAAAAACTTGAGGATGAGAGACGAAATCCAAATAGATGGCTGTTGTCGAAAATCCTTTCTAAAATATTGTACGTATTGTTTGTTTTTACCTTGCATCCATTCTTTAGGACAACAGGCTTAGTTCGGTCATTACCCGTAAGCTCCATTTCATTTACACCTTGCAGCTTAATTGTTCGACCTCCGTCATCGTCCCAGGCGCGTGAGTTATAACAAAGATAGGTAATTTTCTGCGACACACGCCTGCTTAGAAGTCTCAAGAATCTCATTTGGACTGGAACCATGCTGTAACCCATCTGAAATTATAGAAGAAATCCGACTGTGAAGATCCTTGTCAGGGTTTTCAATAAAAACCAGTTACGGGCGGTCTACCACTGACCGTAGCACCTCTCACCGTCGTCAGTTTAGCCTGTAAAGAGGCTCTGGTGTTTGGGTTTCGCCTTACAGCACAGCCGCTGATGATACCATCATTAGCCACTCATAGAAAAAGTGATTAAAACCCTCTTCCCCGATAAACTATTTGGAGTTTTTCAAAAGACTATAAACACCACCAACAAAATCATTGACCTTATACTTACAAGTTCTAAGTCGCTAGTTGCTTCGCTTATCCACTGGAATGGTTTTGCATCCGGGGCAGTAATCTGCAATGAAATTGTACTTGATAATTTCAAGCCCCCCAAAAAAAGTGTCCAGAAGCAAAGCTAGAATTTCTTAAGGGGAGGAGGGTGTGGTCATAGTAACGAACCTCAGCACGGCGAAAAAAAAACTGTCAAGTGCAGTTTTTAGGACTAAAAGCGATTTATGCTGTAAGGATTATTCGGATCCACGTACTTAGTGCAATCCTTCATAATAAGGTTTGTATTTTGTCGACTTAACGAAAATATTAACCACTAAGTGTGCAGGGATGGTTATAGGTCACCCAAAGACCTCTCTCCTCCCAGAGCTAAACCCCTGATGATATGTTGGCTTACGAAGAGTCTTTTGAGTCAAGTGGCCATTTATCGCCATCTCTTCCCCCTTCCGGATGCAATGTTTGTCCAACGCAGCTTATCTATACCCCGCTTCATTTATACTCTACACCCCGGGTAGCAAAGCGGACAACGTGTTTTGCCCGAGAACACAACACAATGACCCAGCCGGAAATTGCACCCAAAACTTCGGAAGCGGAGTCCGCACCACAGCCCCTGGGCCACCTCGCTTCCCAAGAACAAGAAGAACAAATAATTACACCAGACCTGTTTGTTCTTTGGATAAACACAGGAAGCTCCTCGTTCAAAGTCGCAGTAAACATATTCTGCATCACTGGAGCATCCTTCGTTGGGATCTATCCAGTACTCACCTGAAGAGAAATTGAAAATAAAAATGAAAATAAAGGAAAGGAAAGAAAAAAGAAAAGGAATGATTCTTGTCACTTCTGTCTCTGAGCAGGATTTGATTCATGTCTTACATGTATTGCCAGAGCTGAAGGGTGGTCCTCTCAGAAATGGATAGTCTTTATTATCAATGTAATTAAGGATTTTCCCCATAACAACGGTTCGCTCTCAAAGAAACCATTAGCAATGCTCACACGGACTGTAAGATAATTTCCATATGTGTGTTCGTATCTACTCACCACTGGGATAATCAGGATGTTCAAGGTTAAGTTCCCTACAAGATCGCGCAGGATGTGTCCTGGTGCCATTTTGTGATTTATAGAAATAAATAACACTGCTGAGGCCCCTAAGATAATATTCTGTAGTACCAGCATGTTCCTGCTAAAAAAGAAAATCAACAACAACATCAACAGTATCACCAACAACTGTGACAGCTGCACTAAAACAAAAGCTTAAAAATAGATGAATCAACGTCTGCATGAACCAATGAACACATTTAGCACAAGATTATGTTCTTAACCCTTTGACTCCAAGGAGTGACTAACATCTAATTCCTCCACACAATTTCACTTCTGAATCAAACATTATGGTCACAAAAAAAGATGAAATGATCATCAACGAAACAAAGTCTTGATTGTTTTCAAGCAAACTCTCTTCATCAGCACTTTAGGAAATGTATGGAGAACGGTACAGAGCAAACGCTTACTGATGTTAGGATGCGGGGAGAATTTGTTTCACAATGAAGAAGTCCTTATGTTGGTGATCATTCCCTATATTCTCAAGATCTTAATGTGTGACTCAGGGGTGATAATGTAAGGAGAACTAAGATGCGAGTCACTCGTAAGGATTAAAGGGTTAATGTGTCCATAATTTGTGTTTGTAATACTCATTAACTGCTGCAGCTACAGTGCTTCATGATAGACCCTACCTCTTGTGTTGAGTACAGTCTAAATCCTGGACCTTTATTTTGTTGGGTCTGATGTGAGTGCGTCTAAAAGTAACCAAAATATATTGAATGTAAACAAGGATAAAAAATAAAAGAGAAGAAACAGGATAACATCATTATTTCTTACCCAACCAAGAGGTATTTTCCCAGGAAGTCCCTGCATGAAAGAAAATCAAATCGAGGTAAGTCACCTGATCGTAAAGTGCGATCGTGGAGTGTGATCGTGTAGTGTGATCGTACCAGAGAGAGAAGTCCAAAAAATTGCTGTTGCCGGTGAAAAAGACTGAAATTTCAACAACATGGGCAGAAATTGTCACTTGAATATTCCTTTCGTTTCCTGCCCCTTAAGGTAAATCGGCAAGAAAAAGGCACGAGCTGGTTGACTTAGGATTATCTGATTCTTTTTGCATCATATGTATGAGCAAAGTGTAAATTGCAATTCTTCGAGCTTCGACATTATTATTTTTTCCGTTGTAATTCAATTTTGGCAGTCGAAGGCTATTCCTGATTCGGGGCACGCATGATGCGTCTTCACTAATTACAAGCGGGCGAAAACACGTTAAGGATGGTTAAGGCTGATATGTACAGCAAGATGAACAATAGATGGAATAAATTGCGTCAAACCTGTTCTCCTGGTGGGCCAGGTGGTCCGGGGGGTCCCTAGGGTGAAATAGTAAAATAACATGGACATTTATGTTGCTCCCAAACACAGGGCGTGAAATTGTGCCTGATGCAGGCGCCAATGCGACTAAATATTTTACTATGGCGACCAAATCCTGAGAATTAGTCACCAAATTGGCGATAACAATGCTTCATCATAACCTTACATAGAGATATAGTAACTAAAAAAGATTTGCAAAGATAAATCCGCGGCAAACTTCCTCGTTAAGTTTGTTTCCAAAACGCAGCACATGCATATCGATCGATAACTAGACGCCATCTTGGATTTAGATGAGCTTGTAGGTTGTATATCATACATCCTAGTGTCCACTTTGTGGCAAGTTAACTATCTTTTTCCTAACTTAATTCTGAAGGGTCTATCTATGACGCTGACAGCGTTAAAGAAAGGTTTTGTTTGTCTTAAAACAGGGCGACCAAATTTTTCTTAATTGAAAATTTAGGAGCCAAGTGGCAATCAGAAAAAAAAATTAATTTCACGCCCTGAAACATATTGGCCTGCGGTTTTATCTCGCGCATGCGCGTAGGAACCAGTAAACACATGATAATCTCAGCTTGATGGTTTCGGAGCGATGGTTTGTTCGTTATACTAAATAAAACACAAATATAGATCAGGCAGAGGCTTGAAATATCTTCATAAGGCTAACATTAAATAACCTTGTTTTCGTTGCTTCTGAAATCTTGAGACAACGCGAACGACAACAACAACGATGAATAACAACAACAACATCATCATCATAGGATAAAGGCTCAATAACAATGCTATGATCAAAAAATAAATACATTGCGAAGAAAGCGTCACAGTAACAGCACGACCCATTTACTTACTTGAAGCCCTTCGGATCCCTGGGAGGGAAAAAAGTCAAGAATGTCACAGAGTTATTAGGCGTTAAACTGAAAGTTAGCTACACCTTATGAAAATGTTCCTAAGTCCCTACCAAGTGAGTTTCTAGCTACAAAATTATTCCTTTTACAGGTACGTTAAAAATGTGTTTCAACAATTTTTTTTTCTATTGCGTATTCTATCTATCATCAAAATATATTGTATCTTACTGAATGCGTTAAAGTATAAGTTCGAGTGAAAAAACCACTGGGCAACTAGCCGTCTTCGATGCATACTGGTTGCATCTAAAGTGTTATAGATGATTTTGTAATAGCGCCCTCTTGTGAAGAGTAGAGCGTCTTACGCTTACAGAGTCACGGAGGATAAATATGCATATCGATCAACAAGGAGGTACGGGTGGACTATAAGAACTATTTCTATAAGATTGCTGCGGTACATCGATGAAATTAATGATGAATCCCGCGTGTCGTCCAACATTGAATACATCTTACCACTCTTCCTCTGGGACCCTAAGAAAAGCAAGCACAAAAACGAAAAACAAATCAGTCTAGAATTAGATTGTTAAATGATTAATTAAGTAACCAAAGGAAATTATCATTCAAACTAACTGGACACTTGGGTGTCGTTTGGAGTTACTTTAGCAGCTTGGGGAAGAATAATTGGAAATCTAATGATAGTTTTCGGGCCTAGAAAGAAATTTGTTAATTATTCCTGAAAGGTTAGCTTGAAATAGAGTCTTAGGATATTTGTACTTACAGGACTTCCATGTTCTCCTTGAGGTCCGACAACCCCCTTAAATTAATGAAAGTAGGTTTTCATTGACATTTACTGACAAGATTGAGGTAAATTTCCTCACACAGTACAAGTAACTTCAATGACGAGCTTTGTAGCAAAATTGAAAGCAATGAATGCAATGATAAATGTTGACAATTCACAATTATGATCGTTACAAAACTTTAATAACTGAGCTAAAGAAGATCACAACTGCTTTACTAGCACGATGGTTACTGGAGATCTTGCCCATCCGCCACTGTCTATACATATGGTAGTTTTCTACAACCTCCCACCCCCTCCCCTCCGAGTGTGGCCTTATGTCCAATTAGAACAGCTCATTATGCCAAGGTACTAAGACTAATAATAGCTCTACGATCACACAATCTCTGTCTCCTGTGATGCTTCAATGTTTACGTGGGAACGAACGAAAAAAGCACAGCGCGCGAGAAAAACGACGAGAGGGAGGGGGGAGGATTTAAGACTTTTCCTCCTCGCTGCTCCTTTCGAGATCTCCTCCAATTTTCCCTTGCCCCCTCGTTCGTTCGTCTCCACCAACCGAGAACCTGAAAGAAGCTAGTGATTGCTTGCTTGGTTGCCGATTAAATCATACCACGAACTTGCAGCTCTGAAACGCAAACTGATCGTAACACCCACCTCGGCTCCAGTGAAGCCTTGTGGCCCAGGTGGTCCTTGAGGTCCCATAACGCCCTACAACAAAAATAACTCGTGTACAAACTATTTTTTTCCCTTTCAATTTTTCACGTCCATCTTTGCCATTAGCAGAAGCAAAATCGACTAATAACAATACAAGCTACAAATCAATCGATGTGGGTACAACTCTGAGTAAAGTTGTTGGTGATAATACGTCAGATATAGTCATCAACTCAAATGTTGGATCGTTTAGACTTCTTTTACACAACTTGATTCTCCAGTAAGCGGGATTCGTGCCATGTATGAAGTAAGCAATGATCCAGGTCACCATTAAGATCTCTGTAGCTCAGTGGTAGAGGATCGGAGTACGAATCGATTTCCCGTGGGTGATTCTCTGTGCCACGCTCGTGACAAGATGAAAAGCGTCTGTTTTAAACTAACTTTTCAACTGATTTATAAAGAAAAAAGCACTTTACGATGTCAAAGATATCAAAGTACAGCAGGGATAGGCTAGGCTGCCCCTTCTTTGAAAGAAATTTTCAGATGACCAAGTTAAGTTTATCTTTGAATTGAAATCTGTGATATTCTTACCTTTGGTCCTAGTGGTCCAATACCAGCATTACGCCCTGGTTCGCCTTCTTCACCCTGATGCGTAATAAAGAGAAATATCATAATGAAAATGCCATCATTATCGTCGCTACAAATGTCGTGCTTTCACTCAAGAATACAACTATTCCTAAAAGTACTGTAGTAAGGCATTAACGGTAAACTTAATATACGATTAATGAAATAGTTCCTCGAATCTAAATCTCCCATTAGACAATAATCACAAAATAAGAAAATGCCTTACTTGTTTTGGCTTGGTGTTTTGTTTTGGCTCTGTGTCTACACAGAGGACCAACACTTTCAATACTTACTACGGCGTCATTCAAGTTAACTTTTTACACTCTAACATCAGTATACATAGTCTCCTTTTCTTTTCTATATATTTCCAAAGGGACTGACAAGGAGAATTGAATTTCTTAAACAATCAATAGCTTTTTAAAGTATGTGATCATTTCTTTTATTCTCGCGACCTTAATGTTTGATCCAGGGGTGATAATGTAAAGACAAATTAGATGCTAGTCACTCTTGAGGGGTCAAAGGGTGATAGGTTTTTCCTTACTTCCTCTCCAGGCGGACCAGGCATTCCTAGGGAACCTGGAAATCCTGGATCACCCTGAAATGAAATGACATATGTATAAACTTCGTCTATTTTCTTGAATTTAACCTAATTTGGTGAAGGGGGATAAATGATTCAACAAACAACGAAAGCAAAATAATTTGCACATCAGAAAAGGTTCAGATTGTACCACATCTTTTAAAAATATCGCGACATAGATTTAAAAAAAGGTGCTTTGTAATAACTTCAGAATGGCTCCGTCCGAGTTTGTGAAGAACGAGTGACAGCTTGTCTAATTTAATAAAAAAAAAAAAAAACTTGGGAAAAATTTGCCAAGGATTCCTGAACAGCTGACTAATCAATAGATGTCAATGAGGCGAAACCTAGGTGAATATTATTCCTTGTGACGGGCTTCTTTAAAAGCTTTGAGCAACATTATGTGTAGCATTAAAATTGTAAAATAAAACATTCACTGACAAAAAAGAGAACAGTGATCGATGCAGCAGTTCAATAACAACAAAGAGGAAAAGGAAAATGCAGGTAAGGGATAAATAATTACCGTCTCTCCCTCTAATCCACTGTCTCCCTCGTCACCGGCCTCTCCATGTATTCCCTAAGGAACAGACAGGGTACATGAAATGTTTGAATTCCTTTCAATATTATAATAGAGATTAATAAGCTAATTATGGCTGTATATTTTCTGTTGATAGTCCTCACAAGTTAGTTATCATGGTAACTGAAAAGGAATCAAGACAAACCAACAACAGCAAAAAGAAACAAAAAAAACAAAAACGCAAAAACAGCAGGGACAGAAACAACTAAAAAAAAATAGAAAGTGTTGCATAACAAACACCAACCTCCGCTCCAGGTATTCCTATCGGTCCCGTGCTTCCATTCGCGCCAATATCTCCCTACAGAAGAAAAATTTCAAACAGAGCTAATCAGGTCTAATAAAGACTCCTTTCTCACAAACAGAGCGGTGATTTAATTGCCCATCAAGACTAATTCGCAATTATTTTATATGCATACTGATTACACTCTGAAGTTAGTCTGTCCCCTACGCGTTACTCACCGTCTCTCCCTGAACTCCCCTTTCCCCTTTCTCCCCAGACTCTCCCATAAAACCAATCATTCCTTGCTGCCCAGGCTTCCCGAGTCTTCCACGTTCCCCTTCGTCTCCCTGGAAAATGTAAACAAAAGATGATCAAACGAAAAGGCAGTTGGAAGATTAGGTTAGTTTGGTTGGAGTTCCTTACTTTTTCTCCAGGCTCTCCATCTTGTCCCGGCTCACCGTCTTGTCCACGGATCCCCTTGGAGATGAATAAAATGCTTCTAATTTCAATTATCGTAAGCAAGTCACATAAAGGTTTAGGACTGTTGTGATTGGTTGAACGGCAAACAAAGCATGCTGCTGTAGAATAAAAGATTCATCTAGGTACTACAGGAGGCCTCTTCAGTGCAGTGCGCAGGAAATCCCACCGCCAACGGATGCTTTCGACCTTGAAGTTTCGAACTTATTTCAAACTTCCGTATCATGAAACAAATTCATGATTTTTATGGAAAGAACGACAGTAGCGGCGAAATGAAATGTTGGAATTGGACAGGAAAGTTGGGAACACAAGACAATAGTGTATTTCAGACATAAAAAACGCGTTAATTCGGTGTGATTCCAAAACTCCTTCCCAAGAGAAATCTGTAACCTAAGAACAAAAGATTTAGGGTTTTCATGCGCGGTTCTTACTGCATATAAGGTTGGAGTATTTTTGTTTTCTCGTATGCTTTCTTTAGTATTCCTGAGAGCAGGTACCAATAGAGTACAGAAAGTGATCCCGAACTGCTTCGCCCTCGCTTCATTTTACTCTGTGATTGGTTTAGAAAAACACGCCACTCTTTACGAAACGAAAAACTAAAAACCAATTCCAACTAGGTCTCTTGTGTTTTCCTGCACTTCAAACAGGTTGCCTGAAGAGTTCTCATTCTAATGTCACCTTTTTTCTGACTGGTAATTGTTAATACTTTGCTTTCGGTTTTTCGAAACTCAATCGAAAACTGCTTCATTGATTACTTTGTTTACTTGTTTGATTACTTACAGGTTGTCCATCGATACCAGGGGATCCTTCGTCCCCGGCTGGCCCAGGAAATCCCTGAAAGTTAGACAAGAAAAAGACCTCCCTGAACATGAAACATGAGAACTCCAGGTTACAATTCCGTGGCAGACACCTAACTAAATAATGGCTTGAGTTATCTGGTGCTTCAATCATTTCATTCGCTAAAGGAGTAGTAAGCTACGAAGGTTTACTTACCAGAAATCCAGGCTCACCAAGTGCTCCGGGTCTACCATCAGTCCCACGATCTCCCTGGAAAAAGAGTGTCCAAGATTGGTGGATAACTTCGGCTGTCTCCCAACGACATGCAGTTCGTTTTCAGTCACGCATGAACCTTTTTTAGTGATTTGGTTCAACTTATACATGCGCGTGTTTTCCTAATTAAGTATTCAGCATACACGTGGTATTTGTCTCGCAAAAAAACTGCTTCAAGCGTCCTCCTAAGTCCTTCTTGATCAATTCCTGGGCAAAGTTGGGTTACACGTACTGGTAATTGTTCAACAATTGTTTCCTAAAAAAAGTTTCAGCGCTTCCGTTTTCTGCTGATTTCAAAGTGTTTCCCATAGACTTTCTAAAGAGAAGGTATCGGTTGCCATGAACAGGTAACATACCAACTATATTTGAAATTGCAGGTCACTATGAATGTTTTTTAACTCACCACTTCTCCATCTGCTCCTGGTGATCCGGGACGTCCTGCGAAACCGGGTATTCCCTATAAGGTGTTTTTGAAACAAGCACTTAACGCAGAGTGTGACAAGTCACAGAACGAAAATAGTGAAACACGAAACTCGAAAAAATACGTTGATATCTGCGTAGGTGCAACATAGAACTCTTACAAAATTGTTCTTATAGCGCACGAGTTGATGTCAATTTCAAGATGTAAATGTTACTATTCCGGTTAAATCAAACACTCTAGCAGGCGTGGCACCATTTACATAAAAAAAAAATTATTCAATATATTTCCTTTTTACACCCATTGCCGTACAAATCTCAAGCAATTTACAATTCTCTACCAAGGTCCTAAAATTTGGAACTCTCTTCCTGTTTCAGTCACTCGTTCGTCAAACCTTAGTTTTAAGACGAAAATGCAAGAGTTTTTAACCAAATAATCACTGAATTGGCCTAGCCGCACATTCGCAGCACTTTTTCTTTTATTAATGTAGGTGGGGTGGCTCTATCATATGCCCGGTGGCTTCCTGGGTCTCCTCCCCTAGCGATAACCGCTGTAAATAAATTTTTTGAATTGTGTAAATAAGGCAAATAAAAGATGATGATACTAATCGTATTACCTCCCTTCCTTGGTGTCCCTTCGGTCCAGGTTCTCCTGGTGGTCCAATTTGTCCCTACCGACAAAACATAAAAATGGTAACTGATGATTTCGTTAAACGAGTGATGAAAACTAGCATTTTACTCAGCATTATATCTTACGCTCCTTATTGAGCAGTCAAGTCGGATGATTAAGCTAAGGATGGGTTAATCTCAGACAATGGAGGCGGGACCTGAATGCCAATTTTAGTTTTATTTCTTTTCACCAGGTTGCAGGGGGGAGAGTGGGGGACTTTTCCTTTTGGCTGGATTCCGAATTCTCTCAGGTATGATTCTACATAAATTACTTTTTTTTAAACGCGTAGCGTTTCTTTGTTTTTGGTTGATGCTTTTCTTAATTTTAGGTGAAGTGTCAACTTCTGGTGGAAAGGGCATTGGTAGGTGCCACAACGAACTGGTCTCAATAGCCCATGCGCTCAAGTTAATGTCTTTGTCCCTCGTAACTAAGGTAATGATGACATCGGTGTATCAGATGATAAATTACCATCTGTCCTTGTTTGCCTGATAAACCATTCTCGCCACTTGCTCCAAATATACCCTGATAAGATTAAAACAGAGAGGAAACATTTTAGCAAACAGTCTCGTTCACTTTCACATAAAACTCAATCAAACGTCAAGTACCTGAAGCCCTGGCAGTCCAGGTTTTCCTGCTCGTCCAGGAGGTCCCTGGGCACCCTGGGATAAACAACAAATTGATTTAAAACAAATGAATTGACTCTTTTGCGTCCAATCCCTTTACAATTCCTCTTTCTTTCTTGTCTCTTTCTTTCAGAACTTATCATTTAGATTCAGTTTCCTCTTTTTAAATGGCGAAGGTACACTTAACAAACCTTTGTGCCAGGAATGCCCGGTCTACCATCTTTTCCTGGTCTACCTGCAGGACCCTGGAAAAAAAGAATTCATTTTAATTTTCTATTTATTTAACTATCAAATATTCAACAAAACGATACACATTCATTACAATATTGTTAAAAAACGAAACAAAACTTAAAAACAGCAAACGAGAACGATTCAAAAACAGGAATAACAATCAGGTGAGTTGGTTTAACCGTTTCATTCCAAGGCGAGACTAAAAATGACATTTTTTTAACAACTCCATATCATCTTTAAGCATTTAAGATAATAAGAGAAAAGAAATAAAACAGGGGATAACGATTGATTTAACACAAAACTCTCACAGCTAAAAAATCTTACCAAAGAAAAAACAAACAAAGAAAATGAACATTTTGCTTGCAGCGAAGTAAACCAAGCTAAGTTAAGTTTCAAAGAGCAAAAGCCATACCTCTCTTCCGTGAGGACCTGGACGGCCTGGATTGCCTGGTGTACCTCTTAAACCCTAGATAAGAGGAATAGAACGCTCTGTTACAACACACCACGTGGCATAATTCATAACAATGATTTAGCTATCAAGTTGGTACAAAGTGGTACTCACTACAGCTCCAGGACGTCCTTCATTACCAGGTTCGCCTTCAGACCCGATGGAACCCTGCAATTTTAGACACAACTTGAGTATTTAACACGATTAGGTATTTATATTTGTAGGTGAGTGCACTTCGTAAGAGCAAACGTTAGTATGGTGTTGAGCGTGTTTAAAATCCAATTAATAGGATTTTTCTAAACTCTGTTACGGCTTTTTTGCTGACAAGCGAGAGTACTTGGTAAGAGTTATTGTTAGAGTGGTGTAGTACGTGTTTACAATCTGTTCAATATTTCTGCTCGTGCGTGACTCTCCTAAACACACTACGTGGAGAAACATAAGTAAAACTGAGGAATACCCGATGACCTTCCCCACTAAAATATCCCCTAATTTTCGAGTCTCGCATTTCTCAAAGAAAACTCCTTTTTGAAACATTTACCTACTAAGATGGAGGAGCGTTTTGCTAGATTTTTCTCATCAAGGGTAACTAGAAAACGCGGAAAAGAAGTCTAACCACAAGTTATCAGCGTCGTTTTTATTTGTTCATTTTTCGCGCTGCGTTGTTTGCAAACGCTTTTCTCCTCTTCGCAGCCAAAAAACATATATGATTGTTGGATGATGGTAATTGATTGTTCTCGAGACACTTTGAATACGAGGACAAGTATCAGGACATATTTTCGAGCTGATTGAGGCTAATGTACATATGCACGACATAGACGAATACTAAACAGAATATTCACCCTGATTATACAAATGTCATTTGTTTGCAACTGCTAAATAAAGCTAAATTGTTTGAGTCTTCTTGATTCAGTGTGCGTTACAAAATAGTTCTCACGATCAAGATCACGAACAGTGGAGATATTTGGTGAGCGAACCGTAATTTTATGAAGCCTAAAGTATATCAAAACAGAACATACATCGCTAGTCAATAATTCACATTTACCAATTCTCCAGCTGCTCCTTTGGTTCCCAGGTCTCCAATTTCGCCTTTCCCTCCCTTGGTAAAAGAAAATCATGGATAAATTTGATATCATGTTTCAAATAATTATGAGAGACGAGCCTAATCAATTTAGAGTTACATCCGTGGTTTTTATTATTCGGTTGGTTCAAAATAATTGTAATGCCACCGAACGTTATGACTAATCATTCTGCTAATTCTTATCAATTACCAAAATAACGTTTTCAGTCATGTGCTAGGCGGCTATGTAAATCTCTAGAATAAACAGAACTGCTTACAAAGAAAAGTGTTGAGATCCATGAGTACTTCGGCAGACTAACATGGCCGCCATGTCGTTGATTACCTGATCAATACGGCTACCGTGACGTCACGTCAAAAACAAATTAAGAAAGAAAACTGTCAATGTTACCTGCCAGTCAACTTACAGACTTTGTGATCAATGTTGGCAAAGACCTCATACTATTATAGACGTAATGTTTGTCCGGTATTTATATTTATGATCAGTGATTTGGCCCACACAGACCGAACACAAACCTAATCAGGGGAAGAATTCTCAAATGGACTTACCTTATCTCCAAGTCCTCCTTTTTGTCCCGCAGGACCTTGTGGTCCTAAGGGACCCTGTGGAAAAACAATCACGAACTTTTCAGTAATTTAAATGCGAGGCACGTTTTTCATGTGATCTTTACTATCTCCAAACATACAATAACAAACAAACAAAAGGACCAACAAAAAACAAAAAAACCAAACGAAGTTACATATAGTTACCTAATTATTGAAACAGGCTGAGACAATTCTCGAAAACATGAAATGAGATCAGTGTTAGCACTGGTTAAGTACACAGTGCCATAGTATATTATTCTTTACATGTAGATCCGAAAAAGAAATAACGTTTTACAAGAGGGGATAATCGTTAGTAAAAACATAAAATGATGAGCAAAATCATTGTAAACATGAGTCGCTTTGAAACTATCGCACGAAATGTCAAGAAAAATTAAGGAATATAAAGTATAAAGGTCGCTATTGAGAACAGTCAAGAACCAATTGATTCTTTTAAGAAGAGCATCAGGTGTAAGGGTGACGTTTCCATTTATTTGATGGCGCTTCGTATCACTCGTTCGTTTGCTTACATGATCCATTAAGAATAAGCCCGACTCGCTGTCAAACGGAAACTTAGAAGATAAGATAGTAAGGCATAGAAAACTAATATCATAATGAAGCTAAAAGGTCAACCTACAGGTCCTCCCATCAATCCCGGAATTCCTGGCGTTCCTGGTGGGCCTTTCAAGCCCTAAAATAAAGTAAAAAACAGAAATTAGAATTTAAAATGACTGTGAAAAATTTGCTACGGAGTGTCGAAAGTAATCTGAGGTTCTACTGGTTTTGCTTTGTTTCGCTCAGTGATTGGCCGAGAAAACTCGAAACTAAATGAAAACTAAACCAATTGCGGCTTGGTCGCTCGCGTTTTACATTTTTAATGGTTTTACTCCATGTTTCCATTGGCTCCTTGATCTAGTAAAATTCTGAAACCTTCAGATTGACGCCAAAAGGAAAGAACAGGGATCCAAGATCAACTTTTGTAAGTGACCATTTGCCAACTTAAATAAAGAAATAGTAATTGCAAATCCATAGTTACCTCTGAACCTCTCTTTCCACTTCGACCTGGTATTCCGTTTACACCATCATTTCCCTGTGATAAAAAAAGAATCTTAGTAAATTTGTTGATACTGTGACTATGTCAATAATTTTATGGTAGTTTTTCAAGTTGTAGTTCACCGTTTTGCTCCTCTTTTTGGTCCGTCACTTTCTCCTGCGGCCAACGTGGCGGGAAATATGAAGCAAATCCTGTGTTCTAATGGGAAACTCGCTTGGGATTGCCCGCTTTGATCCCACAGATTCTTCGTACTTATAAGTGCAACTTTTCCCGTTACACGAAGAAGCTATTCGGAACATTTTACAACAAGGGAATTGCAAGCCATTCTTGATGACAGTAAGAGATAAACAAGACGATCAAGTTTACAGCGATTCGGTGGCGTAATCTCCCTATTGATGAAGCCTAATCCGTCAATATGGCGTCGACGAGATCATCTAAATATCATTAAATACATGCAACTCTTTTTGACTCTTATCAAAGTGCCATACATGAACTTCATCCTAAAAGATCCATACCAACGTACGTAACCGGCATGGCAATCACTCACTTTTGCTCCACGTGGACCTGGCATTCCAAGTGATCCAGGTCTTCCGTCCTCTCCCTGTCAAAATTAAAAACGGTCTCTGAACTGAGTCCTGGCGCCGAGCTAAAATTGCTAAGCTCGGTGAGCCTAGTGAGCTTGATGAGCTCGGTGAGGTAAAACTTGAATGTGGGGAGACATAATATGCTGTAAAAAAACAGAGCTAAACGCAAAGAAATTATTCTTGCCTTACGTACCACAAGAGATGAAGAGGACGGTTCTTAATAGAGCGCACTTCAAATGATGATAAATAGAATGTTATTATAAAAAAGGACGAAATATTTCCCAGAGTAAGTTTGATTATTACACTGTCCAATTATAAAAGTAACATGTGCACTGTTTGATTATTTTTCAAAAAAGCCGGCTTAAAACTGAACACATTCTCAATGAATCGAGTCAATCGCACTGCGCTGAGAGACAATTAGGTTGCGAAGATCACCAGTCCAAAATGAGTGCAATAAAAAAAAGATATTTACATGATTAAATACATAATAAAATCGCTATGTCAGAAGTAAGTGAACTTCACTGAGAAAGTTGAGTAGCTTACCGGGGCACCAGACTGACCATCATCACCAGGCAAGCCAGGATTCCCTGCAATTCCCTGTAACAAAATGAGAAATTACGCCAAAAGTCCATAAAAAAGGGTTGAGAGGTCCCCTTGTCCTTTTAGTTAGGTACAATCCTTAATTGACACCTCTATAAGAATGTTGAAAACAATTTGTGACACAAAACAGACTTTAGCAATGTTAAAGGAAGGTAAGGGAAATGATCACAACTTCATAAGCTCTTGATTTTCTGACCAAATTCTCCTCGTCTCCATCACACCAGGAATGTAGAGAGAGTAGTGTGGAGAATGTGCATACTACCGCTGAGGGTATAAGGAGATGAAAATTATTTTCAAACCTTTTCTCCTTTCGATCCTCTTTTTCCAGAAAACCCACGTAACCCCGGCCAACCCTGAAAAGAAAAAAAGTTCCGGTACTTACCAATCGCTTCTGCTGACAGAACTGGTTTACTTTTTAACGTTTTTCAGAGGTGAATAAGCGCGCTATGCTATCGATACAGCTAAGGGAGTGTAACCTGCGCTTGCCCTAAGACTTTCACGCCAAATAAAATAAAAAATAAATCAATGGTTCAACGCCCTACCATTTATTTTTTATGTGGGGCAGGAAAGCAGGGTAATATAACTCAATTGTTGCGTCACATATTTCACGAATTTTATGTAAGTTCTGATTCTGCGCGCGACTAAAATGTAGATAACCAAACATCTACTTACAGGTGAGCCTGAATTTCCATTTCGACCTCGAGATCCACGTTGTCCTGCCCCGCCCTTAAAAATAGAAACAAAGAATATGTTAATGAAAAAGAAACAAAGATAAATATATGAGAAAGTCATAGTTTTCCTCACACGTTTGATCTCAGATAATGCCTTTTCACTCGTTGTGAATACTTACAGGTTGAATGGTTTATAAGCGAATAGATTAACTCAAGGATAAAAAGAGAGGTTTTAGTAACAATACATGTTGCTTTGGCTTCACATATGCTGATTCACAGTTTTAATTTTCCAAAGAATAAACTGCTCACATAAAGCAATACATTCTAATGGATGCACATATTAGCTTTACCGGAGCTCCATCTTCGCCATTACTTCCAGCTTTGCCAACTTTTCCAGGTGGGCCCTAACCAAAAATACCCAAAAAGGAAATGTCAGTAAAATAATAGAGGAATAATTTACTACTTTATAATTTACTTTCAAGACTTACCTGGGGTCCAGGCAGCCCAGGTTTACCAACTGGACCACGGTCACCCTGTGGAAAAATAGAATAATATCCTTGGTTAGTTAGCGCAACACACTGTGGCATGTCAACAACGTTTGTGTTGAAGAAGTGCGGCCTTTATGCTTTTTGGGAGAAACCAATCTCTTATGAACCAAGATTTCTGGCCACTAACAAGCTTATTAGAAGAGTCGTTGCCTGATTAATCGACACAAAAGAAACATCCTCATGGAACCAAATATCGAGGCTGAGTTACGACTTACCAGCTGACCAATTTTACCGTCCTTTCCACGTTCTCCTGTTCGTCCCTGAAGAAAGCGAGAAAATAACTAACGCAAAGTTTGGGCTGTAAAAATACCTCTAGGCTCCCTCCCTACAAAGAGGGTCGCTCAGGAAATGCCTGGAAACCGTAGCTTATCAATAGGGAAAATGAAACTTTTTTGAGGCGGAAACTGGGCACAAGTTTGATCATATCAGCTGGCTCAACCTTACAAAGTTGAGTTTTCTTCCATACAGTTTCAAACCATTGAGACATTCATCCAGTTTTTCTTACCCGGAGACCGGAACGTCCAATGTTGCCCATAGGGCCAGGAACTCCAGCTACTCCCTAGAGTCATACAGATAAGAGTGTTTTAGTTTACGCGAGGATGAAACTACTGCAGTGGTTGCTCAATGGAAGAGATGCGAATTGCCGCGCGGGAGGTCGAGGGTTTCAACCTGATCAGACCAGATCTTAACATAAAACCTTTGAAACTTCATCTACAAATCGTTCAATTTAGTCCTTTCGAACAGGAACTGAAAACTGCAGGTCCGTTACCTACATCTTTAGTTTTACATGGTTAGCAAGATATACCTTTTAAAAGACCTTGAGCACAATGCGGACAAAGTGGAACACGAGGCTCTCGCTGTTGTGCTCCGACCATCATTCTGATATTGACAAGGTTGGGGTGATGGATGCACGGATAAATGGGAATAGTGAAATACAACTGTCAAATCTGGCGAACGTATGCTATTATCTTCCAGGTAAGGGTGACCCTAGGAAGGTCTTTAGGGTAACATGAGCGGAAGTCATATCAGATACTCTCTACAAACTTACCACAGGTCCTTGTAAACCTCGGAGACCCATCATGCCTCGTTCACCACGACGCCCCTTTTGAAGAAAAGGATAGTTTCAAGCCATTAGCATTGATTCGTTTCTGTTCACGACTGATTCTTGATTTTCTTCTCATTTTTAACTCGTGTAAACAAGTTTTTATGGGGACTCCGATATGCAAATAAGTCACTCACACACTCACTCATTCACTGATATGTGGATATATGCGTTTATCATTCTGCGGAGTTGGATGGTTACCATAATTGCAGAACTCTCCGTGATTCTCCGGAAGCGGGGCTTTTGAGATAAGAGCAATCTTGCAGTAAGACCGATAATTAGAAGTTCACAACCATGTTTAAACTCTAGATTAAGTTCTTTATGCAATAGTTGGCCATAGGTATTCTTTTAATTTTTTTTTTTCGTTATTCGCATTGATGTCCTTTCGATTTTAAGCACTTACAGCTCTTCCTGTTCTTCCGGGTGTCCCAGTCGAGCCTTTAGCACCATTATCACCCTACCGATAACGAAATAAAAAATGAATAACGGATATCAGAAGGAAGATTCCTAAAATTAAATATTAAAGTGGAGCAATTTCACCTTTAGTCCTCTCGATCCCGCACGGCCTGACGGTCCATCTTTACCTTGTTGGCCCTGAATAAAAATTAAAAAAAAAAAAAACGCTCATCGATGTTTTGACCATTGTCCGTGGACAGTGAAAGTTACGTTGCTAAGTACCATTGTTCCCTTTGCTCCTCGACGGCCAGGTGAGCCATTAATGCCTGGTAGACCCTAACGATTAACAAAAGAAAACAAACAAATTATTAAAGTTACCAAAAGGTAAATCCGTCTGTTTTCTCCTCCGATCGTCGCCGAGTACTGAGTACACAGGGGATAACGTTACCATTGCCGGCACTGAAATCATCCTGTTTATTAGGAAATATCTAGAATCTTGAATGAAATACTTTTTTATGGAGTTTCAAAACAAGTATTCGAGCCAGCAAGTCTAATTATTTAGACGGAATCCATCTTAAAATAATTCATATGGTTTTTCAAACTCCGGCTCAGGTACTACTACGACAGCTTATAAATATCAAATGAACATTTAGCTTACGGTATCTCCTGTTCTTCCCGGAGTGCCATCCTCCCCTGGTAAGCCCTGAAATAAATAATAATAACAATGAAGATTTCAAAAATAACAACTAAATTTGTCAATTATCTCAATTACTCTAAAGGTAGAAGTATCGCCAGGGTGTCCCCACAGGGTTTTCAATGACTTTTTCCATAAGTGGCTGCCAGCGCTGTAATTGGTGGCCATACCCGGAAAAGGGTCTGTGAAGGGAAACCCAACACGAAAGCCTGCCTTAGGCTTGACAGACGGCGGTAAGAGCTCTTATAGGCAGCGGTACACCCCACCGATAACTAGTTTTCATTGAAACCCCTGTCAAACGCTCACCTTTGATCCAATCGCCCCCGGATTCCCTGCTCTTCCTCTCTGTCCACCAATCCCCTAAATCAAGGTAGAAAAAAAATCTTTTGTTGTAGTAATGTAGAAAAAACTGAATTTCTCAGTTATAAACACTTGCTGGAAAATAACTAACCCTCATTCCAGGGCTCCCAGGATTTCCAGCCACTCCAGGAGATCCCTAATGAAGAGATGAAGATACCTTGAGCAAGCCTTAATTCCAGGAAACAAGCACAATTGCTGTTAACCCTTTAACTTCTCAGTACAATATCCATACTTTATCCAGCAAACAGGTAATGAGAATATTCAAACTTCTCATCTCTTCTTTACCTGATCTCCTTTGGTTCCAGGAATTCCGTCTATTCCTGGTAATCCAGCGTTGCCCTTTCAAAAGAACGAAAGTACTTGAGAATAATATATGTGCATGAAAAATATCGGGATCAATATCAGTGTCTGGGCAACTGCCCACCTACCCCTCCCCTAACCCAACATTAACCCTAACTTGTTATCAATTGACTGTTGTTGAGTTAGGGGAGGGGTAGGTGGGCAGTTGCCCAGATACTGATATTGATCCAAATATAGCTCTAGTTGAAGAGCGTTTTCCTTTTCTTTTTGCGCAGGACGCATTGACTAGACATGCAACTTAGCAGACATTGAGTGAACACATTCATTTCAACGCTGTAGGCGTAAACATAATTCATTACTCGGAAAAAAACTAAAAAAACAGAAATGTTTACTTCAGTCCTTCATATTTTTTGTTAATATTGCCAGTTTTTCGTGCTCATTCCACTTTTTAGAAGTTCGAACCCAGGAGTTACATTTGACCGTGTAACAGTTGGGCTGCTAAACAATGATTCAAGGATTTGGTAGTGTAGCCTGATCGCTCGGGTGAGGGAAGTCTTGGAAAAGGACTGTTCCTTCTTGTAGTGATTGACTTTCCGACCATCTTGGCGGAAGTCATCATCAGAGTCAATGCCTTCCACCAAAGTTGTCGGAACGTCAATCACCATTATCGATTTTAGTCCTTCTCAGACTACTCTCACCCAGACGATGACGCCTCGATCATCCAGATAATCCTTTTGTAAGCTTTTGGGATTGGCCCTCCTGAGCTTCTGTGTGTTAGTGGTTTGACTACGTTTACCTTTTTCCCTGCCAGACCAAAAGCTCCATGGTAACCAACTTCACCTTGAAGTCCCTAGAAACAACAAATACAAATTTTTACATTCAGAGCCTCGTGGCGGTCAGAATAACAAAATTAATTTCAGTATAAACTCAATATAAAAACAACTTTGACTCAAATTTACGTTGATTTTCTAAAAAGTATACAGCACACTACCTCTGGGCCCATATCACCAGGAAGGCCTCTTGCTCCTCGTCGTCCTCTAGAACCCTAGAATTACACGAAAAAGGTGATTCTTTGATAACACGATATGCTAAATTACATACGCATTTTGATTGACGTCACTATCAACATTATTCCAAGTTGCGGCACGTCTGTCCAGTAATAGATCGCAGAAGACGCCAAGATTTGGCGAGAATATCACTGACACACACGACTGCGTTCCGTGTGCCACCCTTTAGTTGTTACCACAATTTTAAGTCAACTGTTATCCATTCCTAGACTGACGCATGGCGTCATGGAATATATTTATTAATTCTCTCAGAAGAAATTGAGCTTCGGAATACTTTAGGTGCAACATATTTATTAATTCTCGATCAGGGGAGCTCTTGCACTTGTTCGTCTTCAAACATATAGACTTGCTGACCTTTCTTCCACGCGAGCCAATTGGACCAGGGACTCCAATCTGCCCTGAAGGACCCTAGGTTAGGAGTAAAAAAAGGAACCATCTTTCAAAAATGCATTTAAACATCCAGCGTCTGATGAAAAAGTGAGAAAAACCAAATATAAAGTTCTCATGGCATGTTTTTACAAGATATAGCTCTCTCATTGTTCACAAAATGCGTTTCAAATCTCATGATTAAACGTACATAACGGGGAACTCTCCTCACGTAGTAATTGTTTTCTTTTATTTCATGAACAAATGAACTTACGTCGTAACTTTCCCCACACCTCTTAAGCATAAACAATTTTTCTTATTTTATTTTAAAACAATTTTTCACATAACATAAGACCTATATCAAATTCAGATCTAACATCAGTGAAGCACTTTACCCGATTTCCTTTCGCTCCTAGTCTTCCTCTTGGTCCTGCTGTTCCTGGGGGGCCCTAAAAATGCTATCTTGCATGAGGTCATTGCAAATGTAATACAGCTATTTTTGTAGTTCTCAGTGTGTTTTTACCAACCTTTATTTCCCTTTTTTTTTCTCTCAGCACTGCTAACACATAAGACAAATACTCGTTGTTAGGAATTTCAGATTCTCACAAGCGTTGTCATGTTGAAATCCTTTCCGTCAAATTTTTTCCGCTGAGGAAATTAAGTCTTTTAATGGAACGTCATTCACCAAAGTTATTCATGAAATGTTAACGTTCCTTTTTATTTAGGGATGCTGAATTGAAAATAAATGAAAGGTGAACCTTCCAAGACTTTCACATATTACGCTATCGTTTTGCACCTCGCTTGTTCGTGTACCTGCGTTTTCAAATTTTTTCAATATTAACTCACCCTCTCTCCTCTTCCTCCCTCCGAGCCTGGTTGACCATCGATTCCCTTGCAAACAGAGAAAAGAACACAATTTTGAGAAAATCAAGAAACTGTGAACACCATGTTTGACCTTGTTCTCATTAAGTGCTACATGATTTTGCGTTTTTTGGAGTTGACAAGTAACCAGGCAGTTAAAGCTACAGTATAATGAAGAGTTGCGGCAAGTTACTAATCAATTTATTATATAAACAATAATTAAGGACTTATTTGTTGACATGAAAAAAGTTAACCCTTCAAACTCCAAGAGTGATTTACGTCCGATTTCTCTTGACAGTATCACCCTTAAATTAAATATTTTGGTCACGAGAGAAAAAGGAAATAATCACTTGTTTGAAAAGCTCCAGATTGCCAGAAAAATGATCTTTATCAGTACTTCATTTTACGTGTAAAGAACAGTGAGTAGAATACGAACACTTAAGTTGGGGCTTTTCAAATTTCTTAAGGCTACCTACCGGAGCGCCCTCCTTCCCTTGTTCTCCTCTGAGGCCCATGTTGCCGACGAGACCCTGACGGTTAGAAATAATGTCTTCATTATCAAATATAGGCAGTGACTCAACATTTTTCCCAAAAGGTACGACTTTCAAATTTACCCATATTGCAACTTGATGAGAACCACATAGAAAATGCAGTGTCGAGTTGTGAAACGATGTTCACAACTCGCTGTAAACGAGGAGCCTAAAAAAAATCGACTTTTGCGCTCTTTTTCTTTTCAACAAATACCATATTCTTTGTGACAAAGGGGCCACGTGATGCCAAATGATAACCACAATACAGGTAGTTCTTGCGTTGTTTATTATCTATTACCCGGTGTAAGTCATTTTAAAGAATTTACAGAATCTAACATAGATCAAGTAATACTCCGAAGAAGATATAACACGTAGAACTATAAAGCGTGAAAATTTGTAACAAAATTGTCTTTCAATACCATCGCTCCTTTGGCACCAGGTTGTCCCGTTTGGCCACGTCGACCTTTTTCACCCGAGTCTCCTTTCTGTCCAGTTGGTCCACTGGGCCCAGTTTCCCCGTTTGAACCGCGTTTCCCACGTAACCCAGGTTGCCCTCTGTCGCCTTTCAGTCCAGGAGCTCCAGCATTTCCTGGTTCACCTATTTCTCCGGGGGCACCCTGAAGATTGTTTAGTGTCGGTTAAAAATGGGCTCAACACTTAGAAAGCTATACAAAGACAAATGATTCGGGCGATTGAAAGAAGGGAGACAACTGGCAAAGAGAAAAAAAAAACACTACAACAGACCATGACCGGTCTGATGCAATGTATAATTTTCTCATACCCATCAAGCTAGATAGTTTGCAAATATTGCAACCTAAAATACAGTTCTGTTAGTTACCGCTGGTCCTTCTGGTCCTGGCCCGCCCGGTAGACCTTGTTGACCCTGCCATGATAATAAGAAATAAAATTACAATCGCCTCAGTGAACCATTTAAAAAAAAAAAAAATTCCCAGTTTGAGAAAGATAATCGTCTCATTGTGAACCACCTTTTTTATCAATGAATAAAAAGTTTCTAATGTAACTGCGGAGCAGCGTCGGTAGGTAGTCGGTATAACAAAATAATTTTGGTTGTATCAGCTCAGTTCATAAAGAAAATTGGCCCCCATAGAAAGTTTAATAGCTGACGTTTCGAGCGTCAGCCGTTCGTCATTTGCTCTGATGTAGGGCCAATTGCAACGCTAGAAACGTCAGCTCTGAAACGCTGCGCGGTGGCCAATTTATATTATCAACTCAGTTGTTTAAACCAAATTTATCTACAGTTTTATGAATGGGCACGGCTTTCCTTCATACATATAACGGTTGTTAACATTTATCGGTGAAAGACTCCTTACCAAAGTACTGCCTTTCCAGAATGTGATAATAATTGTTGAACATCCATTATTTAAGAGTCTATTATTGTCACTTCGCCTGCTAAATAACAATTCGAGACACAGTGTTTCGAAAACTAGTCGGACAATTCCAGATTGTACAAAGGACACAACACAGTTCGTTTTTTTACTCACAGGTGAACCTCTGAGTCCCGGAACCCCAAGCGGACCCGGGAGTCCCTGTTCTCCCTAAAGGTACGAATGATAAAAAGAAAAGTATTAACGTGAAATACTGGCGGAACTTCTGGGTTAACATGTTGACTGGTCCGATTTTTTCGTCTTTAAGGAAAAATGTGGGTAACTTCTCTCTCGAAAAAAACTTCCCTTACTAGTTACGGTGGCAATTGTCTTCTAAAACTCACCTTCCTCCCATTGACGCCATTTCGACCAGGTTTTCCATCAAATCCCTAAACAAACACGGACATAAAAACATTTAGAAAGGGAAAAGAGACATTTTGAGCATTTGGCACCAGCGTGGAACAATGGGAAAAACAGCAAAGAATTTCAAAATCTTGTCATCTTGTTCCAGTAAATGACCGCTTAAAATAGCAGCACCTTTGAACGGTTTTCATCCATTTCAAAGAGGAATGCAAATGTACATGATTATTGCCTTGCTTAACCCTTCAGCACCTATGAGTGACTAGTATCTATTTTCTCCTTAAAATATCACCACTGAATCTCACATTAACGTCATGAGACTAGAAGAAATGATCACCAACTAAAGAAACTATTGATTGTTCGACAAATTCTCCTTGTCAGCACCTTAGTAAATGTACAAAAACAGAATAGAGAATACGAATACTTACGTAAGGGTGTAAAGCGTTGACTCACCGTTTGTCCAAATTTACCCTGATCTCCTACTTCTCCTGGTTCACCTTGTTCTCCCTGGAAAGTTTTCCAGTTTCAATCAGAAAAAAATTAACAATGCTTCTTGTTAAGGTAAGATTATCGCTCGAGTCTTACAAAACTGTTAGATGCACAATTGTCGCTCAAGGTACAGGGCGTGAAATTAATTTTTTTTTCCTGACAGCCACTTGGCTCCTAAATTCTTCAAAGTGGTAGCCAATTCAAGAAAAGTTGGTCGCCATTTTCAAAGACAAACAAAACCTCTTTTTTACGCTTTCATCGCGCCTGTATTGGGCGCAATTTCATGCCCTGAGGTAGCAAGATAATTGGAAATCTAAATACACTGGTCGGATGCGAACAATATTCATGAAAACACTTATTAAGGACTTAGTAGCACAACAACAAAAAAAGAAATTAAACAACAACAGTGACGATAATTACTTACCCTATCGCCTTTGATACCAGATAAACCAATGGGACCTGGGTTCCCAACAGGTCCCTGCAACAAATAAATGTTTTATAGATCGTGTCGAATATTTGATAGACAAACAAACGGTTGTTTTGCGCTACAAACACAAGAGTGACTAACTGATGAACTGACCGACTGACTTACTCTCTGAATGACTGCAGACTGACCGACTCTCTGACTAATTGAATAACTGACTCACCGACTGGCTGGATGACTGACTGATTAGCTTGCTGACTGACTGACTAACTTGTGACTAACTGATTGTGAATTCCGACAGCGATAAACGTACTCTCTGACTAACTGAATTACCAAGAAGTGGACTGATTGACTCGTGGCTAACTGACTGGGATTTACTGACAGTGATTGACTGACTGTCGTACCTACTTACTTACTGACTGACTGAGTGACTGACTGGTTGACTTGCCTGCAGACTTTCTGACTAATTGGCTCAGTGATTCAGTTTAGCTATCTGTCTGAATTAGTGGATAATTAGCTGAACGTTCGACGGACTGTCTGCTGATTGCCATTGAATTAGTGACCGATTCATCGACTCCTGACCACCTGACACGTTATCGCTCGGTCTATACGGCAAGGTCTCACTTTTATCCATAACGACCTAACTTTGGAATAATGAGTAATTGAGTAGCTTATCGTTTACCGGTTCTCCTTGGACACCAGTCTCACCAGGCTCACCCGTGGGACCAGGAGCACCCTTCATTAACAAATGAATACACATTAATACTTTGTACGACGAAGTAAATGCGTATCACTATCACACCCGATTTACATTTTTACGAAACTAGCACGGATTGTAAATTGCAGCATTTGGGATGAAACGTGGAGATATTTCAATTACACTTTTACTTACATCCTCTCCGTTTCTTCCCTGCAAACCTGGAGGGCCTGGTAAACCAGGTGCGCCCTACAAACAAGTGTCAAAAAGCATTTCCTCTTGTTATCATTGATTGATTTGATATAGATCTCACACTTTCATCTAAATTTAACCTTTCATTTAGGTGAACGAGGACACGGGGTCCTCCTTAATAATGCCAGATTAGTTTACATAAAATATCGATCTCCGAAAAATTGTTAACCTCTAAAGTTAAGCAAAGCAAGCATACAATATCCGTACAAAAGGCTACCTCGTTAAATTGAGACTACTGTTTGAATTTCTGGTTTAAAAGGTCTAAATTCAGCTTTACCGATATTCCTCTCCCTCCTTCAGGCCCCATTTGTCCTTTCTCCCCTGGCGTGCCCTGGATGAATAAAGACGAAGTTTGTCTGTTAGATGTAAGTAATGATTCTCATTAATCCTGAAACCATGTATCGTGCTTTGACCGCTTCACAGACCATGTTCTGTAGAAAGAATCTACTCAGTAATTGGATTAGCATCCATTTTCTCTTCTTTTCATTTTCTACTCAAGCCTGGATTTAAAATATGAGGTTGCTTGTGTTCACAGTCGCAGATCACCGTCGCGGCTTAATAGTGCACGCGCGAGTTGGCTCTTTTCACAAGCAGGGCTAAAACACTGCACTGGAAGGAATAATGTTTTCCACACGCTGTTAGGTGCTTTCAACATGCCAATTTTTTATGCCCGTAAAGTTAAAGTGAAAACCGTATGAATGCCTTGCCAATATGGTACCAGTACGAGCGCTTTAAAAGACGTAGATGTGCATCTAGTTACCGAAAAAATGTCACATTTAATCGACAGTTTACGAGTCTAATCACCGTAATCTCTGAATTGTTAGTCCAATGCGCTCTCAACCCAACCACAATGCCTCTTCTTGGGCAAACCACATTGAAATAATAAAAAAAGATACAGATCACCTATTACTGCAAATTCAAGTTTTTACTCACGTCTGGCCCACGGTAACCCGGAGTTCCCGCTACTCCACGAGACCCCTAAAATATTCCATTTGAAAAGCAAGAAACGAAAAAAGAGAGCAAATGTAAAATAATTTAACGAACATAACCGTCCATTTCGAGCAAGGGAGCATGAATAAATTCGACTTCAATACGATTTTACCGGCTCTCCTGGTTCTCCTTTCACTGTAATGAATCCAGCATTAGGTCCTTTAGAGCCACCCGGAACCTAAAACAAACAGGCTGTAGTGTTGATACACAAAACGTCTTTCACCATAGCTTTTGATCATATATCGAGTATGGTTTCTTAAGCTGCTGTCAAATTGCTTTTTACGCGGGGTATACTCCTCTTCTGTCGAGCAATGAGCGAGCTGATGGCTGAGCCTAGCTGTAGTTTCACTGACAACAAGGGTAAATTCTTTACAGAACGAAAGAGAAGTCAGATTTAATTTAATGAAATAAATTGTATTTTGACCTGGAAATGATATTCAAGTGTAAAAATTTCCCTCGATGTGAAACGCAATTTAAGTAGTGCAGAAACTGTGCAAGAGAACTCAGCTGCTTTTTGAACATAAGATAATTTCCGTGTTCTTTCATTTTATCTGCAATACAACTGCTAGGGAATAAGCAGCTACAAATAGTGTTAAGGCATAAAGATATAAATCATCATGGATGTTAAATGTTTTTTTTAAGTATACCAAAGAAGAAAGGTTTACTTACCACCCTGCCCTCGAGTGGCCCAATATCAGGTCCAGTGAAATTTAAAATAACTTTTCCAGGAGGCCCCGGGGGCCCCGGCGGCCCACGGGGTCCTTTAGGACCGTCAACACCCGGTTGACCCTGACGAAAATAGAATGGATATTGGCAAGTTGAACAATAAGGTTTTAAGGGTGGAGAACGAAACAGCTACATAGGACTTATCACAAATATTACTCTGGAGAAGACTATCAGAATAAGTACTTTTAAAATAACACGATTTTCTTCTCGTGCACGCCTTCCGAGGTCGCTAGTGAACTTCTTTGGAAAGAAGCACTATGAAGACTGCCTCGTTCTTTTCTTTCGTTATAAACAAGTTCTAAAATTGTGCCTAACAGGGCACGAGTTGCTCGGATCTCTATCAAATTATATAAAAGAAGTTAAGCGGTCAGCGATGGGGTTAAAGCTATCTCACCTTCACTCCGCGGTCACCTTGTGATCCGGGGGGTCCTGGCCCGCCTTTATCACCCTTAAAGTACAGGATTCATTCGGCTTTAAGACTAGTGTTGAACCTCTAAAACTTAAACTATTAGCCTTTTGACGCCTAAGAGTGACTAGCATCTAGTCTCCTCTCACAATATCCACCCTGAATCAAACATTAAGGTCACGAGAAAAAAAGGAAATGATCATCAGCTAATCAAATCATTCGTGATAACCATAGGAAATGTATGGAGAATATGCATACTGATATTAGGGTGTAAATACATAAGGAAAAAAGTGGAACAGGGAGGTAATTAACCCTTTAACTCCCAAATCAAATTTTTGACTCTCCTTACTGTCAATCATACAATTCTGATGATGTTGGTGCAGAGAATTTAGTATTGGATCAACTTTTTTATCCCCAAATTGATATTTTTCTTTACTCTCATCATTTATCTGGTTGATATTGTATTGATATTATAAGGAAAAATTTTATCTTAGTCACTCATGGGAATTAAAGGGTTAAGGATTTGAAGGCCTCCTTTTACGCCTGGTTATCAGTTAGCAGAGAGCATTGCTCCTAACTCAAAATGTTATTTATTAAAGGGAAACCGATTTGTATAATATTTACGTTAATGATCAATACTAATCTTTTGAATTCAATATTACTTGATTCATCTATTTATTTTCGTTTAATAAAATTCTAGAATATTTTGCGGCTTTTCATACATTTCCAAGCTCTCAACAAGTGTGGTCCCTGAGGCTTGTTGTAAGCCATAGGTTACCAACGAAAAATCAGTAACTCTAGTACCAGTTGTAAAATATATTATCATACCTTGTCGCCTTTAGGTCCGGGATCCCCTGGAGGTCCAATCTAAGGAACAAAATGACAATAAAATATCTACCGTTGTGTTCTCTTTGTGAAAGTGTTTAAGGAGGCCATTTGGAATGGCTAAATGAAAATTGTCCGTCCCCTTTGAGTATTGTCTATTGCGAGTCGAACTTTAAAGAGTCATACTGTAGCGCCCTTGTCCTCATTTCTGATCGTGCAAAATACGCTTCTGAATAAAGTTGCCGACTGCAGAATGCAATAGCTTCGGCTACCCACTGAACATTTAGAGATACAATTAATCGTTGTACCCATCAAAGAAACAAATACTTTTGGATTACATTTGAATGCTCTGGATAACTAAGAAGGATTTTAATAGTAGTGCTCTAAGTTTCTCCAACTGACCTGACACTAAACACATCAATTAAGCTATCGCTTTGCAGCTAGTTTTAAAAAATTATATCCTTCTTACCTTCTGTGGTACTGCCGTCGATTAAGTCATACGGAAGAGACAAGAAAAAGACAAATCAGTAGATTTCGCTCCTCTTCACGCAGTGTTTCATTCAAATAAAGGTTGACCGACTTCATTTCAAAGGGTTGCAATGTGACATCAAACTTGCTTAGAATTATTTCACCGATCAACAGCCAAGGGAGGTCCGGATTCAAGACCTTGCCTGGTTAATTGTTGTGTTCTCGGGCAAAACACGTTACTTCCACATTCCCTCTCTCCATTCAGGAGTATAAATGGGCTCCGGCTGGATAGGTCACTTGGTTCGAGTACAGACTATTGATCAACAGCAAAGGGATCTCTGATTCAGAAGCTGGAATAGATGACTTACCGATAGGATCCACAGATACTACTCTCTCAACTGGTGGACCGAATCCATTGTAAGCCTTACATCGGTAGTCACCAAAGTCGCTTGGACCATCTACCACAATAAATATTGTGCTGTCTCCTGTGATGGTGACCAGTTCTGTACCGTTAGGACTGTACCACGTAACTGTGGGTGTGGGATCCCCGTCGGAAACACACTGTAACTCCACTTTACCCCCAACCACGGTCGTGGTAATTGACGTGTTTATGTGTGTTATCACTGCGGGTCCTTTAAATGGAAATGCAACAAACATCGTTAAAGACATCCCAACATGAAACCATGAAGGGCGGTCGGCTCCAGCAACAAAGCTAAGAGTTACATTAACCTTGGATTGAAGTTAAACTAACTAGAGTCCCTTTTCATCTAAGACCGCTGAAATGAGAAAATAATGTGTGCCTTGTCCTCCACAACTTTTTGACGTAAAAACAAACGAAACAACCGAACAAGTAAGCAGAGCCGTCAGTAAGTACCGGTAGTAGGCGATTTTCGCCAGCTCGTCTATCGTCTTTCGGTCACTATCACCTAATGTTACCATAACTGCTGATGAAAAATCGTTCAAATATCTAAATACTATTACTAGTAACTTTTATAGCCGCCATTCCCCAGTTTAGAGTGGAATTGAATCATTATTTACCAGTAACAGGTTTAGATGTGTGAATGGGCTCCTCGCCCAGAATTTGGTCTAAGCTTGTGCAAACTTGGTGGAACGCCGGCGACATTTATCTGAATAGCTCCCAGTCTTATTTGTAATTTTGCAAAACATAATGGTGTTTATGATTGAGGAAACATGATATAGTTAATGTCTGTAAATATACGAAAAACATATACGCGAGCTTTGGATTAAAAAATTAATATGAGGGCGATCTTCGCAGAAATGAAAACTACTTAAGCAACATTGAAAATATAGGCCTGAATTTTTTTCGGACCTGCTTAAGTAGCGTTCATTATTGCGAAGTTCACTCTCACATTCATTATATAATTGGATGTCTCTTACTTCCACACGGGTCAATATTACATTCCCGTGACTCCTCGCTTTCACCAATGCAAAGTAGTCCTTTATTTGCCGGCGGGGGATTAGTACAACTACGAGTGTGGATCTGTTTACCACCACCACACGTGACCGTACACTCGCTCCAAGGACCCCAATTGGACCAGTTTCCATCAACTGCAAAGGGCGAACAAGACATTTCGGTTATATTTTTCATAAGTCAATAATGGCATCATATCATCGTCTTCAATGACTGCGCTGATTTAAGTGGTCTTTGTTACAATTGCAGTAGTATCAAGAGAAAAATGTATCATGATGAGTAAGAATTTACTTGGACAAGGGTCTTCATTGCACACTCTTGTTTCATCACTCTCCCCAGGGCATGGCTTTCCTCCGAATTGAGCAGGGGGATTGGTACAGGTTCTAGATCGATTCTGTACTCCGCCACCGCATGTGACTGGGCAATCACTCCAGTCCTTCCAGTCGGACCAATTGCCATCAACTGAATAGGAAAGAAAAGCATTTTTTGCATCATTTGGCATTGCTTTAGCTTAAAAAAGGAAAAAAATGGACCCATAATTACTTGGACAAGGGTCTTCATTGCAAGCTCTCGATTCTTCGCTCTCTCCAGGACAAGGCTTTCCTCCAAATTGCGCTGGTGGATTGCTACAAGTTCTTGATCTTTCCTGCATTCCACCACCACAAGTGACAGGACAATCACTCCATTCTTTCCAATCAGACCAGTTACCATCAACTAAATCACAGTGAAAAATTTGTTTTAATCACTAAACGTTACTTTGTCGAATGGGGATTATATAGAAAATCACCCGCAGTTATTAGAGAAAATGTAGATTAAGGGAAGATGGTTGGGTGAGTGTGTTGTTAATTGAAATGGAAGTAAATTATTACTTGGACAAGGGTCCTCATTGCAAGCTCTCGATTCCTCACTCTCTCCAGGACAAGGCTTTCCTCCAAATTGCGCCGGTGGATTGCTACAACTTCTTGATCTTTCCTGGACACCACCACCACATGTGACAGGACAATCGCTCCATTCATTCCAATCAGACCAGTTACCATCAACTGAATTGAAGAAAAAGTTGGTTTACACCGATAACCGTTACTTTGGCTTGTGATAGAGAATAAAAAAGAAAATAGCTTGTAAACTCCAAAGATCAGTCTAAAAGGAACTCAAAATTAGTCAAAAACTGCCGATTACTGGGGCAGGCCCGTTGTAAAATGAAGATGAAAGTAGATAATTACTTGGACAAGGGTCTTCATTGCAAGCCCTTGATTCTTCGCTCTCTCCAGGACATGGCTTTCCTCCATATTGCGCCGGTGGATTACTACAAGTTGTTGACCTTTCCTGGACTCCACCACCACACGTGACAGGACAATCGCTCCATTCCTTCCAGTCAGACCAGTTACCATCGACTGAATTAAAAAGGAATATAGGTTTTCACCAATTACCTTTACTTTGGCTTATGAGAGGGAAGTAAAACAAACTACACTTTTTGTTGTCTAATCTGACCACTTTCCATCAACCTATTTTGAACCTCAGACATTATCAATCCTCTCAAAAGGTGTATACGAATATAAAAGGGCAGTAGCTTCGATACTAAACTTTGATTTGTATTAATTTAACAAATTTTTAAATAAGTTGAGGAAATAGAACTGGACAAAACTCGTTAGACATGTAGTAGGACGAAGGCGCTTTATCGCAGAAATTTGAGCTTTCAACCATATGCGGGGGAAAAACCAGCATTGGAAATTGTCTTGGTTTTTTGTTCTTGCCATTTTTAACAAATCCTCATCAAGATTGATAGATTGCGTTAAGGTTTGCAAAGATCAAGCCATGTCATAAAAACAGGAAAATATTCTAGTTCAAATTGATTTAGCCTAACAGAGATAAATTGAAAAGAAAACAAACTCTCAGCCCTCGAGATGAATTTGTTATTTTAAGCAGAAACGGTTTACATGGGTATGGGGCTTCGTTACAAGATCTTGTTTCGTCACCCTCCCCAGGGCATGGCTTTCCTCCGAACTCCGCAAGGGGATTATTGCAATTTCTGGTTCGATTCTGTACCTCGCCACCACATGTGGGCAATCACTCCAGTCCTTCCAGTCAGACCAATTACAAGACTTACAAGACACACAGTTTCAACAGGGACGACCGATAAAGATATTGAAAAAGACCAGATAGTTACTGGACGGTTAAAGTAACCAATGCCCAGCATCAGTGCATCACAACATAGTAAAAATTTACTTGGACAAGAATCTTCATTGCAGACTCTGGTTTCGTCACTCTCCCCTGGGCATAGTTTCCCTCCAAATTGAGCGGGGGGATTGGTACATGTCCTCGATCGATTCTGTACTCCCCCACCACACGTCACAGGACAATCACTCCAGTCCTTCCAGTCAGACCAATTACCGTCAACTGCAACAAGGATTCAAAAGGGGTCTTTGAGCAGATACAGTAGCAAAGGAGATGAGGGATTCAATTGAAAAGCCCAGAGAACGATAAATCGGTTTAAACTACCAATGATAACCAGTTGTGCATCATAATCAGTAAGAATTTACTTGGACAAGGGTCTTCATTGCACACTCTTGTTTCGTCACCCTCCCCAGGACATGACTTCCCTCCAAATTGGGCCGGGGGATTGGTACAGGTTTTAGATCGATTCTGTACTCCACCACTTCACGAGACTGGGCAATCACTCCAGTCTTTCCAGTCGGACCAACTGCCGTCAACTGCAACAAGGACTTTGACAATGAGACACAATTCCAGCCTTGACCGAAGAACACATGATAACTCTCAAAGATTTACTCCAGAGGCGCCAGTCACAGCCTAGGATTATATCGTTCAGTAACCATGGATATTGGGTTAGGATTGTCATGTTCCGTCCAGACCCCTCCATCAGATTGGATTGAGAAAACAAATGATATTTCAACATATTGTTAATGCCCTCCAGTTGTTGGTACGCTGAACAATTGATACCAGTTGTTTTCCAGTAGACTTGTCCGGTGCATATCAGACAAGTTTTAGTAAAATCCAATTTACCGTAGTCTTTCTCTGGACTGATCCAAACTTCCACTATCCTTATTACCTTTGTTCGTGACGTGGTGGTTAATTTACACCAACCGAAAATGTTCCCTGTTTGCTAAATTAGAGTTAGCAATTACGGAGCAAAAAGAGAAACACAAAGAGAAGGCCCAACCAAAAAATAATATCCAATCAACTCACTCGTTTCGTTTCGTTATTTAATCATGCACCAGTACCAACATGGAAAGCTTGATTGTTGTGGGAACAGTAGAAGAGCTCGAATTTGGCCTCAGAAATAAGCTTTGAAAAATTATGTGGTTGTAAGAAAAGATTCGCAAACTTGAGCGTGGTAAAAACCGATCAAAATAATATTAGGTGATATGGCCTCTACAAAGTACCTGGACAAGGATCTTCATTACAAGCACGGGTTTCTTCGCTCTTCCCAGAGCAAGGCTTTCCTCCGAATTGTGCTGGAGGATTGGTACAAGTTCTTGATCTTTCCTGGACTCCACCTCCACACGTTACTGGACAGTCACTCCAATCATTCCAATCGGACCAGTTACCATCAACTGTGTGCAGAATGTGGACCATATGATGACGTAATAATAACGGTAACTAACAAGACATAGGACCAATTGCCGTTAAATGCGTGCAAAAGGATGAGGTTGGAAATTTGATAGATTAAACAAGAGTTATTGCCAACTGTATTCAAAAGGTAAAGAGGTTGAAAATGGATTACATGATGCCGTAATCAAAATGGGAATTCACGAAGCACAAACCAGCTACCTTTATGGATCATAAGGTGCTGTAAATGAAATGGAAATTTTCCGGGCAAAAGATTAAGGGGGTAACACATTGGTTAACCTGCTATTGAAGGCTGTGGATCATTAGATCCATGTTCGAGTTCAGGCCAAGGTCATTGTGATATGACCTTATGCAAGGAGCGTTACTTCCCGAGTGACACTCTTCACCCTCGCTGTAAACGTGACCAGGAAACGGTAAGAAAAACGTAGAGGAATGCTAAGAGGTTACCATTGTTAACCGTCATGCCGTCGAACAATGTTCAAATTTTTAGTCATAATGAAAATCAGCCCAGATCCGCTCACAAAATGTCTGCCACAACAACTGGAAAAAAGGAAAAATGTGTCTATTTTGCCTCAAGAACGACGTAAAAAGCACTTCTTTTCCCATGAATTCTAGCGAAAAGTGATGGAGTCTGTCTCCAGTTTGTTTTGATCGCCATCTTTGCCTAAGAACCTGGCCTTCTATCGCACAGTAACATTGGCAAAGTGTCTTACGTAGAGTCAAGAACAAAATGTTGTTGTTTCTCCCTCATAATGCATCATTCGAAAAGCTATCCATATTCTTCTTTTAATATTTTTGGTCCACATCCATTTGGCATTGTCATAGAAAACAAGTTGATTTTGATCCCTTAGTTTAACACAATTTTCGCATTGTCTACCAGCGAAGTAAAACGCAAGACGTGAACAAACCAAGCAAAACAGGAATCGTCCCTGGCACTCACAAGAACGAGGGATAAATAAAATGCGTGATATCTAATACACCTTGTAGATAAAAATTATGAAAGTAAATTATTACTTGGACAAGGGTCTTCATTGCACGCTCTTGTTTCCTCACTCTCTCCTGGGCATGTCTTTCCCCCGAACTGCGCAGGGGGATTGGTGCAGGTTCTCGTTCTCTCCTGCACGCCTCCTCCACATGTCACAGGACAATCGCTCCACTCATTCCAGTCAGACCAATTGCCATCAACTAACAATTCAAAGTCTCACTTAGTTTCGTGGATAGAGTAGTAAAAAGACGACTCCTTCCCGTAACCCAGTACACCCCAACATCATATACTTTTTCTCCGTTCTACTCTCTGAAAAGGATACACTAAAAAGGAGACTATGTTTAACTGTAGAAAGCTACTTTTGTTGGCGATAGTTTGCTTTATCATTTACTTGTTTGCATGGCTATTCACAGGGTGAAAATAAGATGTACTCCTCGCCACCTCACAGAGTCTCAGACCTTCGGATTCTGCTCTCCGAGGATCCAGCACCGAGACACTATGGTGAGTTAAGCATTTATCAGCTTCATATGTGATAAGCGTCCTGTATAATGTTAGGATCAGCAATATCGAAAGCTTCGTATGAATCAGAAGAATAAAAAATATTGTAACCACTGTCTCCATTACCTGGGCAAGGGTTCTTGTTGCACAGTCGACGTTCTTCAGGCTCCCCAGGGCATGGTGCCCCACCAAAAGCAGCAGGTGGGTTGGTGCAAGTTCGCGTTCTTATCTGCTCTCCACCTCCACAGGTTACAGGACAACCAGACCAGTTTCCCCAGTCGGACCAGTTGCCGTCAACTATGTTTAATAATCAAACGACTTTTGTTGTAGTGTGATTACATCCTCCACACAGTCTTCAGTTTAAGGACTCTCAACAAACTAAACCATAACCGATTAAGAGATCGAAGAAAATTTAATGGGACGGAACCCCAGGCGCAAAAGAGAAGCAGTGAAGACCACGATAGGAAATAAAAGGAGAGTTAATTGAAAGGTTGTCCGTATGTGGTATAAGGTTAGTACATATGACGTATGACATGTTTTGGTGGTAATCTTAGTTTCATAATTCTATGTTATTGGGATTGTACTTTTCAATTTACGTGTTCGACTGCACGCAACAAATGCAAATATTTTTATAGCAGAGTTTGGATCACGAGGAACAGTAAAAACTGTTATTACATCGATGTAGTTGGCGAGATAGCAAGGATTCATTCAATACGTTTGGAAACTGCGTGTGAAAGAGCAGAATAAATAAATTTCATTATCCATCAAAAATGAGCAGAAAAGTTATTCCATCGTGCAGTAGATTTAGTCGGCTATATGATTTGGGGCAACAAATTCCTTTTCACTTCTAGCGACCTTTTCCATCGAGACTTTTTTATCAATTGTGTGTTTGCTGTTCAGAAAGTACATCTATTTGGATATACATAACTGCGCATGAGTAAACGTGTTTGCGAGTATACAGTTTTTTGAAAGATGTTCAATTACCCCAGGTACTCAGAAAAAGGCTGATAAGCAGCTGTGTCTATTGACCTCAGGAATGCAACTTAACCGGACATACTCTCGTAATTTGTGGAAACTTTTTCAACGCGTGGTGAAGAGATATTTGAAAGTATTAAAATCCTACTTCCTAAAGCTTTTGAGGTTTCGCTGTGGTTCCGAAAAATTCGGTGGTTACAGATGGATAGCTTTCCACTGAGTGTCGAAAAGACAAAACCAAATTAATCCCCCAGCCAATCCCAACTTTACATCTGATTGTTCGAGAGGATGGTACACTTTTCTAGATTAATCACAACGCAAAGTTAAAACCGAAGTAATCCTGAATTACTTTCGTTAATGAATTAAAAATTGCATTCTATTTAGTATGTTTTCACTAACTTGGGCAAGGATCTTCATTGCAAGCCTCTTCTTGTTCAGCTGGCCCTGGGCATTTAACCCCTCCGTTTGCTGGAGCCGGGTTGTTGCACTTTCGGATCCGCTTTCTTGTGCCACCACCGCAAGTCTCAGTGCACTCGGTCCATTTCTCCCAGTTCGACCACTGACCGTCGACTGAAAAACGAATGCAAGGACGTGTTAGAGGCTGTGAATTTAGTTAACCTTTCAATTCCCAAAAATCAATTATCATCCATGCATTACACACAAAGCAGGTAAGGAGAATACTCAAAGTTATCAGGTAGAAGTTGTTGCCTTGACCGGACACCAAATTCTCGTAATTAATTTACAACGAAATGTATGTCAGGTAGAGGGGAGAATTAACAATCAGATCTTGGAAGTCAAAGGGTAGGGACGAGTTAGGTGTGGTGGCGCCAACTTGACAAACTTAGGAGCGGTTCTAAGCGACAACAACTCTCTGCTTGGCCTCCGTAATTATTTTTGTTGAAATACTTCAAGTTTTCATTGAAAAGGGAAAATAAATGAATCAAAATGAAAATAAACTGATAAGAAATGATAAATAAATTGATAAATAGAAAATGTACTATCATATCCTGAATTAAGCTGTTCGAGAGAATGAAACAAGCCCAGAAATGACAGGAAATTAGACAATGTTATTCCCGTGGTGACATTAGTCGTAGAATTTTCCATTTTTTTACATAATCATTGCGCAAAGGCATCATATATCAACATTGCTATCCAAGCAGTATGCGAGAAGTTCGTCACCATCATCATGAACCTAGTTAAACGGCCCAGCCTGCCTCGAGTCTCCTGTAGCTCAGCGGTGGAGCATTCAAGTACTAATCGGAAGGTCGTAGGTTCGACTCTTCTTGGCACCACTCGGACACCACTCGAGCACCACTCGGGCACCACTCGGACACCACTCGGGCACCACTCGGGGTTCTTTCTCTCCGTATATGCCTGCGTCATTCATTAAGTAACATCATCTGTCACTCTAATACCTGGACATTTCCCCTCTATTATATCTGTTGCAATCTCATCTAGGGCTGCAAAGCTCTCTGCCAAAAAGACACCAGTATCGTCCGAAGCCAGAGTAACCAAATCCACTAGTACGATGCCTTTTCCGATTCCAATTGACATGACCTCTACGCCTTTGTCCTTCACTGGCTGAACTGCAGAGTCTAATATCTCTGTACTTGATTCTGAACTGCTGTCTGGAACTGTTTGCACACCGTCAGTCATGACGATAGCTACCTGGAAATACACAAAGCCAAGATCACCTTTTAATCCACGTTTCTCGAAAAACAATTTACAATTAGATTATGAACTGTCGATTTCTATGGTAAGATTGCTAATGACGACGATGCTAAAACAAAATATCATGCATAGAAATCGAGAGCGAATGATATGATTACCGAAGATAAATCTAATCGTCATTCAAAACTTCAAGCAACGAGACCTGTGCATGCTTATATTTTATTGTGTCTACATATATAGAATGATCAAATAATTTTTCTTTGCTTTCTCAAAGAAGTTACTGCAACACAAGTACAAATCAAAATTTTTTGAAGTTATCCAGAATAGTTATTTAAAAACTGTTGTATATAAATTGTTTTCGAAAGATCAATAAACCATTTGTGGACCACTCCTGGTGTTTTGTATAAATAATTATGTGAATGTATGTAAATGTTGTAAGTTTGCGTGTCTGGAAAGGTGTGTTCTGAAAACGCAACCGAAGGTGTGCTTTGTTACACAACTAGAAGTGTGACAAGACCCGTCTTTCTGCAGAACACTCCTTAAGGTGTGTCAAATTTAGGACAAGTATGAAACACAAGTTAAGGAGTGTTGTGGGAACACATAAAGGTGTGTTCAGAAAGCTTATCAAGGTGTGCTACACACCTCTATGTGTGTTATTTTGAGGACAAAAAGAGTTGTGTTGCAGTAACACATCTTATTTTAAAGTGTAAACCGCACTCTGTAGCACAGCCAATCAGATTGCAACATTTGTGATAGAACAGCGATAGATTAATTATAATAACTAAACCTTAAAAATGGCAATAATTTGTTATCATAATTTTATCAGGACGTTGAATCATTAGTTATTCTCTGGAATCTCAACACCTAGTCAGCCAGCATCATGATTTCGTGAATAATCCTTTTAACTGCAGAGACAGAAATGGTCTCTTTTTCTTCTAATAGGCTAATTGTTCTTCATTCTTTATTCAAATTTGTTGATAACAGGATTCGAAGATCGGAAGTTAAATGAGTAATCGGTCAATTGGCTTATTTCAATTTTTTGTCAGCTACACAGTTGATATTACAACACTACTATGATAATTGTATTCTTCTTGAAGAGTAGAATTCGATTTATGTCACTGGGAATGAGATTTAAAAGCGCACTTGTCTCTAAGAATCGAAATTTTATTAAAAAAATAACACAGACAAAAGATGTTTACCTTAGTCACGTTCTGCCTCATTCCCCCTTCGGCAGTAAAGACTTCTCTGTTGGCCAAACTCAAAGCCTTGTCGATATATGTAAGTCCTCGATTATGAGGAATTTGATCAATACGCCGCTTCACGTTGGCTGCGTTTAGGAACGCGCCACTGAAATCGTTAAACTTTAGCTGGACTGACGCTTCTGTACTATACTCGACTAGAGCCACGTGAGTACCACTCTCAGATATGTCGAACTCGTCCACTAGCCGCTTGAGAAAAAATTTAAATCGGGCAAAGTTTCTTCTGCTTATACTACCTATATGGAGAAACGGGAAACTTTAAGTGAACTCCGGTTAACGCACAAATAATGGTATATTTCGCAGCCACGGGTGGGTGGGGGAACTGGAGGCGACGAATGAGGAAAAATTTAAGACCAAGAGTCCGAAAATCAGATAATCACCACTCCATTCGGCGACATAAATTCGTGAGGCTATCTAAGGCAGTATCTTCCCTCTCTCCCCACCCTCCTTCCCGTCCCATTGGAGAATACCATTTTCTGGAAATGTGCCAGCTCTACACTGAAAATTACTTAGCGCACAGAAAAAAAGTTAAAAAAACCAAGAAAAAGAATGCACTTACCTGATGCATCAACGAGTAAGGCAAGATCCACAGGCTTGGGGCAACCCTCTGAAAACATTTAAGAAGAAATTAATGCCATCTCACACGATCTATAATTTGCTGATCTGTTGTGAGCAACGATTCACGAGTCTTTCTACTGTTCCTCAACAGGCTTACAAGTCAAAATAAATCTATAAATCCCTTTGTAAGACATGCAGCAGTCGCACAGGCTTTCATTTCGAGGTGAGTCGTGAAACTTAGGCACCAGCAACGTGACCCCTGTGTCGGGTTTGCGTTTTTCACACTTTTTCATCGACCAGGCTGTTCACCGACTGAGTGCCTGGCACAGGCTTGTTTTCCTCTCGTAAAAAGCGAAAGCGGAATGGGACGAGACGTGGACGAGACAGGGTGTGAAGTCACTCAACCTAGCCCCTTGTGATACCACATGCCACATTCCGAGCCGATTTTCCGCCATGTCATGCTAAATAAAAATGAAAAATTGAAAATCGGAAAAAGAAAAAGAACCTTTAGTACTTACTAAGAATCTCAGCCTTTGTACACGCAAGTTGGCAGGCCCCCTGCCGTGATGGACAACACCTTTGCCCCTCCACCAAGCATTCATCATCTGATTCACAAAAGTGTTCAGTCCTTTCTGAGCAAACTGGATTGTATGTGTTCACTATGGGACAACGCAAGCCCTCTACAAGAAAATAATTAAGAAAAAACTACAGATGAACGGAGGAACGGTACAAATTTTTTTTTCTTCTTTAACCCTTAACACCCCTACATCAGTACACATAATTGCTATATTGTTCTCTATATATTTCCTAAGGTGCTGGTGAAGCGAATTTGTCTAAAAATCAATATCTCTTCCTTTATTGTCTTTACCTTAATGTTTGATTCTGGGGTAACATTGTGAGGAAAATTAAGATGCAAGTCACTTTAAAGGTTCTTTTCTGCTGTTTTTGGTATTTTTTTTTGTGACAAGCCTTTGAAGTGACGTTGTTGGCTGTAAAATGAAAATGCCTTGTGGCCTACGAAATCAAGCCACGGAAAAAAAAGTGACAAAAAAATTAAATAAAACGAAAAAATTAGAGGTAAACAAAATAAAAACCCAACTGTAGAAAGTAGTTAGAAATCGAATAGAATATGTCATTTGAATCATTGATATTATTCTTATTGTTTTCATTTATTGCAGTCTTAATAAACAGATATATGGAGATCTATGATTTCCCTTTGATCTTTTTTAATTTTAGTTCTCTATCGTCTAAGACATATTTCTTGAAATGAACTACACTCCTTCTTTGGGCTGAGCCTTCTTTTTTTTTTTTTTTTTTTTTTTTTGCAATGAGCCTGGAAAGGTTCTTCACACGTTTTTAAAGTTGTGTGGTATATGATTCCAATAAATCAATGCGAACGCCTGTGGTCAGTGCATCCCGCATTAAGAAAACCGCATTGTTGAGGTAAAAAATGTCCACACGTATTTGAGTTAATTGTCCCGTTAGACCAGAGTCTTACATTTCTTCTATTTTTATACTTCTCGCAAGAGAAAGTGAGCAAAATAAAGACGATCTCAACTCACTATCAGCCTGGGTCTGTTCTTAGTATGTTCTTAAAATGTTGGTCAATCTCAGCTTGAACGTTCTTGTAAAAAATGGTTCTTTTAAAAAAAAAAACAAAAACAAATGACCAAAAATACATGAAAGAGGGTACCGAAACACGGAGAACGTTCTAGAATGTATGTCGGAGCTTCAACAAAGGTTCCGAAATAATTTGAAAGATCACAGAGCGCAACAATGTTCGAGCTCACTTGAATCTTAATCATGGGCGGATTTGGCAAAGAATGAAAGAAATAAAGTGTCACTAAACAAACAAAAAAAGGAAAATACGAATAAAATGGAAAGAAAGAAAAGAAACAAAGCAAAATTCAACCGCGTATTTCTCACGTTTTTCATTGACAGAATTCTTAACACAATGGACAAGCCTAGCGTTCATTAAAACAATTTCTCACCTTTGTTGACTACACGACAAGTCTCCAGGGATCGATACTTGTTGAAAAGATCAAGGCCGTCATATGGCAGGGAGCAATGAATTCCCTGCAAACCAGACTCGCTCAGATTGATTACCTAACTATAGATCTTCGCAATACGTGCTTGCTATTCTTAAATTTGTGACCTCAGCGCAAGGGCTCTCTCAGGGCAATTATAGCGATTTTTACCAGAAGGTTACTGATCTTGTAATTAGCTGATATGTGCGTCATCGTATCACTTATATTTTGATGAAGACTTGATCAACCAAATCACATAATTTGCAGTTCCGTTGCCGCATAACGTAGTTGCTAGCAGTTTCCTGGAGAGATACTGAATACTCAATCGGCGAAATGAAGACGGTGAAAGCACAGGTAGACCGCACTATGTGTTCGTGCTCAAAAGTTGCGTTTCGTTTGAAAAAGGCCTATTCTATTTTGCGAAACGAAACGAAACGAAACCAAGCGAGATATGACGAAACTAAAAGGATAGTGCAGACGTATTTTCTAACAAGGTTAAGATAACTTTCACAAGGACTTTTGAGTAAATTGATAGGAAGGACTTTTATTCATTTCGCAAAAGAGTTACAATTTCAAGAATTCGACTATTTTCACCCCGCGGCGACAACGTGACCTCTTTCATGTCACAAAAATACATTTAAACATTACAAATTGGAATATCACCAAAGATTTCGACCTCCTCTCATTTCTTAAACGTATTAAAATATATTTCGCAAAATATTGATTTTAAAGAGATACCATTTTGTGAAATGGATCATTAGTCGATTTCGCAAGACAATGACTCTTCTTAAATTAATTCTTTGCGAAATGAATAAAAATCCTTCTTGTCAATTAACGATTACTCCAAAATCCTTGTGAAGGTTACCTTTACCTTAAGACAAAATATATTTGCTGTATCTCGTCTGGTTTCGTTTCGCTTCGTTTCGTTTCGCAAAATAGTAAAAGCCTGTGATAAAGGTTAAAAACATCTTTTGTTTACTTTGGTTTTCGGTCGCGTGGTACGCGGATCTTTCACCGCAGACTGACGAGACAGCTTACTAAGCGAACTCTTAAATTTCTGAACCCGAGATTCAATTATCATCAAGTAATGTATACTAATTTTTCGTCAGAGGCAAATAAGAAAGCAAAACCGAGAGCATTGCCAGGAAAAAAAATTCTAATTTCATCTAAACTTAGTTGGTTTCGCCATAATAAAATATTCGGATGGGATGAAGACATAAAATCTGTTACTAAATATTTCAACGGTCCTTGTCGCTTTGCTTTGAAAACACAAGATTTTGACTCCTTAGTATTTTCCTAATTAACAAATAGTGCCATCAAGGGAATATATGTCAGATACTACGAGGCTACCTTGAGCTTTAGAGTTTCCGTTACTCCACTTGGGGGTAAATTCCTACACCTACCAGATTTCTTCGTCACTTAGGCAAAATGTCTCCTACGTTGGATTATATTTAACGGAGATAAAACAAATCTTGAGTTTCTTTCTTTTTTTCGAGAGAGAGATCTACAGCATGCGATTGTCCGGACAACACTTTAAATGAGGGTGAAGTTTTGTCGAAGAAAAAAATAAAAAAATATAAAATCCGCCATAAGAGATCATCTGATAAAGGCCGCCGGATTAATGTTAAATCTTCAATTTAAAGACCAAATGGATCGCTTTCAGTAGGCATGACTTGAAAGTAGATATTGCTTGTATAAAGAAAGTGTATGACAACCCTCTAAACCGTGTAACTATAAAACCCTCGCCAACATTTCGAAGGTTTGAATAACAGTTTTCTCAACCTTCTTGCTTCAAGGCAAAGTAACGCCTATTTACAAATGATAGTACTTACGGCCGGCAACTCTGCTAATTTGCCACAGCACCAGTGTAACGAAGACAAGAGTCTTCATAGTGCAGGTTGACTAGAACTGGCCAAGAGAAGTTTCGTGAAAAAACGTTTAAACGAAATAAAAGTTTGCTCTCAGCTGTGTGCTAAAAGTTTAGCTGGCGATGTGTGATAAATCGACCTCTCCAGGTCGAAATCTGATAGCTTCGAAGGTCAGCACTTTACGAACGAGGTCTTTGTTCCGTCTGCGTCTTTGGCGATATTGTGATAAATGCTCGTCAGATGTCTCAACGTTTCACTGATTGACAAAAATTATTTTATGCGGAAATAGGCTTTAAAGGAAGAATCGAGTCAAGAATATTTTTTCGAACGCAGACACAAAGAAATCCATTCGAAGAGATGGCATAAAAAGCTTTAAAACAGATGCAAAGGTGTTTAACAGACTGAAAACCTCACTTAACAGCGGGAACTCGCAAATATTTCATCGGGATGGAAAACAAGTTTGCTTTGTTTACTTCTGATAACCTCAAAAAAATTGTTATCGCTTCACCCGAGCTTTCTACCTATTGAATTCGAGGCAAATAGCACGATCTGACATTGCTATTCTTATCCTGAGAGTATCTGCAACAATTCGATGACACACAGTTTATCACCAGTGCCAGTGAAGCCGGTTCGCACACCTTGGACGGTCAACTGAATATGAAATGCTAATAAGATAATGTCGCGCAGAAGTGTACTTCACAAACGGTGATACGAAGACTTAAATCCAATTTATTTCTTGGCTGTCGTACTTTTCGTGAAAATCGAGAAAATTCTCTTTTGCACATGGACACTGCCCAGACTACTGCAATGTCTGTAGACGTGTCTAGCCAGTCAGAGCAAGGATATGAAAACAACTGTAGACAGTTTAACCCTAATGAAAACAAAACAACAGATGAATAATAATTTAAAACGAAATCAAATAAAAAACAGACAAATACACTTGCTGGCTTAAATCCTACTTAAATGAAGATTCGATATCAATTGCAAAACACTACTTGCGACAAAAAAATTTTCCACCCACCACTCGTTTTATGGAGGTCTATTGAGAAAACGACAAGAGAGGACAGAGCTGGAATGGCGCCAGTTTTGTGACTGCATTCGCTGCCCATACGGGTGTGTTTTTTCAGAGTTGTTTTCAATCGGCCTCTCTTTGCCGAGCTAAGAAGACATGGAGCACAGCTCGTAATACTTGTTCAGTTCCACAGATCCCAGTCTCATTTCAGACCGAAACAAAAACATTTTCCACGCTTATTTCAGTCATTATCTCTAAATTCTCCACCCTCTTTCACATACATGTCGAACCTGATTTGCAAGTCATATTCACTTGAAATTGCAGCTTGGATAACTGTAGTTTTATTTCCTTCTCTGCATTTATTATTTATTTTTAATCTAAAAGCAAACATATTGAAACACACGCATGCTCCCCTTTAAACTGTGTACAACCAAATTTACCGTTCAAAGCGACCTAAGAAATACCGACACATCGCTTTAAACCTCGAACAGCGGAGTCCATAGTCAACTATAAGGTTGTTGTTTGGAGTCCGACCGCTCAAGATGCTGTTGCTACTTAACTTTAATATCAATTTAATTTTTCATCATTCTTTCTAAATAGCAATAAAAATCAATCGATTTCGGGAAAGCACTTTACCTTAAGTCTGACAATGAATTAACTCTTCATTATTTCGTCACTTTCGCGTGAGAGAATTTGCAGTTCACGTTCATTTGTTCTAAGGCTTTCAACTCAGCGTTTTCCCCAAATATGAAGTACATGAAATACGTGGTATTGCCTCTGAAGCTCTATTCTAGTCTAATATAAACTAAACATTCCCTGTAAAAACATTTTAACTAGCCTGTTAACTTTCAGGGCCCAGTTGTTCGAAGGCTTATTAGCGCTAACCCACGGTTAAAATTTTAATTTGGGTTTCTTTATTCCTTTAATTTTTTTCTGCCGTTTTACGGTTAACGAGTAACTCCACTGGGACCTTTTTAAATCTAGAACTTACTGATTTTGAAAATTCCGAAGTTTTGGACAATGAGTTATTGCATTTATTAGCTGACGCTTGGCTACATTATTGGTATTATCATTATCATTATTATTTTTTTTTTCATCATCATCATTATTGTCACCATGAGGGACAAATCATTGTCTATCGCCGTGGGAAGGAGGGGGGGGGTTGGGGGTGGGGCTTGGTTGATGCCAGGAGCCTATCACTTGTGATGGGCTCTTGTTGATGCACAATAAAATTTACCTGGTCCCCCCTATAAGGATTTGTAGAATTTGGATGATTCCCGTCTAAGGCAGTCAATTTTCTATTGTGCCCCATTTAAACTCTCTTTTCAACGATTGATCTCCTGCTGTTCCCCTTGACTGAATACCATGCGATTCCCCCCACCTAAAATCCTCCCTCTCCCCTCCCCACCGGTGAACAATGACAGGTCAGAGGGTATCAACAATATTAAACCAATTTAGTGGATTGTTAATCTCTTGCATTGATGATAATATTACGCCTGGAAAAGAACAACCTGTCAGTTCACCGAAGCTCCCAAACATAATACTGTTAGTCTGTTTTGTTTCCCATTGCTCGTTACTTTACTGCAGAGATTGGCTCTGAATGGATTGCGAGGCGATAAATGATCTGTGATGTCAGATCTATCTTGTACGTCTTACGTATTTGTAGCCTGCCGCTGTCGCTGAAAAAGAAAAGAAAATAAATTTGAAAACACGCAATCAGTGACATAAATATTAATAAAATAGGTTGGAAAATTAACGTTTTAGTAGGAAACTCAGCATTAAAAAAAAATGGCACGCTTTAACTGACTGAAGTTTGTGATAATACCTGCGTGTTTGTAGATGACAACTATAACAGCAGAGGAGAATGGGGTTTTTAGCGAAATAAAATGAAACTGGGTATTACTGTTGGGAAGCTTTTTTTCCGGATTTCTGTCCGAGTCATGTTTTTCAGCCTGTTCCAGGCGTTCAGTTAATAAAACGAAGCGGGATAAAAAACAGTGCCATAGAAGCGGAGGAGTCGCGTAAGGCCCCAATCTCCAGATCCCTCGCTTTTTTTTAATCCACCTCTACTATCGCGCTCTTTACTACTTCGCTCCATTTTTAACTCACTGAACGCCTCGCACAGGCCGCAAGTTATAGTTCTGTGCGTACAACTCTCTCTACTTTTAATAAATTCCTTTGTTCTCACCATGGCAGGTTCCTTTCTTTAATTTCTTCACTAATGTTTTGAGTTCAGAGAAGGTTCGTGAAGAGTACACGTCTCTGCCTGAGGAAATGGCCTCCAGACTTTTCCTATTGACCCGCTTTCCAATTCCAAGCGAAATGATGCGCACGCCCTTTTCTTTAAGAGGCTTTGAAGCTTCGGTAAGAATCTCGATGTCTGACTTCCCGGAGTTCTTTTCAACTGTTTGCACCCCATCCGTCATTACGAGTGCCACCTAACAGAGTCAAATGTCAAACGTGTTAAATGACAAAGCAGATATTGATGCCATCGAAATGTGAACGAATCGAATTCAGTCGCTGTGGTGTGCTGTCTAGCCTATGACGGGTTCTCTGTTTGTGGACGCATGAAGTATGCTGGCGGGCCGGCGGGTGGTTAAGTGAAGATCTAGAACATAGGGGTCATTCTATAATTGTTTCTCTGACAACCGCAATACCGCTTTTCGTTAGCGCGCTCTTTCGCGCAGCTCACTTACTAAGAGCCTAGAGTGAGCTCGAACCGTCAAACCATAAGTTCGCAAAGAGATGCAAACTTCTGTACTAAATTCCGTCCAGTTTTTCTCTCTCTACAAAATATTGATAAAATGTTGATATTAGATAAATAACAGTGAATCTCAGGCAAGCACTGATATTCTTTATTACAGAGACTGACGAAAATTTAAGATGTAAATAAGATACACCTGCAAGGATTTATTTTAGAAAATTAAGAAAAATGAGTAAAAAAAAAAAAACTCATAAACGACGGAAATGAAAATTGTGGAATTCTTGGGACATACACTCAGTACATTATGGTTGACTAGAATCTTTGAAGCAGAAGCTTTTTTGAAGCGTAACCAACAGGTTATTAGTGCTGGTCGCTTACTCCTTAAAATTAAAGCTCGATTGTGATCGTGATCGAGAATATATATATTTACCTTATCCACGTTATATCGCATGCCAGCGGCGTATGTGAAAACGTCTCGGTCTGCCATACGTAATGCTCTGTCGATGTACGTGTACCCTCGTTTATGGGGCATGCTTTGAACCTTTTCCTTTACGTTTTGTCTGGTCAGATTTTTTCCAGACAAGTCATTGAAATGGAGCTGCACAGAAGCAGTGGTGCTGTACTCTATAATAGCTATATGGGTGTAATCTTCATCCACCTGAAAGCTATCCACCAGATTACGAATGAAATTTTGAAGAAGCTGAAAGTTTTTTCTCGAAATGCTGCCAGATGTGTCGGCGATGATAGCAAAGTCCAGAGGGATGTTGCAGCTCACTAAGAAAACAAAACAGCATAATAGGTGTAACCCACTTAGAGTGCATAAAGGCATTTCCTACTTGTGGCAAGATGGTTGGTTAGCTGGGGTCCGCGTCGAGAGGTCCTGGTTCGAGACCTGGCCTAGTCATTGTGTTGTGTTTTTGAGAAAAAACATTTTACTGTCACCTCTCTCCACTCAGAAGTATAAATGGGTACAAGATAGTTATCAGGCAAATCTGATGAAATGCTGGGGGGGGGGGGGGGGGGGGGGTAGCAGGAGGGAGTAGTGATACTCCTTGTCGCTTCATGTTATGAAAACCGGGATAAGCTCAGGCTGGATGAGCCGCTTAGCTCGAGTGCAGACTCAACCTACTTGTTTATCAAGATAACTATTGAAGCAAACATTAATTTTAGTTAAAGACGAACAGAGCCATAAGTCCCAGTAACTTGATACTTATGTTCCTCAACTTCTATTTATAGTTTGCGGATAAAATATCTTCCATACTCACCTTCACAAGGTAACCACGCGGCACATGAGGCCGTTAATGTACTGTCTCCAACACAATATCTGCCTCCGTGCGAGGGAGGGGGGTTGTTGCATTGCCTTCTTCTTATTCTCCGCCCCAGGCCTCCACAAGTTTTTGAGCATGGACTCCAGCTGTCCCATCGGCCCCAGTTTCCATTTACTAATAAAATGAAAATCAAAACGAGGATATGTATTACATAGGTATTACATAGCTAATCAATGTTTGGGAGTCAACTGTGCAAAACGAATGTAAAATCGAGCTAAAAATGTCATGAGGGTTTTCTTCGGTTCCAATTTCGGCTACAGTGTTGAAGTAATAAACTCATATTCTAAAATATGAGTTTCCTTGATGCGTCGATGACAAAGTGATAAAAAAAAGCAAGAGAGGGGAAAATTGCCATTTTTCGCGCAAAGAAGTAAGAACCATTGCAATTTTCCACAATAAAGAGATAAAATTTGAGTATTCCTCGTGGAAAGAAGGCCAGAACATTCAGATTTGCGCTCTTAAGTAGAGCTTATGTGGGTAAAGAGTGTTGGCTCACAGTCAGTCGTAAGCTTGGTCCCTTGTTAATGGGTTTTAAACACCGAGAGGGTTATTACACTCTACTTCACATTCATATCTAAAGCTCAAGCGATCACTCTGTGACAAGATCGTCTGAACAATCTGTGAGAAGATGTCAGTTTAAATTAAGAGATAATTTTCTTTAATTTAAATCAAAAGGGACTCCGTAATGAGTATTACCTGAACAAGGTCTTGTGTTGCAAGGAATTTCTTCCACTGCTTCGCCAGGACACTGCTTACCGCCACTGGACGGACGCGGATTAGAACAAGATCTGTAACGACGCTTAACTCCACCTGAACACCTCCTTGAGCATCGGCTAAAACGACCCCACTGAGCCCAATTACCATCAACTGTCACACCATAAATGAATAACAGGGTAAGTTCCCGTAACGAAACTGTGGTTCAGTATCGGTGGGGAATATTACATGATAACTTGGTTATATCAAATGAGTTGATAATGCAAACTGGCCGCCTTAAAACGTTCCTGAAGATGATGTCTCGATTGTTAGCCTTTCGTCAGAGTGACAACTTAAATACATTAAGGTTAATAGTGCTTAGAATTTCGGGGTGTATGGCGTCAGGAACGGTAAATGTCTGGGGGGGGGGTTACCAAGGGCTGGATCCATGACCCTCTTAAGAACAAGTTTCGTTTATTTTTCTGCAAAGTTTTAAACAGAAAATTGCAAAATCATATTCAAACACATATTTTACGATTTCCGCGCAGCACCTTGCTTCATTATATATAAAGTCTTTGGAGAAAGAAAACAATGACGAAAATAGAGTTAAAGTAATGTCGTGTTAGCTACCTGGGCAGGATGATCTCTCACAGTAATAAATTTCTCTGCTTTCTCCCCGACACCGTGCTCCACCGTGCGCTGGTGGGGGACTGGTACAAGTTCTGGTTCGATACATTACTCCAGATCCACAGGAAACTGAGCATCGTCCCCAGTAACTCCAGAAGGACCAACCACCATCAACTGATTGGGTAATAGTAAATAAAGCGATTGAGAAAAATGCCATTAGGGCTAATAGAGAAAAATGGAGTTTGTTCCATTAGAAGTGATGAAAAGCCATTATGTGGCTGTGGGTACCAACGAGTGTCCTTAAGCTTGCATTTTCTATATATACATATTTATGACACTGTTGGAATTGCTTCTCCTTTCAGAATTCAAGACGCACGAACTAAACGTAAGGCAGCCTTAAATTTTCCAGCTACCTGCAATTTCAATCGTAAACATCAATTCTTAGGAAGCGCAGCATTCGTTTCGTTGATCCCAAGTTTGATTATTAACACCATCATTACACAGCTCAAGGTATCTATCATTATGAACTTATTCAAACTATTTACCAGGGCACAGTTTATCTTCATTGCAGGATTGTCTTTCCTGTTGGCTCCCAATACACCATGATCCACCATTGGAACGTGGGGGATTGGTGCAAGTACGCAAACGGACCTGTGTTCCTCCTCCACATGATCGTGAACACCTGCTCCATGGTTTCCAGTCAGCCCAGTTGCCGTCGACTGTTTCATCAGGGAAGAGAAAAATCAAAATTTCATCATGCTTTTATCTCCGCTTTTTCACTAAATGGATGGTCCGTTTTGCACAATTGTTGTTGAATACGTGAGACATTGAAAGCTATTACTGTGTACGCTTAGGTAAATATTCTCAAGCGACTACCGGAGTCACGAAGCCAATAACGAAAGACTGACTCATCCTGTCCCAGGAGACGTGAATGAACCGCTCATAAACTCGATGAAAACGTTTTGCTTTGTCCCAACCATTGATTTGCAAATTTCAATTCACTATTAATCATAATTCCGTTCCCGGCTATGATTAGCTAATTTTGTAAACCTCGTAATAGTAGGGTACTGTGACGACTATTTATCCTCGACTAATCACCCTCAGAGTCAGATTCTACTCATAAAAGGTAAAATAAAATCCAGGACTAGTATAAAGGGGGTAAGTTTCTAAAGAAACGGTGATGCTGCGTTGGTGGGGATAATACAAGACAATTTGAGTTTTTTCAGCGCAGTTGTTAAATTTGCGAACGTAAGGATTTTCTAAAATGGAGGTTTCGACTGTTGGCCCTTCGTCTGGCCGAACGATTCGCTCTTACCTGGACACGGCCGTCTGTTGCAAAAGCGAGTCTCCTTGTTCCTTCCTGAACACTGCCTGCCACCATGAAGAGGTGGTGGATTTGTGCAGGTTCGCATTCGGCTCTGATCTCCACCACCACAGCTCTTACTGCATTTGCTCCAGCTTTGCCATCTTGCCCAGTTACCATGAACTACGAAATGAAAACATAGTAGTTAGATGGCTTGAATAAGGGAACACCAGATTACAGTCTCAGTGCCTTAACCACTCGGCAACACTAGCTTTTAAACTTTAGCCAGTGAAGATTTCGTGGTTGAACGCACCACTAAGGGCGATAAAAAATACTCATAAGCGACTCATACCATTAGCGAGGTTCTTGTCTTTAACAGAAGCTGCTCGTTCCTGGATAAAGTAATAGACATCATTCACTCAGGGAGAATAGAAATAAAGTTTACCTTCGCACGGTTGCTCATTGCATGATTGGACCTGTCGTCTATCTCCGATGCAATTTGCTCCACCAAAGGCGGGTGGGGGATTAGTGCAGGATCGTGAACGTACTTGAGTTCCGCCCCCACATCTCACTGGGCATAGGCCCCATGGGTTCCATCTTGCCCACCTTCCATTTACTGTGAGAAGTTTTTTTCATTGACGAAAAGAGAGGTATCAAATAAAATTATTTTAAAAACTAAATATCTGTTTGTGTTTTCATGCAGACGAATACAAGGTAGTGTCTGTACGACCAAAAAAATTAACGTTTACAATGGGAATTTTATTTCAACCGTTCGTATTTCTCCATAATGAGAGCAATTCTTCTTGAAATAATCACCATTTCCATTGTTGAGGAGAAATTCGTCTTTAAAGTAGTGTGTAAGTAAAGAACTTGCATTTTGAGGTGATATCTAATGTCCTTAATCAAGTGAAATTTTGTCATTACTGTATCTAATCTTCCCCGATCTGAACGGGCCACATATCAGCTATGCATTTAAGATGGCCTCCTAAAGCCCGGATTTTCATTATAAATCCCAACGAAAAGGGTGACTTACCCGGGCAAGGTCCCTTGTTGCAGGACTTGGTTTCATCACTCTTTCCCATGCAGTCTTTACCACCAAAGGTTGGAGGAGGATTGGTACAGGTGCGGGATCGACTCTGAGTTCCTAATGAGCATGACACACTGCAGGGAGACCAGGGTTTCCATGCAGACCATTTCCCGTCCCCTGAAGAAGGAAAGCCATGGTAAAACATGAAAAATAGTTCATGATTCATGAATGGTGTAAGTGAAAACAAGCCTTTTGGCAAGGTGCATGCAATGTCGCATTGTACTTGTGTTTGTCACGACCCTCGACGCCGACACCTGGGTATGTTAGTGTTAATGCAGAATGTACTTCTACATGAAAAAGAAAAAGAATGAGTAAAAAATAAGATAGAAGAATTCACGGAGAAGAACTAGCAAACGAACAGAAATACCTCTAAACAAGCAACTACTCCATTAACGACCATTCAACAGTAGGGCTGCCGACTAATCACTCGATTAATGCAAGGAGCTAACTTCGCTGCTCCAAAACAAAGATTACCTGTATATTTTGTGGAGTACTGAGTTAAGTGTTTACTTACATTATTTTAAAAGACAATTGTTTTATCATTACCTGGACATGGATTGTCGTTGCATAATCGCGTGCTTCTACTTGGTCCAACACACTGCGCTCCACCAAAGGCCGGTGGAGGATTGGTACAAGTTCTTGAACGGTCTTGCACGCCACCTCCACACGTTAAAGAACAAATGCCCCAGTTTCCCCAAACTGTCCATTTACCGTCCACTACCAAAATGACGAGGAAAAGATCAAGGCGGGTAGGTTGAAAAAAATTGGCAGAGACATATGACATGTAATCTTCTTTTCTATGAGTAATTTTAACAAGATGAAACATCACAGAAACAACAAGTCACCCGAAGATCGGTACTGGATCGGTACTGGAATAGGATAAATTAGTTGCATGCAGATATTTGTAGAGAAGCTAAAACACCACCGCGGCTAAAACAATGATATAAAATTCTGCAACTAATTTAAGAGAATGAGTTATGGTTATATTTGTTGCTTCTTCAAGGGTATCCTAGAAAATCTGCATTTATCCCTACAGAGAAGGAGTAAAGAGGTCCAAATCTAACCCGGACAATGGTTCTCATTGCAGGATTGAACCTCTTTGCTTGGTCCTTCGCAGTCCGCGCCACCATGTGCTGGAGGAGGATTGGTGCATGATCTGGATCGTTCCTGTTGCCCACCACCACAACTGACTGTACAGGGGCTCCAACTGTCCCAGCCAGTCCACCTGCCATTTACTGAAGGAGATAGAGCGCTTCAGGACACTTCTTCTTTTTGCCCGACGTTAAGACTTATTGCAATTTTATCTACCATTCCTAAGCCTTAGAAGATAATTTTTCCTCGTTTGTTTACCACGTGAATCATGGCAATTTAAGCAGTCCATGAAACGACACGTCACGTCTATAAAATTATCAGCATGCCGTTTGAGAAGAGATGAGTATGCAAAAAAGGATTTTGGAAGCTCGTAGAAAATAGAGAGCCCACAATCATTGATAAAAGTAATTTGCTTGAATTTAAAGATCTCGATCATGAAGGAGATGGTTAGCAACATAAAATACTGGTTTTGCTTTTTTTCGCTAACAGGAGTCGTTGAAGCAACAAAATAGTTCGATAAACCGTAAAAAAAATGCATATTTTTTCACAGCTTTATATCAAATATCTTTCGACGAGATTTATAGCGAGTAGACTGGAATACAAAACGAACCTTAGTTTTTTCTTTCTCACAGTTAAACAGGGTCGTTAAATGAAGCTGGATTGCTTCCTTCAAATTACCTGGACATGGAAATTGCTGGCAAAATCTGGTCTCCATACTAGAACCGTCACAAGGTCTTCCACCGAAGGCTGGAGAAGGATTGGTACAAGTTCTTTGTCGATCTTGAACTCCACCTCCACATGTCAGAGAACATGAGCCCCACTCTCCGAACAGTGACCATCCTCCGTCGACTATTAGATAACAAAGGAAATACTCGTTATTACATTTTAAATTTTCAAAAAAAATTTCGTACACCACCTTTGGTCATAGAATTTTAGTTGAATGTATGTATGGGGTGGTGTTTATGCAAGATCGTACATCAGGACATCCTCGTTCGTTGCAGGATCTTGAGCGAACGCTGTCCCCTCCGCAGTCGTCTCCTTCAAAAGCAGGAGCAGGATTGGTACAAGACCGCTTAGATAACTGGGTACCACCACCACATGACACTGGACATGGTTCCCATGTTCCCCACCTTGTCCACCTTCCGTCGACTGCAAATGTTTGTTCATAAGTGATACGTGTCAGAGGCAGCTGAACTCATAACTCTCTGTACTTATCGGTTCATGTCCAAATGTCTAAATTATCAGTTTGCTCCAATAGTTGGTAGAAGGGCTTAATGATAGATAGCGGCGCTGAATAAGCTTGAATGTAACCACTTACAATGAAACAGATGGAGAGAAACACCTTCTGGTTTTCTTGAATAAACCTACAAAGAAATGGTGGTTCTGGTGGTGTTGGTGGCCTTTTCAGTCACCTTTTTATTGTTGATGCGGTTCGTTTGTGTATCTTGAATAATAATTAGCTTCCCCTATCAATATGAAAAAAATATACAGGTAGATTTCGAGAGAAAAAATAAGTATTCATTACTTGGACATGGGTCTTCATTGCAAGAACGCACGTTCTGTCCTACTCCGCTGCAGTCCCGGCCTCCAAATCGTGGCGGTGGATTGGTGCAAGTTCGGAATCGGCTCTGCGTTCCTCCAGCGCACGTGACACTGCATAGCTCCCAATCCCCCCAATCGGTCCACTTTCCATCAACTGTGGAATAAATGAACCCACCGTTGTGATACGTCTGCCTTAACCTTTGGATGGACCATGCAGAAACAACAACACCAAACACGGAGTACTACACGAAATGCATTCAGGCGGCTCGCTATTGATGACCAGGAGGCATAGCGGTATATTTGAATCAATTACACTCACAAAGCAAAACTCCAATAACACACACACGAACAGCATAATATTTTCATTTTGCAATCTAAATCATTAGAAGTGTGCGCCTTGTTAAACGTAATTACCAGGACACTCCTCTTCGTTGCAGGTTCGAGAACGCCAGCTGTCCCCTTCACAATCTTTTCCTCCAAATTCAGGCGCAGGAGCATTGCATGATCGGCTGGACGCTTGAATTCCACCACCACATGTCATGGAACATTGTTCCCAGTCTCCCCATCTTGTCCACCTACCGTCAACTACACATGTAGTGATAGGGAGACATTAGACTCGCGATATTTTTCAGACTTCAGAGAATGATCAAAGAATAAAGGAGTAAATGTGGAGGAGGTAGACATGTGAGTATTAAGGCTTCGTTTAATTCCTTTTTTCGGAGAGAGTTAAGTACAAATTATTTGACTTATTGATTTAGAAACAAAACACGTTAGGCAATGTTAGAAGAATCGGTCTTGAAATGTAAAAACATGATAGCGTACAGTGAACAGTGATAAATAGAACAGTAAAAAGTATTTACTTGGACATGGGTTGTCGTTACATGAACGCTCCTCGACGTTTTCTCCAACACAGTCACGGCCTCCAAAATGTGGCGAGGGATTGGTGCAAGTCCGAGTTCGGCTTTGCACTCCTCCACCACAAGTCACACTGCAGACCTCCCAGTATCCCCAATCGGTCCAGTTTCCATCAACTGTGGAACAAATTACTCATCAGCTGAAAGAACCTTCATCAAAACTTTGAACAGCCCAGGAAGAACACAAAAAAACAAACCAACAAAAAAAACTGCTTTATATTTCCAAAAGAATAGCAGTAAATTTCCGTAATCCATGACCAGGAGACAAGAAGAAACCTCTGATAGACATTTAAGGTGCTCCGGACAAAAAATTGAACATCATTGAGATGTTTCAAACACATCAAACAAAGCATGATTCACTTCGTAACAAGCATCGGGATCGTATTTACCAGGACATTCCATTTCTTTGCACGGCCTTGACCGTACGTTATCTCCCTCACAGTCAGCTCCTCCAAAGGCAGGGGAAGGATTGGTACATGATCGACGGGACAACTGAGTACCATCACCGCACGATTTAGAGCAAGCCTCCCAATCACTCCATCTTGTCCACCTTCCATCAACTATGCATCCAACAGCATTTCACGTTAGTGTGGTTATAGTTATTGTGTTATGTTCACTATCACATCATAAAGATGGTGTATGAAAAGATTAACTCGTCTAAAGGTGATAGAAGTGAACTCCAAGAAAAAGGACTTCATATGAATGTGTAAAAGAAAAATGAAAGAGAACGAGGGAAGAGCCATGCTGAAACAGTAACAAGAAGTTATTTACTTGGACACGGTTGGTCGTTACAAGACCGCGTATTTTGACTCTCGCCAGTGCAGTCTCGACCACCAAATTGCGGCGGAGGATTAGTACAGGTCCGACCACGACTCTGTGTTCCTCCACCACACGACACACTGCATTGTCTCCAGTCTTCCCACTGAGTCCAGTTTCCATTAACTGCAGAATAGAAAACCAACCACCTTGAAAGTAGTGTATATGCTTTTTTGTCCTTACACTGTGCCATCCATAGGAGTCACGTGAAAAAAGACGCATTTTACAGATTTTTTTTGGCCAGATGAACGTCCATCCGACTTCAAACATAAGCAGGAAGCTGATCAAATTTCGTACCCTCGCAATACCTTCTGCCTATTTAGCATATGCTGAAGTAAGGTGTTTTCGTTTTTCATTTTCTCATTTGAAATAGGTAGAAATGACCTCTAACTACAATTGTATCCTGGACCAAATCACTTTGGTTACCTTGATCGTCACTGGACGATCAGCATTAAAGTATGTCTAAGTCTAAAGCAGTCTATATCTGCCTATTCTTATCTATGCCTCCTGGTCAAAGGACTATCTTTTATGGTGCGATTAGGAACCAAGTCAATCGTCTTGTTACTAAAGAGTAAGTGTGGTCCGCCCAAAAAATTAAAGAAAAGAGGATTTACATGAAAATTGGACGATTCTAGACAGAGGCGACCACTTTTCCAGTAGTCTGGAGGATGTTGAGTCATAGCATCAGTATAGCACGAAAAAGATTCTAAACTAATATAATTTGGAAAACTGAAATGAGCGATCGTGTTCTTATGTTTTCTAATCTATCTTTATTTCATAATCTATGTTCTAATTCATTCGCAGTACCGATTTATTGATTGATTGATAGATTGATGAAGAAGCGGTGATGAAAAGAAAAAATTACTCTTTGGCAGTGAAAATAGAAATATTCATGGCTGACCTTTCTTGGATATAAGACTGATGTTTGCATACCTGGACAGGGCTCCTCGTTGCAAGAACGAGTAAGTATGCCTTCCCCGGAGCAATTTTTTCCGCCATGAGAAGGTGGGGGATCTGTGCAGGTTCTATATCGATTCTGTATTCCTCCTCCACAAGTCACTGGACATATTTCCCACGGTTTCCACTCGGTCCAGCCCCCATCAACTGTTAAATAAAACACATGACTGTTTCTAAAATGTAGGTTTCACAAGGTCAATCACTTTACTTAAATATAATTCATCGAGACCCTTCCCATTATTCCTCTTTAGTAAGGCTCGGCACAGTTAAATCATATCCTTACCGGCGCATGGTAACTCGTTGCATGGACGTGTCTCGTCGCTGGCACCAGGACACTGCCTTCCTCCGTACGCCGGACGAGGATTGTCACAAACCCGATATCTTGTCTGTTGGCCACCACCGCATGGTACTGTGCAGTCACCCCAGCCTTTCCAGTCAGACCATTTTCCATGTACTGTGGTATAGAATTAAGTATTTAATGAGGTAGATCAGGGCTATTACCCTCAAAAGGACGCACATTGACCCTGCGACCCAGAGATGCTGCATTTCAGTATGAGCATCACGAAATGTAGCCTAAATTTTTTTGTCGGCCACTTACAATCATTTATAATCTTTGCTATTCCTAACCAATTTTGGTGAATCTATTTCTACCAAGCAATCGTTTTGCTGGTTTCCTCGCGGAGAAAAAGATTAAAATGATTAAGACGGAGCTCTTTCATGGATTGCCCTTTGCAAAGGATCTGATTATGCAGAGTTTCAAATACGTGACGTAGCTTAATCATTTTCCTATTTCTCTTGAGTCTTGAATGCAATCAGAGAAATCGCCAAACTATCGGGTGGCAATTGTTAAAAGACAAAATTGGCATCTAGCAAGAATTTTCATTATAAGTGATTTTTGACTTATTTGAACGTGAAAATAAATTAAAATAATATATTAGCACAAACCACTCGGTAAAAATTATAATAAGCCAGTTTATAATTGCATATTCCTTTTGGCGGTCTTATCTTACAGGCATAATTTAGCACGCTCGACACCTCTTTTACTTAGAGGTGACTTTAAGTGTAAACATATAGTACTTTTCATCTCCCGCACTGAATTTGTAATCAGATAGCTTATACGGCTAACACGTAGCTCTTTAGGGGCGGTACCTTGGGTACGCCCTTTCTTGTTCGAATTTTGTGATTATTCTGCTGTTATGCAACAGTCTTCAAGGACTATTTTCTCTTAAGATATTTTTTCAAGTACGATTTTAATTCTTTTAGTAAGTTTATTATGATTTTTATATTATCAAGCTTGTTTTTGTTTTACCCGAACTTGACCATAAAGACCAAGAGATTTAAGTCAGAAAGACATTTCGTAAAACGTAAACATCGCGAAGGTATCCACTTAATATGCGTACTCCGCTCTGCGTAATTTAGCATGATTCGCTATTTAAGTGTAAAAGCATGACGAAGGTTAGAGATTGACAGCTCAGTAAGTGTCACCTTTATAAGCGGTGACTCACACTTTCCTAGAGAGATCAGAGCTAGTCCCCGTTGTAATAACTTGAGTAATAAAAGAGAGAATAAAAGAAATAGTCAACTGAACGACGAGTGTCAGGAAATTATTTCTAACACAATTATAAAGAAACAGAAATGGTAACGGACAAAATTTCTCAAAATACTTCTGTTTTGATCTGTATGTTTCCCAGAGTTAACCAGACTAAATAAAACTCTGTTCAAAGGTACGAAAATTATATTGATTTTTTATGCTTTTTGATAGAGTTGTCTTCCTCAAACCCTATTTTTTACGCATTATTCTGGATACGTTTGCCTTTTAATTGCATCAACGAAGGAAATAACTTCACCTTAAAAAAGGGTGTGGCCAACATTGAAAGGGGCACCATACCTGGACAGTTTCTTTCAGTCAGCTCTGTAACCAAATTTGTAAGCTCTTTAAAATCTGCAGCTGAGTACACATCCTCATCCGTGGAAGCAAGTGTCAAAAGGTCAAACAGCAGGGTACCTGTTCCAATACCCAGAGAAATCACACGAATGCCTTTGTCTTTCAGAGGTTGAACAGAGTCATGGAGAATGTCGGAGGAAAGAAATCCTTCCTCCACCGTCTGTCTTCCATCGGTTATTACCAGAACGATCTATACAAAAATAGGAGACAATTATGTCAAGAGTTAAAGAAGTATGCTCTACACTCCATGTTTTTTAAATTTTCTAAAAACGTTTTTTTGTCAATAATGACGATAGTCACTTTGAGAAAACTAAGAACACCGCCATTTTAAACCTTGCACCTTGCTTTACAACCTGATCAAGACATTATTTTTGCCATCCCTTGTCGATCTGTCTGGACAACGAGGAGCCACAAAAAGGCAGTCTTGACTCAAATAAAGGCTTTTTTTTCGCGATACGTAGTCTTACAGCGACTTGAGAACAGTGAGCAGTCCTTTTGAGTGTGCGCCAAGTTTACTCAGTTGTTATCGAAATGACGGTCTCCACTGTTAAAGTTTTATAAACATACGTAAAGGCACTTTTCTATAAGGTAAGGTGGCTCTCTGGGTCCTCAACATGTCGTAAGTGGTAAAGTTTTATGTAACACAGAAATCATGAAAATACGAATTGTATCGTTATAATGGAGCATACTTCTCCTTTAATCTCTATAAAAAAATTTTAAAAAAACTGGGGATGAGTTCTAAAATGACAAATAAGCTTCAATTTAAAAAGAAAGATTAATTTTTACTGATGCAACCTCGTTTATTCAATATCTCCATTGATGCGTCGATCAACTCGAAACCTCAACATCCCCCTGGCACCACCCCGGGCACCCACCTCGCATCAGAACTTTTAAAGATTGGTTTGTTCAAATTTCTGCATCCGGGGCAAAAATTGTTTTTTTTCTTTTGTTTTCTGTTTTTTGGTTTTTTTTTTTCGTAAAAGGAAAATTCAGCAAAAAGTAGCAAAAAGAACCACAAAAAAATACACTTAAAAAACTTAAAACTTAGACCTTTCAGATCTTTTTTTCTGAGCCATTCACTTGTGAAAGTGATCTTTTTACGTTTTAAAAATTTTAAAGATATAGCACTTATATGCCGCTGGAAAAACGACCCTTTCTTTTCTAATTACCCAACCGCGCCGGGAAACGTTCAAATAATCCACCCTTCCAGGCACGGACGACAGTCAGGGAAAGAAACATTATAAGAATTGACGGTAAGGTGAATTACGAATGAAATCTTGGAGGGCCGGTTCATTAAACAAACTTTACCCCTTGTTTAACGTTCTAAAATATTTTGAATTTAGGTGAATCTTTTATCTGAACATTTATTTTTGTTACCTGTGTCAAAAGGGCCGAAAGCTAGCAGTGCAAGGACATTTATTTAGTGAAAACATCCCTCTTATAGAGAAGACGTGCGGCCCACTGCTTGCGTAAAACCGCGGTTGGGGTTAAACCTCCTGTAAATGTCCGGCCTTTAGAGTCTAAACCTATTTTAAGGAAGGAAAAATTTCCCCTTTCGGTCATGATTCTCATGACTTTCAATCAACTTTACCTTGATTCTTTCCGGCGACAGCCCTTTAGTGATAAACTTTCATGTTCTCAACTCCGATTACGCTTGGGCAGTGAAATCCAAATCAAAACCGGTCATTAATTTTAAAGTACAAAAAAACTACCCAGCAGTCCTCTTCCTTTTCTTACCTTTGTAACATTTGGTCTCATTCCATCTTTTACAGAAAACACCTCCGTGTTTGTCAAATGCAGACCCTTATCTATGTAGGTACGTCCACGCTGATGGGGAATCTTACGGGCTTGTCGTTTTAGATTAACTGCATTCAGCTGGACTCCGGTGAAACTATTAAATTTTAACACGACAGACGCTTTACTGCTGTATTCTACTATAGCAACATGGGTTCCTTCTTCTGATATGTCGAAACCATCGATCATCTGCTCGATGAACTCTCTCTGCCTTACGAAGTTCCGTCTACTGATGCTGCCGGAAGTATCAACCACGAAAGCGAAGTCTAAGGGTTCGGGGCAGCCCTCTGCATTGAAATATTGAATCAATCTTTAGCAAGGGATCCATTAAGAACTGAATCATCTGGTGAAATTGCAGACTGACAACAGAATTACTGAAATTGCCAGTAGCACAGAGGCAAAGTTGTTAAGGACAATAAACCAAGAAGGCTGTTACGGAAATATGTATTGTTGTTTCCGTGTGATTTTCGGAACAAATTTATTACTTACTTTTCCAGTGTTTTAGCCTCTCAAAATTCGTAATTTCTCTCAATCACCAACTAGTGATAATCGCCATTTTTTAGTACAACTGTACATCGGTGCTTTTTTTTCCACTATCAATGTGTCAACGTGCAGGTCATGAAACGCAACTTACTGATAGCTTTTCAATCTTTTTAAAATATTTAATTTAAAGGAGCTCAAACGAATCGCGAGCCTCTTAAATGGAGACAAAGTAAGGATTATACATGTTCCAAAAAACAAACACGGAAAAATCATTAAATATTTTCGTTATGAGGTCGACAACTGGTCTTCAAAGGTTCTCACAAGAATTGACCTCACTCCCAACCTGCTCGCACGCTTCGTACAAATACGAGAACACTTCAAATACTGGGCAGACACGAAAATTTATCGGGACGAGCTAAGAAGTGGACCTCGTATTATTTTCTTTTTGATCAGGTGCAGTTTGCTGTATTCCTTAACAATTATACCGACATACAGTCCCCCTAACAATCCGTGTTGGATCTTCACTTACCGAGTTCTCGTGGTTTAATACACCGAAGAGAGCAGCCATAATCTCTAGAAGATGGACAACATTTCAGTCCATTTGAGCAAGCTTCGTCTGATGAGCAGCGATTGTAAATTCTTTTGCAATCGTTGTTTACAGTCGGAACTGCAGGGCACGTTGACCTTGCTTCAAGAAAGAAATAAAAGAACACAAGTAAGATAAGACAAAATCACCCATCACGTCAGTTTGACTTACATTAGCCTTGTGCCTTGTGCCTTGTGAATTTTATTGCCCATCAACCACAGTTACGCTATGGACTAGGAATGCCACCAAACTCCCCAAACTCCCCAAACAATCACGTAACTCCATAAAAACCACCAATTGGCGAAGAAGGGTATAAACACGCTACTAAATGAAAGTAGATTTTACCATTGTCTCCCTGAGAATTGGTACTCAAACTACCCTTTAAATTTTTTCGAACGACTTCTTATGGTTGCAATCAACGAGAAGAAGGAAAAATAGGAAAAACGAAACTGTCATTGTTACGGAATAGTTCCTTTCTATAAAGGCTCAATCTCATCGCGATCTCTTTTGAAGAAACACAGTGGCTCCGTAGTATCTAAGAATTTAGATTTGACATTTTGTTATTTTAAAGATTCCGATGTTTTTCAGTGACTTTTTTTGGGGGTCACAGAGCAAAAGATAAAACTACTCACAAAAATAATATCCACGTTTGTTTGTTTGTTGTTGTTGTTTTTTGTTCGTTCGTTTGTTTTTGCCGTTTTCTTCACCAAACTTCAACTAAATTGAGTTAGGCCTATCTAATTACCCACATCCGTAAATTTTTTATGTATCGCCTTTCGACCTCTCCAACCGCTCAACATCCGGTGGTCTTCAAAGAAAACCAAATATGCTTTCGCCGTTTGATTTTCAGCTGCATTGCTTTAGATAATCGGTAATACTTTCGATGTGTGGTTGGCGTGTTTGACCGAGCACGCCCCTTGGCTCTCATTGTTATTCCTGAATGTCCCATAATAAACGCGAAGCAGTTTGATATCTTTTTCCTTTAAAAGTTAAATTTGGAGATTAACGACAACGCCTGTTTAAACCAGTGAATTACTTTTGTTTTATTTTATCTTAACAACGAAACTGCATTTAGGGTGAGAACATATCACATGATTCCAATCTGTGATAGTTGTGAGTCACATGATGTAATAGCAATTCTATGAAAAGTAATCAGGTGTAAAGAAAGTCAACAAACCCTTTCGGCAGACGGCATGTTTAAGAAACGTTAATGGTTAGACTTTTGCAATCAGGTGACCTCTCGCGCGTGATATCACGTAGTGATCTCAAGGTCTCACACAAATGGCAATTCAGAGCTGTTTTCGGCTAACTGTCAATCCGCCTCAGAACAAGTTGTTCGAACTATTTCCGCTATTGTGACGATCTGAAAAAGTCTTAAGTTCAAATGTTGAGCGCTGTGCAAGCTAGGCAAAACGTGTGCGCTCTAAGATCCTACAATTGTGTAGCTTCTCATTCGTAAGGGGTCTGGTTACTGCGCGCGTAATGTAAAATTCTCACAGTAAAAGCGGCATATAACTGTCTAGACCCACTAGACATTTATTACTTCTATTTTTACTAACAAAAAAAAATCATGCGGCGGTTTCCTTTCTATAACAAAACAGCACGTACTTTTCGACTTAGAAAGCGAAAAGAGGAATTTCACAAATTTTTTTGATAGAACGCATTCCAGGGTAAGCACCTCTCCAAATTCGAATGTTTTAAGTCTTTCAAGCCGCGACTTGATTTCTCATCCCGAGTTTGGAATATTTGGTTATCTCCGTATCAAAGTTCTACATTTTTTGGATAAAATGGTGTTATTTCTAGCCTTATGACTCTAGAAGAGTATTTATCTTAGCACTAAGACATCTTAGCCTTATCATTCGGTCTCTTCTTAAGCGTCTTTCAACTGTTAAGTTCAAACATTCCTCACGTAATACTTCTTCCCCTGCTGGAGAGAAGATTGGCAAGAACTCTGACTCTGGGTGAAGGTGATAACAATTTTCTCACTGATGAAATTTGTTCCAAATAAGAATAAAAGAAAAATGTATAATTGAAGGTTTTCATGTCACTCCAGGCTATGGCCTTTACAGAGTCGAATACCCAGGCCACTTAGTTCTAAATTAGCAAAGAAGTTGATCTTCACTTTTAACGTAAATAATGATAACCATGTAGCAACTTTAACATTCAGATGTCCGATTCAACAAACGCCTCACAAATGAATTTCACGGAGTTGGAAGCGTTTTTCTCCAACAACAAAAAAAGAGAAAAAAGGAACAAAAAGAACCTGTTAAAAAACTACTCTTATCATAATTACGGGTAAGTCGCCGGCCTCAGGCCTTCGATATTCAGTTTTAGTGTCGGAGGACATGTACAGCATAAACTTCATCAATATTATCAACGTAAATTATAGCACTTTTTTAGAAACAACGGATCAGTATAAACACTGGGTTATAACGTAGGTCTTTTAAGATCTCTTAGTTTGACCTGGCACGTAAACAAGCTACGATTACACGGATATTTTCAAATCTTGTTTCTAAAAAAATTTAAGGTTCAGTCAACTACGGATACTTACAATATCCAACGGTGGCTCGTGCCTCGAGCAAGATAAACAGGACGGAACAAACTCCAAAAATCTCCTTTAAAAGTACCATGTTTCCCTCTGCTTCGTCTTAGGCCTACCTTTGGCCACGAAAATATTGCTTCCCTGAAGATTAGAAGGTATTATATAGATATCAGCATGCAAGATCGTGAAATGTCAGCATCGACAGTGGCGGAAACGCCCACTCAACTTGGTGTTTGTGTAACCGATTAATTAGAAAACAACTGACTTGACTGCGTCGGAGGTCATTTGTCAGCCTCTTTTCGTGATCTTCTCGTTAACTTGTGATTAATTTAATGATCTTATCTTTTTTTGCATTTCTTTGGACAAACGATACTGACGAGTCACCTCCTGAAGCTTTGATCCAAAATAACCCAACTAGAAAGTTCCATAAAAATTAAATGTGAGACCCTTCACCATGATAGAAGGGCATCTTCCCCGTAATGAGATCATCGTGACATGTTGACAACAAAGGCCCTTTTCCTTGGATGACTCGTTTACACTATGCTTAAAATGAATATGTTGTAAGGAATGTATACTTGCGACATATTATTATCAGATCTAATGGTCAGACTCTTTCGAGGTTAGCCAGCCATCAGAGATACAATCGTAGAGATGTTACCCGCTGTGACTCGACGGTTTTTTTTTAATGATATAATCCATATGGACACATCTAGGAGTACTGGCGACTAAATCGATACTTTTCTCTAAAAGTTTACAATCACTTTAGTACTACTAGCAATGGTCATGGTCTACATACGTTTAATAGGAATGTAATTTTGCGTAGCCTGCATGATAAATGCATACGACATGCACTTCAAGGTTTACACAGTGCCGCAAACTCTCCATGATTTTTCTAAGCAAGCAAATATGTACTTGATCGACAGAATCTTCTTTATGATCAAAGCCATTTATAATATGATCGATCCAGCCTTGTGTTGTAGTGTGACTCGAGTTTGAATGTTTTTTACTTTTTGGCTCTTTTTTTTGTACCTGTGATGAGCATTTAAAGCGTTTTATGGTTTAACGAGGGCTCTTGAATTTCAAGGGTGCATCCAATAATGTGATCGACTTGCTTATTGACAGATTTATAATGAAAAATATCAAAGAAAATGTAACTTGTAGAAAATTCTGCATACCTGACCTGGGCCTAACGCCGGTCGGAAGTGTGGGTTACCCTCGATGTTACAATCATAACTAAATGGACAATTCTTAGCCAACAGACAAAGGCGGTTTTTGGTGCCTAATTTGTGGTTAGTCACTGTCTGGACCAGAGGCAACAACAAATCCTTAAAAATCTGGGCTGTTACAAGTACGAAAAAGGCTTTTCAAGTCACTGATCACGAAATAACTACGATTTTTATGGAACATCTTTAACCTCCTGAACACATTATTGCGTGCAGCGCCAATTCTGGATCGAGCACATCTTTTTAAGTATTAGAACGAAGCCGACAAACTGTTTCAATTTTGTTGCTGTTGATTGGCTTGGCTCGTTGACGAGGGTCGATTAAGCAGAGTTTCCTAATTACAGAAATTAACTTAAATAGTTCCTTACACGCGGGAGACATGGCAATGTGCTTCACGATAAGTCTTTTCAAGAGTCTCCACTAAACTGGACAGGCTCAGTTTCAGTTATCTCACCCAAACCAAGTTAGGATTAAGATATTTTTCACCGCGATCTCAGAAAGTGTGATGGGAAATTTGTTATAAGAAGAGCCTCGCTCTGTTACCCAGACGTAGCTTAAAATCCCCGCCTTATTCATCTCGTAAACAGGAGAAAAATCCCATTACGAACAGAAGACAAATTTCATATGATCACGTCCTAATTTCTAGAACTCTTAAATCTTACTTCGATCATGACTCATGCTTGAGCTTACGCATGCCTTCCGCCGGATTTCGCGTCCCGTTCCTTGAAGGAAATCATCAAGGACCCACGTCATCTATTAAATTATTTACTTTATCATTTATTTTGCATGACTGAACCATTTGCTCCAGGCTCCGACAAATTTAAATTGGCTTGGGAACAATGCTCTACCTCATAATCAAGTGGAGGAAATTGCTTTATCAGCCTATTATTAATTGAAGGACTAACCACGTGTATGATGCACACGCGTTTTCGGCAAAGGGGATACCATGAGTTTTCACAACATCGATCCTTCGCGCGTCAACTATTCTTGGATATTAGATTATCATTCCACCTCAATGACCTGACTTTGGGAGACCATGGAAATAACTTAACCAAGTATTATATCATAAGAGTGACCTGCACATTCCCTGTAGCATCTGAATTGAAAAAACTATTGTCAGCTCATCAGTTGTTCCTAATCTTAATTATTTTCAAGGGCTTTGAGATATTTATTCGTTAAAGCTGTTAACATTTCCTATCACTTAATAGGCTTGTCATTTTACACCTCCCAGACGACAATTGCGTTTTTTGTGAGCAACCATACTGTTCGACTCTATTTTGTTCCATGCAGTGTACTTTCAAAATAGCTGATAAATCAAGCAAAGTGAACAAGGTTACTTCCAGTCAAGTCATATTTCATTGACTTCCAACCATCGACCAATGATCTTTCTTGATCTTTGCATATTTTTCATTCTAAAGAAGAAACTTATTAGGCTAACTGACGCCATTTTCCCGACAGTGCGTTCCGTGACCTTACCCAGTTTCACGTTTAAGTAATTTTAAGCTTATATAAAAAAAACAAACGACTGTCAGAATTCTTTATATATATATAGATATAAAACTGTTAGTCCTTGTAATCTTTTCATGACAGCGCCCATTCTTTAGCGCTGGAGCTCTACAATTAACTTATCTGGATCCACTTTGTGGCAGAATCGCCAACACACGCGAGGTAACATTCAGGTGAGCTCTCAAAGACGTTCCGGGCTCATTAAAGTACTGTGGAGTATTATCCACCGACCCCGCCATTTCAACATAATATTTTTCTTGGCTGACATAGCATGACCCACCCAAAGGAAGCTCAAGTGAGATGCATCTGATCTTAAGCTGCACAAACACCGGAAATATTGTCCAAATTGTGAGCTGTTTGTGGTAATCCATTCTTGTCACAGCACGGAAACCATATTCAAGGAAGACTATTTATAAACTTTTGCGAATGAAATACTTAATCAATCCGTTTAGCAAGCGGAAGAGCTTATGTTTTGAAGATTTCAAACGCCGCATATAGCTCACGATGGGCTCATATGTGATGTTTAAAGTCCTTGAAGAGGAAAAACTATCGTAACAGTGTTTCAAGCAGTAAGAGGAATCGAGCAAAAGGCAAGCAAAAACCTTAAGTAAATGTTGGAGAAAGTTTACAGACATGTCAAATTTCCAAAATAATTTGAGCTTCTCTGGGTTAAAACAACACTTACTTTAGATGAGGATTATGAGGGCATCATGGCATTCCACGCGCTCTCATTCTCCCGCTGTCTTCCGTCCGCAAGTTCAGTGACATCATAGGGGCAAACCGTTCATTCCATTCCAGCCATTTTTTGACGTAAAAAGGGGAGTGTAAGACATCCAGGAAATTAAAGCAAAACCCTGAGCACGTTCATAAAATCAATCTTAAAAGGTTCCAAGGGTATATTAACCCTTTTACCCCTAAGAGAGATTAGCACCTAATTCCTCCTTACAATATCATCCCCGAATCACACATTTAGGTCACGAGAATAAATGAAATGATCAGCAACTTAAGAAGCTCGTGATTGTTAAACAAATTCTCCTTGCCAGCACCCTAAGAAATGTATAGAGCATAGTGTGGAGAGTTTGTATACTGATGTTAGGGTGTAAAGGGTTAATTAGATTGCTGCACCACCATCTTGGCACACTTAGCGCAGAGTAAGATTCAAGTTTGCCAACGAATTTACATTTGATACATTCTCGAAACTTGGCCAGAGCAAAAGTTTTCTGGTGGATAACATATCCTTGAGAACAAATTAATTAATTCTCAGGTCCAACCCTTTACTTCCACGAGTGACAGAAAAGAAACTGCTCTTTCCAATTTCAACCCAGTTGCAAATGTGACGATAAGGAAAAAAAAAGGTAATTGTGGCTGAGGGACATATTTTGATTTCACCCAAATAAGGAATGCTTGTCAAAAAATGCAGAGTATGGATGATTAGACCTTGGTAGTGAGACGATTAACATATAAATATGTTTGTCCCAAGATAATTTGGCTTACTGAGCATCCGCATCTAGGCAAATATAATCCTTTTGTCCTTTAGAGCGACTCACATAAAGCTGATAAGTTGCGCGCGACTGAGACTACAATAACCATGATTAAAACGTGTCAGGCACGACTATTTCCAGTTTTCACTAACCCATCCTTATCTGTTTTTGTTTGTTTTTACTAGAAATGTATATTATTTATCATCTTAATTACTTTTCGCTAAACAAATCTCTATTTTGACAGAAAATAGGGTAGGATGATTTTTCCAAAGGAAAACATGAAAACGAGATCTTCGATGTGACCTTCCTCAAAATCCGCTGAATTCATAGGCTTTAAGTTTAGTAAAGAGGTATGCTCTATAAACCAAAATACTTTTATATCCACCATTAAAAGTAAACATGGAATTTAAGCACAGTTGCTCTTAGTTACTTTAAAAGGCAGCGTGCCATAATTTAAGGGAAACGTCTTAATGGCGGATATGAAAATAATAAAGTTTATGAGACATACCCCTCCTTTGAAATGAGAGAATAAGGGAAGGTTCAGATGAAAGGTAAAGGACTACAAGAGGAATTTTTACTTCACTATAATTTAAATAATAAAGCGTATGATTAGTACAACACAAAGATTTTCGTTAAAGATTCAGTCTTTAGATTACAGCGTACTATACTAAGATGATGACATCGAATTAGGAAATGTTTTTAAAAAGCTACTAGGGTGATAGCCCAGCTGTTATGTCTTTGACTTAAGAGAAGTAAAATACTAGAGGGAGTCCAGATCCATAACTTTAATACATAAAACACACGGGTCCGATCTCAAGACGGAAAGGCCCTGTTGATTCACTGACGTAAGTTCGGGCAAAGTCCACTATTGGTAAAGCACCTGTGCGTTTTGTATTGATTTCCATAACTGCTTGACGACCCGAGAGCTCGTTCTCCTAAACAAACAAACGAATAAATAATAAAAAATAAATCGAAAAGTATAGGATGTAAGAAAAAAGGAAGGCAAAGGGGACAAAGGCACGAAGAAACAAGGGAATGAAGAAACGAGGGAAAAAGGAACGAATGAACTAAGCACCGGCGCAAAGAAGCACCGAAGGAACGAAGGAACGAAGGAACGAAGGAACGAAGGAACGAAGGAACGAAGGAGCGAAAGAACGAAGGAAGGAAGGAAAAAAGGAATGAGAGAACGAAAGAACGAAGGAACGAAAAACGAAAAAACGACGGAAAGAAGGAGCGAAGGCACAATGGTACCATGGCACGAAGGAGAGACGAAACAAAGGAATGGAGGGACAAAAGGTCGAAGCTTCGAGGCCACAAACGCACGAAGGCGAGAGAAGACAAATAAACATGGACGAAGAGAAACGAAGGAATGGAAAAACTGATGATTCATCCAAACCTTGGAATCTGTGGAAACAAAGCTGGGCTTAGTTCGCTCTGATGATCTGAATTCCATTTCATTTTCTCCTTGAAGTTCAATGGTGCAGTCGTTATCATTTTCTCTGAAGCACGAATACGTTATGTTCTGATACACTCCTTTGCTCAAGAGTCTTAGAAAATTAATTTGACCAGTCGTTGCCTTGTATTCAAACTGTGGAGAAAAAAACCAGAATTAACGCAGTTTTAAGAAACCATATCTCCAATCATTCATTTCATTTTCCCACCACCGGTATCCCGACAAAGAAATATTGCAAGCACAGTGTGGTCGGGCAGAGGGGATTTCATATTCCGTACCTTCTCTGGGGAATTCGTTCCTTGCATTGCCTGAAATCAAAACGTACTTATCTAACCTGAGCTGATTCCTCGATGAACCCAGAGTCCTGTTCACATTTGGCAAATCAACTTACCGTTTCTGTTTGAAGGTTGACTTCGCTTATCCACTGATTGGCAGAGAGGGTCGGAATCGTGATCTAAGAGAGAGAAGGAGTGTGATAATTTACAAACCTGAAAACGAGTGTCGATAATACTGAGCATTTCACACATATTGCAAACATTTCAAAGAGCAGTTTCAGTTCTTTCACTCCACCCAAAGATGGGAAGGTGTTTGATCTCGTGCGGCATCGTCCATAAAGAGAGTTAGTTGTAACATTTTCATGAAAATAATCTAGGGAGACCAAACAATAAAGAGGCGTTCAAAGTATAGGAAGAGTTCCAACCTTATGGTTTTTAGGCTCTATGCAGTTGACTTGCTCCTCAAAGTCGCAATAAACCTGAACCGCATCATCAATACAACCCTCGTTTGGATCAATCCAGTATCTTCCTAGAATAGAGACATTAGTCAGATCCCAAGCCCTTTCAAAATGTTTCCATTGAGGAAGTTTTGTTGATGACAAAGTTGGACTTGTGTGAGAGAAAACTAAATATGATATCAGGTCAATTCTTACATACCACTTAGATACTCGGGAAAATCAAGATGAAGCTCTCGACATGAACGTGCAGGGTATCGCCTGGTGCCGTTTTGTGTTCTGAAATTCTCGACGACATAGCTAAGAGCAGTCAGGTAGTAATCTATTGCTTGTGACATCTAAAAAAAACTATGATCATTAATTTTGAAAAAAGCATGATTTTAGGTGCAAATATTAAAAGTATAATTTTGGGTAAGAAAGTCACCCACGTCTAACTGCAGTTGATCCTCAGCGGTGTTGGTTTCTTTGTCTCTCCCCTTTATAGAGAAAAGCGGGAAAAAAACAGATACAATCATTTCCTTTATGTTAGTCACAATAAGTGCTCGCAAATTATAGGTAACAAATTATCTTTCTTGATAGACTGAACAGAAAGAGGGTAACTAAAAAGTAGGGAGGAAGGGAGGGGGGGGAGTTGAAGTGGTGTGGCACATGCAACCCCTCTTCCCACAACTCATCATCATAGAACAGCCTGACCAGTTATGCCAACGAGATACAAGAGTTGGACTCTCAAGGAAAATTCTGGCTACAATCTTTAATTGCCAAAGTAGCATCTGCTCTGACATGCCTATCGTAAAAGATCAGCTGTTTCATATTATACAAGTCTGGAAGTCGACCAAATTACAGTGGATCTTCCTTGAAGGGGCCATCGATATCCACGGAACTAGAGAAACTCCCCACTGATTAGGTTTTTCCCCCTACGTAAATGTAACGGATACAAAGCTAGCGGGACAACTATTTTGGGTAGAGACTTCTTTTTATCTAATTTTTTTATAGATGTGTCCAAAAAGTTAAGCTCCACTTTATTTGAATCAAGCAAACAAAACAATTGACTTATTAAATTACCTGGTTACTCGAGTAGAGCCGACGATTGGAGAATGGACCCTTCTTGTTCACTCCGGTGGAAATACCAGGCTGGAATAAATTGGAAACGAAAGTTTCGAGAAGGGAGGTAAGTCCATATTACGAGATCCAGTTTGACAAATAACCGTAAAATGCGATGATTTTTAAAACGCGGCAGATTTTTTTGCCTCACACGTATTAAATGGCTTTTTGAACCTGACCGTTAATAACGTTCTGGAAGCTCCCATCAATGCCTGCAGCTTCCTTGCTTTTTAGTTTAAATCTGAATGATTTCATAAACGATTCAAAGATTCAAAAGTGAATTTTAACTGTCAGTCATACATCCTTTCTTTTCACCCTTGTAAGACCATCAATGAACACGCGCCACGTTAGATAAAACTAGTTCAATGAAATATCAGGTGATACGGTGTAGGTTCGCACCGCGTGCGGAGTGACGGATACTACAATCCTGACGTGAGCAAATATACCACCGATTTTAAGATAGACTTGCTTTATCTAAGTGAATACTCTCTCGGAAAAGGCTTAATGGAAACAACGAAAAGACCACAATTAGAGGGTTTATCGATTGCATGTTTACACGTTTCTCCATCGTTTCCAATAGCGTTCCTACTTCCATTGCAGTAATTTCGTCCCCTTTCTAAACTCTATAGCTTTCGACTGTAACAGTTCTTGTTCTCTACAAAATTTCGAATAGAAGTTGACCTGCTGGATTCCTTATAGTTTTAAGTTCGATTCGTTACCCAACAAGAAGCGAGCGGCATTACGAGCCAAAATGACGGTTGTGGAAGACAATATTAACATACCGGCTGCGGGTAGATATATTGCCCTGGAGGCCCCTGCGGATTTAGAAGACAAGGTATTAAAACAATGTCACTGTCGTTCATATTTGATATCATTATCATATAATTTCTTAACTATGTGCTGTAGTGTTAACTACCCTACTCTGGTCTGATTCAATGGATGATAAAATGCCTCCTTGCGAAAACACTCTCGCTGCCTGACGGATAAAGAGCGCTGAAATGTGGGTAGTGAGGACCAGGTTACTCTCACAACACCTCTTTCCACCCAGGAGTATAAATGAGCGCAGACAAACTGTCGATGTGTCAGTACATATTACATACCTTCTCGCCGGGCGGACCAGGAGGGCCTGGGTCACCCTGCGTACGACAATAAGTGATTTCATGAATCAGAAAGAGCGCATAAACAACAACAACAAAAAGACTTAATAGAGTGTAAAGAAAATACCACTTAAAAAAACAATTAATAGTAGAATATAACATACCGGTACTCCGTCATACCCCTAGAAAGTTAGAAAAAGCAAAATGAAAATAATGGTCTCATCGCGTATTACTTGACACAAATAACTTGAAAATATATTTTTATACAAAAAAAATTAAAAAAACATCGAGGGGTGAATAGTTTAAAGAACAAACGACCGATGAGGCGAATTAGTTCAAGAAAGCAAAATAGATCGATTGAAGGGTGGATAGGGAAAGGATGAAGAAACACGTGACAAACAATATCAAGTTCAAATGGACACAGTTTTGGATGTATCAATTTTATCAATTTTACAAAACCAAAAGAAAATATTCACTTTCAGTGATAACGTTAACAGCTTAGAATAGAGACCGAAAAAGTAATTGGAAGCAGTAAAAATCACAATACAAAAGCATGATGTGAAGTCTCAAGACCATCATCATGTAGCTATTATCAAAAACGATCAAGGCCTCGATTTCTGCGTCCTATTTATTATGAATGGCGCACTTACGGGAGGTCCTCTTGGTCCCTGAAGAAGAACACAGAAAAGATATGATCACTGTGTTGTATAAACAAATCTACGCAGTTACTAAAACAAAGCATGCTATTCTCTCGATGTTTTTCTTGTTGATTAATGATTAACCTAGAGCCGCGAAGTAAATGTACCCATTGGATGGTAGATACCGTTAGGCATCAACATTGTGCACGAGTTTTACATCGAAGATTCGCCAAATTTTGCTTTTGTGGAAACAAAGTTTGTGGCATTATTTGGAAATGGAAATTTGTGATGAGAACCATTTTCGTTCTCAATTTTATGAAAAGCATTTTCTGCTGACCGTTAAATGAAAAAAGGAATAAATGTCACAGTTTGTGGGTTTTAAAGGAAAAAGTTGCGTAGAAATGTGCTGAGTGACAAATGATTCTAATATGGATATTTCAAGTTATTCCGATTCTATGTAAACTGGGTAAAACAACAGTTTGAACACCTACCGGCTCACCATATTCACCCTCAGGCCCAAGTCGCCCCTAGATTTTAATTCACAAAGCATAAGTATGATACAAATTATGTACAGTAATGTGTTTGAGAAGACTCAGCCTTTAGGATCAGTGCAGTAGTATAACATTATCTAACAAACTGGTTTGTATTGGTGATACAAATGGACTGATTTCATGAGCCTCACTCGAACGAACACGGGCCCGTTCCACGGAAATCCAAGTAACTTCACGGGTCCGAAAACCCTCTTAAAATCCCAATCTAAGGAACAGTGGCTCCAAGATCAATACATCTTATATCATTTCTTAGTTACTTCATCGCTTGAGTCAAATCTCGATCATGTTTATTGCCATGGCCAACAAAAATCAACTTTTTCGAATCGGTCGTTATCAGGAAAATCAGAAAACGAACCCCCAGCTTCTCCCTGAGGGACAACAGGTGCGATTTAGTATCTGTTATTATCATCTTACCTCCATACCGCCATAACCGGGAGGGCCTGGTGGTCCTTGAGGCCCCATCACGCCCTTAAGTAGAAAGACAGCTATGGATGAGTACGACCTCTTTCCCAAGCGAAATGAGAGAGAGACGGGAACGAAGTTGAGATGAATGATGACGAAAAGACAGAAAGAATGAATATTCTCGAATTCCCTCGTCTAATATCGAGTGGCAAGGGAAATCTTTATACCAGTCTTATAGGTTTTAAATGTGATTTACTTTGACCAACCAATCAAAAGCCTCTTACCAGCGTCACTCACCTTGGGTCCGGTAGGGCCGGCTGATCCTTGGCTACCAGGCTCCCCTGTCCTCCCCTGTAAAATAGATACTTTTCTTTTTAGAACAAGCTGGTAAACTTTGCATCAATATAAAATTTACTTATTAAACCCATGAAGTTATTAAAATAAACGAAATTTCATAACAAAGTTGATTTCCTGCCCTGTGCACTTGGTACTGGAGATGTGAATCGGTTTTTAAGTAATGCTTTGGTTATCAAGGGCTGTAAACCCTTAAAGATGATAGTAAAAAAAATTGATCTGATCACCAATTAGCATGAACATAATCATGGGTGAAGGGTACCGTCAACTTTGTGCATACGTAAAACAAGTGCAACATGTTTTCTTCGTGAACATAATTCCAAAGTAACATTGCGATATGAATACTAATCACGTACTGCCCCCTACACTTAAGCACTAAAACATCCACATCCAATATCCCAAAGATAAGTTTTCTACGAGTAGAAAATTAAACATTACCTCTTCTCCAGGTGGACCAGGGATTCCCGGAAGTCCTAATAATCCTGGATCACCCTAGGCATGTAAAACAAAAATTAGACTTGAAAGGTTTTCGATATTGTTAGTTATGCACATAGGAATACAAATCATCATACAAAATTGACATGTAAATCTTAAACGATGACATCTGTTCACAAAAATGTACTAATGTATTAAGAAATAGTACTAGTAATTACAATTGTAAACAATAAATGTTAATCGATAAATCAATGAACCAGTTGGGTCCGAAGGCTGACCAACTCAGCACTAAAAAGTAAACTTACTTGCCGACCTGCTCGCCCAGTCTCTCCTTCATCACCTTGTATTCCCATAGGACCCTGGATGCGGGGGAGGGGGGGAAAGGGAAAGTCAAATATTAAGACTGTTCTCAAGCAAAACAGAGGTTACGGTACAGATTTGAAGGTGGTTGTGATAAAAATTGGGCGTGGTTTTTGAGAGTGCCACCTGAGCATATGAACGTATTTATCTGTTGAACTGTATGTGAACAAAACAAACAAACACACAAACAAACAGAAAGTAAGCACAATATAACAGAGAGTGGAATTATGGGTGAATCTGACCAAATCCTGACTCCAGTGCTGATGGAACAAACTAGTCACAATCGGCGACACATTTAGTTTATATGTGACTTCATTGTGACATGTAGCTCTGAAAAAGGGTTTCGATCTCAGAGACCAGGTCTGATATAGGATCAGAATTTGTTGAAAGGAGGGCTTCACCGCTACTGCATTTCCAAGGAGCACCACATGAGTTCTCGTGCTCGGGCTGGGCTTTAGCAGAGCCGGCTTATCAAAGGCAAGCGGCGTGACCCGATGAATTGTCCATTTATTAACGCTTTAAAGCCCTTGGTTCCCCAGATTTCTGATACCGGAGCTTTGCAAGCACACGTTGTTTTTTCTAGGAGCCTAGCTTCGCAGTACATTTCATCAGGATGAAAAGATGAGAGGTTTACATTAATTTTTTTGAACGAAGCAGGATAACTTACAGGTTGTCCTTTGTGTCCGAATTCCCCTTCATCTCCGTCGGAACCCAAATCACCCTTGATGACAAAACAAAAATCAAGCAAGAACGAAAATTACTCGCCTGGTATTAGAATCTGACTAGAATAACACGACTTTTAGTCAATTAATAATGATACATAAAGCATAACTAGCGGCAAACGTGCAAGGTCTATAAGAGCGCGAAAGGACAAAAAAAAGTGGTGATCAGTAAAATCCAAATTAACGTCATATTTGTAAAATTTTTCTCGGAACGTTCAGCTGTAACGCAAGGAAGAATATATGAAGATGGTCGCATACACTTAACAACTTTTTCCTCTGCAGTAAAGAGGTTCATAAATGAAATTCTTAGGGTTTTAGCGACCCTTCAACATAAAACCACTTATTCAAGTTAATTAAATAGCAACACTTAAGAGCACGTTTACAAGAATTCTAAACTTGCCTGAAATTTAATGGTTGGAGAGGCAAGAGGAGGTCTTTTTGGATCTTTCAATTAGGGTTTTTTTTTGAGAGGGGCTGCGCACGTGTTCAGCAAGAAACACTTTCTCCAACTAGCTATTTCTCATAACAGTGCGAATCTGCTCAGAAGGTGCCAAAAATATCTCTGCCACATTGTGCAAACACAAATTTATATTATAGCGCGGCTATATCGCATTATGCCAAAAGCTTTAAGAAATTCTATCACCGAGCACAATTCTTCCCTCGAAAGTCATATCTCGCGCATAGCGCTTATCTGTTTCCACATCACACTTCGTACTTCACACGTCACAGCTCAAATTTTACGCTTCACGGTTCGCGCTCCACGTTTCAAACTTCACATGTAACATATCAAATTTCAAGGTTTACTGTTCGCACTTCACGATTCATACTAAAGGTCTTACCGGTTCACCTGAGAACCCTGGAATGCCTTTATCCCCAGCTTCCCCCATTCTTCCCATTTCACCGGGAGGTCCTATAGCTCCATCAGTCCCATTGTTCCCGACATCTCCCTGAAAGTAAGCAACAAACTTAACCGTAAATGCTGACTCATTTAAAAATAAGCATTTAAAATAAGTTCGTAAATAAAGTACCCGTTCTCCTGAGGCGCCATTCTCTCCGGGTGTTCCGTCTAAACCAGATAGACCCTGTAAAAAATTGTAGTAGTAATTAACAATTATTTACCGAAGTGGAGGTAAATAGTGGAGGATATTTACCGAACTGCGAAGCAGCAAGGTAAATATCCACCACTTTCACCGACACTGAGGTGATTAATTCAAAATAAAAAAAACATAGTTTGTTTCAGTATATCAAAAAAAAGTTCGAAATTAAACTCTTGACGCGCGAGTTTTCTTCCCCTTGGGCTGTTCGGATGTGAATACTATCCTGCCCCGTTCAGGACCTGACAAAGACCTGAAAAGTAAGGCTTAAACTGGAAGGCGCCCGAATGCAATTCGCCAAGTCACACATGCAGAGTTTCCTCTTAAGAGATATTGTTCAAAGTAGCTTCCACCTGTAACCTTTATGGGGCACAACTAAAAGATTTCCCAAACTTCGAAATTAAATTTTCTCCGTCCAACCAAAGAACAAGTAAGCCAACAAAACCAACCAAAGAACGAAACAAATTAAAAAATTTTAACTACAAACTCACATCTCTCCCTGGGCGGCCGTCTGCTCCTTGATCTCCAGTTTTGCCGGGATATCCCTACAACAGACGAGATAAAAACTTAAAACGTAAGGCAAGAAAGGTGTAGAATGCGACCCCCGCGACGCCACGAATGAGAGCCGTACACGAAACACGATGATGTGAGCAGGCTTGGAAAAGTCTTCCGACCATTCGAGATGCAAGCTGAAGGAAGAAAGGAAGAGAGAGAAAAGAAGAAATAGTGCTTGGTCGGGCTGGAGGGCAAAGCAATTGGCTCTCGGTCCTCTCTACGCTCGTTCTCTACGTCATGACCTCGAGCCAAATATTTTCCGCTAGGGTCCATTAAAGAAATAAGGACATGGAGGTGAAGCCATAAGAACCAAAAGCATGTTCAAACAGATCAACTCACCGCTAAACCAGGTTCTCCAGGTATACCATCAGCTCCCTTTGGACCTTGATCGCCCTTAAAAATAGGAAAAGATTTCATAAATCAAGCCTTTGTTTACCCGATATGATGAGACACGCAGTTGCTGGACTCTGGGTCGAGAGGTCCGAATTTGAGACTTAGCCGGGCCACTGTGTCGTGTTATTGGGCAAAAAACTTTACTTTCATCTCCACCCCGGAATATAAGTAGATACCGGCCATTTGTAAGGGAAACCTAATGAGATGCTGGGGAGAGGGGGGGAGGGGGTAACTGGATGGACTGGTATCCTATCTTGGGGGGAGTACTAATTCTCCTAATCACTTCATTCTGAGGAAAGCGGGATAAGTCACGGCTGGATGGGCCACTCGCCTAGAGTACAAACTCTACCTTAACCCGAAATGATCCTGACCGAAACGTAAAGTTGGAAGTTTAAAACACCCCCATCTTGAGCTTAAAACACCCTCACTCTTGAAACTCATCAACCATTGAGGATCGTTTAAAGAACACAAACACCCCAACTGAATAAAAACTAACACTCTACCGATTCACCGTCTTCTCCTCGTGCTCCACCTCTTCCTGCAAAACCATTGAAGCCCTATAAAAAGGTTGAGAGTATTAAGTATAATTAGGATAATCCTATGGAAAGTATTAAGTATTAAATTTTGGCCTTGTTAGCAGTTATGTTCCAACTTGTATCCGTACGTTGACGTGGAAACGTTAGCTTTGGAAACTCTTTACGTTGGCCAATTTACATACTCAATTTAAAAAAAAAACAAATTATCATGTACGTCGCGGTAAAATTGAGAGCAGTCTTCCTACTGTGGTAATTCCGTATATGTCAGTCGTTGAATAAAGTTAATCTTAACATTTTAAGCACCAGGGATGGGGCTAGGCATTCTAGGAAGCCATTATGTAAACTAAGGGTTTAAAACGTACGTACATTAAGTCCGACATGTCCTTTGGGACCCATCGGCCCAATGGGTCCAGGAAAACCCTGAAAAAGACAATTTGAAACCACTTTACGAGCCATTAAGATAAGTTTTCCCTTTTTGCTGCCAAAGTGCAAACCCGACAACAGTTTTCTTCGAGCTTCGCTATCGGAATATGTTCGTTTATCGGCGTAGATTATGTTCGCGAACAAATATCCATGTATATTCAGACCTGGTTTGATGCTACTCTAGTTTACAGATTTAATGAATGTAATCGAAGAAGTTACAATTCATAGACCCAACGTTTCGACACTCCTGTCTAGTGCCTTCAATAGGGGTGATCTTTAATATATTTTAATCCATGTATATTTTTGGGACAGAGGGAGGCTTTTATCTCTAAAGCACGTATGTGGAAAGTGCTTTTCGCACGCGCTGGCTGGTTAGCTCAACGGTAAGGAGGTTTGTACTATTCACCAGCAAGCAACTAATCGACCCAGGGTTAACAAAGTAGAAATAAATATTTTCCAATAAACGATGACATGGATTTATAGCACGGCCTCGGTGAAGAACTATTAAATACATATTCGAAATTCAGCTCCAAAAGAGAAATCTACGTTCTCTACTTTGGAATATTACATTTCAGATCCTTGCAACCTAAGGGCTAGAGGAGGGAACCTGAAGGGTTTTTTTTGCTTCAATTTTTTTAGACAAATTATTTTTGTTTCCCCAATTTCCTTAGCTCTTGTAATTTTTATTTTAAATCGAGGCGACGAGCTACAGGAAAGTACAAAGGGTTCCTTCCGTCAAAGCTGTAATATACTCACAACTGAGCCGTCTTGTCCGGGGGGGCCGGATATGCCATCTTGACCAATCATTCCCTTCAAGGGAACACAAGAAAATGAACACAAGATTGCAGGGCTGTCAATTTAGAAAGTAGAAGGCTGCAGGGAAATACTGGGCCGCCAGGTTATCGTGGACGCTATTCAGTTTCGCAAATCACACGCAAAACATTAAATGTGGTAGGCGTTCTGAGCGGAGAATCGGTTTAGACATGCAAACCTGTCTCTATAAAAAAAATTATGATTTAATTCCACTTTAAACTGGGAAATGGCTGGGATACTAATATCTTTAATGGTGTTTCAATAAATTTATGATGTTTGGGGGCGCTGTTCTTGCCGTAATTTTATAACAATTATATTGTTTCAAAAAAGTGTGTATGTGAAAGCGTGATCCTATTTTTACGATGTATGGAATACTAGACTTATGCATGAATCATGCCGTTACAACTGACCGGAGGACCGGGTAGACCAGGTTTCCCTGACTTTCCATATCTTCCTCGAGCTCCCTGAAAGATTACAAAGTTTCAAACATTTATTCCGCAAGCGTGTTGAATATGAGATGATAGATAACCAATGAGGCCCTTAGAGAATGGAGCGCGAGTGGAATAATTGTTTTATTAAAAATTCCCCAAGCTATGGATAAATTTCCCCGACTTTATTTTGCAAGAACAAACGGAATGTTACAAAGTACAATAGCACTTCTGGTTTAACTCGTTTTCATTCGCACACGTGTTATAATGACTCATAACCCATGAAGGCTTAAGTCAATGAAAACTCTTGAATTTCATTATCCGATGATCCAGACTTAGCTTTGACTAATAAAATGAACTCTGGTCCAATATCTACACCAGGAACCATAACTGAAGAAAATTTAATCATCACTTTAAAAACAAAAGAACAAGGAATCAGTTGTACACGTCACTTACTTTCGTTCCAGGAATTCCAGGATTACCTTCAAGGCCTGTTTCACCTTCTCGACCCTTGAGTGCAGAAGACAAAGAAAACGATGAAAAAATCTTAACAACTACCCAGGCTTGTTATCGGGAAGTTAATCTAAATAATAAAAACGGACTTCCGCAACACGTAACACAGTGCTTACGGCCTTCCTAAAGGGAAGGCCCAGAGGGTACAGAAATGCTTACGATCCAATTACACAAGCATGATACGTACACTGTGGATGAAGATAACCAATTATGTCTGTTAATTAAGTTATAGTTTGATGATTCATTTTCAAACAAGGGTTTGTAGTAAGGGGGCGAGTGAATCCGTAAGGGGTTCGATTGATTTAATGTGAAGTACTTGGGTTTGAGCTAGAGAGACGCTTTTACACGAAGTACCTTCAGTGACGTTTTACTGAGAAATCCTTGAAGCAGCACACATACGTATGTTGAGAAGAAAAATTGAGTGGTTGCGTAGATTGATAAACTACGGTAATTATGCAGGGAGTGACTTACTGTTGCTCCTCGTAATCCTGGCTTTCCCGGCATGCCGGACGCTCCTCGAAGCCCCTATTTCACAAATGAAACAAGTCAACAGATATTTATACCGCAGAAATTATTTTTTCCCAACTAACAATATAGATGGAATTTAATAATTTTATTTCAGTTTCTTCCCACTCCATTCCACTAATATATACTACATCTCTAACTCTTTTGATTGTCACAATTGCTTTTCCATGCTCTGGTGAATTGGTTGTAAAGGTAATTATAACTTTAAACTGATTCATACATAACTTTATACACGAATTTCAATCAATTTATTACGTACCACACCGCCAGGCTTTCCCAGTTCTCCAGGATCACCCTCGGGACCTTGCGATCCCTGTAAAAAATTTTTTCACTCAAGTTAAGCATTGAAAATCCGTAAAATTTTACCGAGCGACAACATAATTTATTATTTAATTTACTCAAAAGCGATAACTGGGAGTGACAACAATGATTAAGGAAAAAAGAATATTGCAGTTGCAAGAAAATAGACCATCCCTTGGGAGGCTACATCAATAATAATCCACACCAAGTTTCCCTCACTTAGTTTTCCTCATCCTTACTGTGATGATCACCCAGCTTTACCTCATTAGTGAACCTTCCTATCAACTTTTAGTTAATAATCTTTTGTCTCAATTTCCAGCCGACGCAGCACAACAGTTCAGGGAACCATAACCTTTGTTTATATTTTACACATCAGTTCGTTTTGATACATTTTTAAATGAAAAACAAGCCGGGAATCTGTGGATAACCGCTGGTCGTTTTCCCTTTTTACCAGTGTTGCAAATTACATGCTGATAGGGGAAAAGCTGAGCCAGCACGCTTGCGGCAGGTTTCCTACTGACCCCAAGGTTACAGCAAAGTTGACCAAGAATACACGTACAACATCTTTAGCTTAGCCTTCACACTTGGTACACATTAGAAAGAGCTGAAGTGTTGTAAAGAGTTGCACGCTTTAAATACAACAGCTGAGCCTTGACTTTTTCTGTTTTCAGGCGCTACTGGGGAATCATCGAGGTGAATCATGAAGATAGCAAAACTTGCGCTTCAAAACAATACCAACAAGCAGATTAACTCACCAGACCACCGCTTTCGCCCTTCGATCCTCGCACACCCACGGGTCCTTTTCTTCCCTAAAAGAAAAAAGAAATACTGGTTGATGTTCAAAAGTTTCTTTAATTTTCACCGCATAGGATGCTTTCCACTTTGCTGCGACAAGCACAACGCCAAATGCAATACTTAAAATCATTGTTTTAATAACATTTCATAACTTCATTTCATAATAACATTTCATAACATTTCATAATTTCATAACATTGCTTTAATAACATTTCTTGGAACTACATTAATAGAATTCAACTTGCCGTTCACCTTCATTCCAGGGGATCCTTTGTTTCCATCTGGTCCGGCTGGTCCAGATGGCCCCTTGGAGCCATTGAAAGACAAAGTAAGTTCAAGTTTTGAAAAGGTGACAAGGAATGTTGAAGCCTTAACTAATAGATTTGTTCCAATAAAACACGCCGTGTCACTAGTGTCGAAAATCAAAAATCGAACACTGGCATCCACAATAAAAAATCAGACACGAGTTTCCAAAACTAAAAATTGGACTCTAGTGGCCGAACCGAAAAAAAAAAAGGAAACTAGTGTTTAAAATCAGAAATCGAAAAACTAGCGGGCAAAATTCAAATATCGCACTCTAGTGTTCAAAACGGAAGATACGTTAAAGAGCCAATTATTGCGCCTTCCACCCAAACTTCTTTAGGCACCTTATGGAGGATCGTTTAGTAGAGTCCTCGATATTACAAGGAACTTTTTGCATTGGACTCTTTAAAGTCGAAAGAACTTCGTAAAATTTTCTAAAGTTAAGAACTTCGATGTTCTTCGCGGAATCAAGTCAAAATCAAAGTTGAAAACAAAAATACAACTCAGCATTTACCGTCGCTCCTCGAGTTCCAGGCAGACCAGAAGAACCTCTTCGCCCGGTAAGACCCATTTCTCCTTCCTTCCCAGGCTTTCCAGGTGCACCATTTACGCCATCCTTCCCCTGTCAATAGAAAACGCTTAAACATTACAGTTGTCGGTTCTAGAAGCTTCTAAGAAGTTCAAATATCATGTCCATTTCAAAACGTGTCACCTTTGCGCCGCGAGGTCCTGGGTATCCTGGGGTTCCTGGTCTTCCGTCCATACCCTAAACAAGAAAAAAATCCAAAAACGGTTTTTGTTCTACAATGAACGGTGGAAACTCTCTTTTGGGATATCTCCGCTAAAGAGGCACCATACCCACAATCAGCGTGTTCTAATTGTGTGTAGGATAACACTCCTGTTTGTATCACATTCTAAATCATCAACAAGAACCCCTCCCCATTCAGTGTTGCCCATATGTAGCTAAAAAAAATTGATGGAATCACGATACAACATTGTTTTTGTTTTTCTTTTTTTGGGAGGGGGAGGTCGAATAGCTTAACTTAATACGGGCAAAAGAGATAATAATAAAGTAAATGGAGGGGGTTGAAAAAGTCAATGTGTCAACAATTTTGTTGGCGATTGCAAGTACATTCCGATGCTCAACACGGTCCTAACTATACTAAGAGCTTTTGCATCAGTTATTTTCATTGAAGAGACTCCCGTACTCCGAAAAAACGTTTCATACAAAGGACTCCAATTTCGTTCTCATCTGAAATATCTTTCACAATCTTTGTTGGAAACTTGGCGGCCTAATAGTTGTTACCCTGGACGCCGGAACGAGTGGCGCGGGTTCGAGCCCTGGCCTCGTCATTGTGTTGAGTTCTTGAGCAAAACACTTCCCTCTTACAATGCCCCCCTCCACCCAGGAGTGTAATTGAGTACCGGCGGATTGTCAGGCAAGCCTTATGTAGTACTGGAGAGGGAGGGGAGTGGGGTAACCCAAGAATAAGCGGCATTCCGTCACGAAAAAAAAGCCACACTTCTTGTCACTACATACTACAGAAACAAAGATAAGCTCCAACTGGACGGGCCACGGATAAACTAAATTCTAGAAAAAAAAAACACCCTTTGCTGCTACAAATCCACCTTGTAAAATGGATTTAATAAAGCACAATTCAAGCCATTTACATAATATCAACTTTACTAACCGGCTGACCATCTCGTCCGTTGTTTCCGGGAAGTCCCGGATAGCCATTTTCACCCTAAACCAACATGGTGAGAAATATTCAATTAATCATTTTAAGAAAAACATAACCAATTGGTGATGCAAAAGCAAGTCTTGAACTTCATGTAATACTCACTGGCTTTCCTTTCGGCCCTTTCCTTCCGGTTCGTCCGCGCATACCTGGCCATCCCTTAGAAAAAGCGAAAGACATTACGGTGGCTTTATTTTATCGATAAATTCATCTCGGTTCTATGAGAAATGTTTATCTAATGCAAACGCTGTGATAGGGTATTATCCTGCATCGCAGAAGTCTTTTTTACGATGTGCCCTGTTTGTGAAACACCTTGGAAATAAAACCCTGATTCGTAAAACTGAAAGGAGTTCTCTTTCTAAGCTACTAGTTCGCCGGAGAACACAAAATATGATTTTCACTCTCTGTATGTTTGTCAAATAGTTCTTTGGGTGCTATGGGGCTTACTAAACCCTGACCAGGTAACGCATACTGTGGCAAGTAAGCTGCTGTTTTGCTGTTTTTCATTCTTTTAGTAAACTAAACACAAACACAAAACTGTTTGCTTCACTTACTGGTCTACCATCCGAGCCGCGCATTCCTTTGGCCCCCTTCTTTCCTTTAGGACCCTGTTGGAAAAAAAGTTTAAGTCGGCAAGAGATCTACTGCAGCCACCAATTAACATAATATCGTACATTTGTTCTGGGTAGTTTCGTGTGAGATCGCTTAAATTGGGCTGATTTTTGACATGATTCTTCGTCACTGTGACCCCATGTAGCCAACACAGCGGTCAAACTTCTGCACATGTGTGAACAAAAGTAGGGGCTAAATGGCGTACCTTCAGGGATTTCAGGCTATCAAAACCAAGTTTTCTTATAAACAACCACACAAGCGAGTAACTCACGGTGTTTGAAGACCATATAACTTTTTTGGTACCGCTCAAAACACAATGGAAAATAAGCAGGGAAACCGTAATTACAAAATCTTTGTGTTAGAATAGTCATGAGATTTCCTCTTCCCTACTATTCTGAACTAGAGGATAATACGACAAAGTTAATAATTTCATGTTTTCATGACTTCTAAAATAACCAACGATGGCATAGGAATTTTTTGTGGTATTGTGATGCAATTGAGCGTCCTTTATTTCAGTCAGTTACCCGAAAGAGAAACAGCTCCTACATTTCTACATTTTCAAGTCTTTAAAGAATTCGTACTCACAGGAGTCCCTGACAAGCCATTAAATCCATATTCACCGATGCGTCCCGGCATACCCTTCAGCACAAAACAGAATTGGAATTGAATGAAAAGAAGAGTAGGTCTCAGTTAAATAGTTAAAAAATGCCAAACAATTACAAAGACACGAAGAAGCAATAATGCAAAAAGGAAAAATACAGGAGACGAAAGAAAAAAGAAATAAATTTAAAAAAATACCTATTGAATAAAGAGCAGGATAATATTCCTTACACAATTATTTACCGAACAGAATCGAAAAACAAACAAACAAAATAATAATAAAAATACAAATGAAGAATTTTAGAGGTAAAATTATTTAAGACCTGTTGTTTCTAAGCAGACAAAACTATGTTTAAAATTTGTATATAGCGCTGGCCGATCCCTAACTAAAAAAAATTGATATTTGTATGTCATGAATCTAGTTTTTGACTGCGCATGCCCTGTTTACCGGAGAACCAGATAGTCCTATTGGTCCAGGAGGTCCACGGGGTCCCTAAGGAATAAACGGAAGACGTATTCAGTTGAAAACAACCAAATTCCTGAGTTACCCAAAGAATGAGAAAAGTACAGGTCTTAGGTGGTACAGCTATATAGAATAGAAACTAGCAAGCTGAGTTACAAGTGACTCAAACCAAACGAACCATATCTCCGGCCTTTCCATCTTTGCCGTTAGTTCCGCGGATTCCCTTTGAAATAGAAATAGTATAAAGGTAATGTTTGAATTATTATTAACATTTTATTTTTATTTGGGAGTAATTAAGTTCTAACCGAGAAGCACTATCAGCTTAAAGTATTGCTGAAACCTTTTGACCCTTAAGTGTGATTAACATCTAATTTCTCCTTACAATTTCACCTCTGAATCACCTTTTAAGGTCACGAGAATAAAAGAATTGATCCTGAACTAAAGAAGTTCTCGATTGTTAAACAAATTCTCCTTGTCAGCTCCTCAGGACATTGTAGGGAACATGTGGAGAATATGCATACTGATCTTGGGAGTAAATGGTTAAAGCCACTGATTTCACTTCTTTCAAAGCGATCTTTGATTTCAAATTTGGACTGCGTTGCACTTTGAAGCCCGCATAATTCTGTTTCCTCTTAAAGGCTTTAAGTCTACCACAATGCAGCAAATAGCGCTCAAAAGAGTCGGTTAAAATATCACATCAATGAAGGGTTGCTCAAATTAAATACGGTAAGCATACACGCGTTACTATTTTTTTTTTGTTACTTTTACTGCTTGTCCAAGTCATATTTTCTTTCACATTTGCAAATAAATCCGCTGCTATCAAGACTGTGAATAAGTCTATTTACAAATTTTCCAAAAAAAAAAAAAAAAAAAAAACTCACCTTACGCCCTACGCGGCCGGGATAGCCTGGGGCTCCTTGAGGTCCCGATAGACCCTATAAAAAATAGTATTCACATCATGTATATGACATCCCGCGCACAGTTAAACGCATGCGTAGAAGAGTTTAAAAGTTAGCATTGCAGGGTCCAAACAAGAAGTATGTTAAATACCTTTAATCCAAGACTTCCTCGAAATCCAGGCCCTCCCATCCTACCTCGACGACCCTGTCAAAGAAAACTCAAATTAATTGACGAAATTAAGATACACCCCTTGGAGCACTAAGCAAAGTAATTATTACCTTGTTTTGTTGGTAGGATGCATTTTTTGCCGATTTAAGACTAAGGTGTCTTTGGCCCTTTGTAGAAGATTTTGACCATGTAATATATTTTGGAATTTACCTCAAAATGCAGGAAAATGCGACTGCAAGACCCACCTGCCGTTCTAAACTACACATTTGTACCCATTTTAGGGAAACCACTGACTATCCTTTGACGAGTCAGTCAAGGACATACTATCTTTCCCAACTCCCCTAAAAGATTTCCAAAGAAAGCCTGTTATACAGATGGTCCTTGTCTACTCACACGCCTTCCAGATCTCCCAGGTCTTCCTGTGGCGCCCTTGCGACCACGGTCACCCTTTAAGATGGCGAAAAGAAGGCATTGAATACCAATATAATAAAAACACACCCCTTCATCACCCTCTTGAGTTAAAAGCTATCAAATAGATATCCTCCTAGCTTAAAAAATAAACATCTACCTACAGACTCCTCAAAACAGTTTCTAACATTATTTCAACGTCCCCTTACGGACGACCTTTTCGCTACAGACTGCTAAGACTGACTAAAAACTCCTCAGTAGACTCTGAGGAAGATTTCCTTTTGCGTATTTGAAACCTCAGGCAACGTCAACGCCAACGTCAATAAACCTTTTCGAACTTTCCTCACCCGGACGATTAGAATGAAGGTCAGTTATTAGTTTTGTCACGAGAGTGCAACAGTGCAACAGATAAAAAAAGAAAAAATCTAAGTGCCAAGAGAAATCGAACCCCAGGCCTTCGGATTTCGCGCTCGACCATCATGTAAATATGGTGATAAATGATATCCAACATATTTTATTATCACATATCTACAATGTCTGCACCTTTACTCCTCGAGGTCCTGTGCGTCCATTGGCACCAGGGCGTCCATCCACACCCTGTTTACAAATAATATCGTGATATTAAATCGCTTCTGAAATACTGTTCACAAATGTGTAATCACACGACAAATATCCCGTTTGTTAATTTAAAATACATTTCACATAAACTGTTTACATTTTCACAAAAAAATAAACTTAAATTCTCAAGTCCTACCCGCTCTCCTCTTGCACCGTTAAAGCCTCGCATTCCCATCATTCCACGAGAGCCCTGCATAAAACAAAACAACGGACATTGATGCATACCGAACGCAAACGCTACTTTGACTCAAAATCCAACATTTCTGCCGTCGGTAGAAGAACGTAAAATTCTATCGATCCTTTTTCTATTTCATTTTGCTTACTTCTCTTCCAGGTCTTCCCGGACGACCGTCATCGCCAGGCATTCCCTAAATTTCACAGAAAGTCAAAGAAAAGAGTTAAAGCCTTGATACAACCACCGAATACGATGTTTGAAGACTTTCAATACGTCTACAAGCACTGTAAAAGAAGCAAAGTGTACCCAGAACTTTCCTGCGTTAGAAAGAAATAGGGCTAACAAAGACCACACCTCTTAGCCTTTGAACTCAGTACGGCGTCATGATTTTACTCTTACTCTTGATTCTTACTCCATTTTGTTATCAATTTATCTTTTTTATCGAGATGTCAGCCAATTTGATCAATTTGCATAGAAAGAATATCGGCATTACTTGCAAGGCAGCAAAGCAAAATAATAGGGACAGAGGGAAGGCTGCACTCGAGCCAGGTGGCCCCATTCTGCCGCAACTCATCCCAGTGTCTGTAGCATAACGTGACTGGGAGTATTGCGTATTGCTACTCCCCTGGATAGGATGCCAGTTCATCGCGATGTTGTCATAGACATTTCACCAGGATTCCCTAACAGTGCGAGAGGAAGTCTGTTTTCCAAGACATCCTCATGAAGTTTAATCTTCCGCTTGGTGTTTGACGATAAATAACAATTCAAAAAAAAAGGAAAGGGTCTTTCTTGAGCAAAAATTCATGAAGAGAATGTCAATCTGTTTGCGAATAACACTAAACATAACTTAGGAGGAACCGATATATCTCAGCCAACACTCTGACTGCCTGTTGGGTTCCCCCAGTATCACTTGATGGTAGCAAAAAGTACTCCTCACCGGCTTTCCTGATTCTCCATCGCGTCCTGCTTTTCCCCTCGGTCCACGAGCTCCCTGTTTAGGAACAAAGCGCAGCGTCGAAAATGAATTATGCTTCAAAGTAAACAAAGGACAAAGGCCCTAGAAGTCTGCGAGACGGACTAGAAGACACGCACGAAGGTAACGATTATTTACTTAAAATATCTTACTGTGAGAGCGATTTTTTTGCAAAGCTAAAGCAAGCCATCTGTTATTTAGCTATCGTCTATAACGTTACGTACCTGTATTCCCCTTGGTCCTGGCTGCCCAAGATCCCCAGGTTCTCCCTAAATAAAACAAGCAAACAAACAAACAACAATAGAAATGAACCAGAAAATGATTCGACCTATAATTTAAATTTTCATTACAGTTTCCTGAGTAAAACTGATAAAATACTGATTGTTTAGGGAGGCATGTATTTCGTCTGTGATTCTTACCACGTCTCCCTTAACTCCTGGAGTTCCGGGCATCCCTGGAATACCAGAATCGCCCTGCGATGAGATAAAGAGCAGTATCACTTTGTGATTTTAAAAGTACTAAAAAATTTAAAAGATTCGAGTCAGTTCAGTTGATTTTGCAGTTCCTTTAATCTTCGTCAGTCGGTAGGTTTTTTTTTTAATCGCCAGAAATTGTGAAAATAACCCTCAACCCCCTGACAGTATCACTACTGAATCAAATTTTTATGTAATACCAATATAGGAAAAGATCACCAATGATTGTTCAATAAATTTTTGTGGTCAATAACATGGGAGACATGTAGAGAACAGGTTGGAGATTATGCATACTGATGTTGAGTTGTAAAGGATTGAGAACGCATGTTCGAGTTTGGACTCGCTCATCGGTAGTAATTTTGTAATTTTAAATTTACAAATATGATATTTTAGACCAGAATTCATCACCGCTCACCTTGTTTCCGTTTCTTCCGGCTGCACCTGGGTATCCGACAGCTCCTCTTTTACCCTGTGGAAGATTATGTAACCATTACATAAATCAAGAGACCGACAGACATAAGACGGACGGACAGAAAGACAAAATTAACGGCTGCTTTTGCAGTGGCGGATCCAGTGGAAGGGACCGTAGTGTCCGGATCCCTTCCCATCAGACCTATAGGGGTTTTATTTCGGTATCTTTTGTCTCACTCCAAAGCTTTTTCACCAACAAGGTCGTATGTTTCTACACAATTTGAAGGATATAAAAGTTACTTATCTAGCGATATTTCTTGAATTATTCGGGTTTGAAGATTGTCAAGACCGTCGAAACCATAAATTTCTGGATACCGTCTTTCTGATCCTTTAGTCAAGTAATTCTTTCAGTTCGACCGAGATTTTTAACTGAATATGGACCTCGGTTTCAGTTTATCCCATTTTATATATTTATTTTATATCTTTTCATTCATTCCTTTTGGCGACTTTATGGCATTTGTTCCATCAATATACCCAGTCATACGCGGTTACGAAATCTTACCATTCCCCCAGGCTCCCCAGCTGTTCCAACCGGCCCCGGAGCTCCTTGACTGCCCTGGCAAGAAACAACGCAAACGAATTGATGACACGGAGTAAATGTTTCAGGAAATTCTTTTCATTAACGGTTTAAAATACCAACTGTCAATTTTAAAAAGGGAAGTCATACAAGGAAAGAAGTTAAGAATTGTTAATTTTCACAACACGAAACTGATGAGAATCTCAATAAGGTGATGGCTTTTACTACTAATGGTTAAAATTCTGACCAATTTACGGCTAACGGTGAATACCTTTTCATTGTCATCACCAGAAATGTTTTTTATGATTAACATTTTTTACGAGTAACAGTTAAGATTTGTCAATTTTCACGCTAAACGGCTAATTTTTTTGGCTGTTTTACGGTTATTGGTTAACCGCGTGTAGACCCTCTTAGATATCTCAACCCATGCAAAGATATTCTGTGTGGAGCCTATGAGACACAGACATTAAAATATACACTACTTACTCGTTTCCCCGCGATGCCATGGGGCCCAGGTCTTCCCATCTGTCCTTTCCTACCCTTTGGAAAATAATAATATCAGTTCTTACAATTCAGTTACTTTATATAACCACAGTGATGGACAAAAGTGCCAGTTAGTCCAGGGTTGAGGTAAGGAGGTTAAAACAATTTAAAAAGACCCCCCTAGATCCTAATATTAGTCATCATTAGTAAGGATTACCGAGATCTGGGGTGGGTTTAGAGAGGGTAATGTTTTCCACTTCTCTCTAGAACCTTATCAACCCTGCTCCCTTCCCTCTTGAACACATCTTTCGAAGGGGTAAGGTGTGATTACCCGAAGAATATTTGTTCCTATGGACGTTTACTTTCCCTTGTTCGCATACATTTTTGTGCCATTTTCCAAAAGCGAGAACGAATGATGCTCATTCTGATGTTACATTTGCAACGAAAAAGTCGTCTTGAACAAAGATAGCATTTTACTCCATTATTGAAAGCGAATTCAGGCCACCACCCTCACTGACCAATAGTACCGATCGTAAAGCCGACAGGACGCTTTCAGTCCCATGCTGAGCGGCTATGGAAACTGTATGCATACATATGAAAGTGCTAAATTCCGACAGAGTTGCCCTGGACACCAACGTGGTATCCAATCAAAGGTTTGGTCACTGCTGAGATTAGCCTCCGTGATGTCATGCGAAAACGATCTACTCGTCAGGGATGACATGGAATATTAGGATTTGAATAGATAACTTCTATTAACAAAATGAAAATACATATTCACGCAAATTCCCACCTGATCACCTTTTGATCCAGTTGCTCCTCTTAAGCCAGCAAATCCAGATTTACCCTGATTGGAAACACGACAATAAAATGATGGAAGACCCCGTCATTTACGGAGTGCGTTTTGATTGCCTGCTCAAGATTAAGGCCAAGGTTATCGCAACGGCCAATCTGAACCATAGAAAAATATCACAAGGAATCACTAAGAATTAAATCCAAGTAAAAAGTATGTGAACAGCGTTTGGCGCGAGAGAAAATGAGTGACTACATAGTAATTGGTTACAATTTTGCATCTGATTGGTTGTTGGAGCGGCTCGCATTTTTTAGTCGATCATCGAGCCACGTAAATCAAAACCAATGTAATTCTGGATAAAATTCGACATTCAATTGGAAATTGCACAATCATAGCAATATTGATGCTTAAAAATGCAAGTGCGATAGATACTTACCCTGTCCCCAGGCTCACCATCATGCCCTGGCTGCCCAGGAATACCCTTGAATAAAAGGAAAGTAGATACCAAATATTTTAGACGGTAAAATAAAGCAATGCTCAAGTAACTATTTTGATCTCTTCTCCTCATTAGACGTAAAACTTCCGTCAAGGGAATTTTGCATCTTGAACACACAACCTTCTCTTTCTCCCCAATTTTTCCTAATAGCAAGTACACCTATTTTCGATCGTTAAGACCCAGGTCGAACCTTGAGATTGGTTCACATGAGTAGAAATAAACTTAATTTGATCTTCTTTTTGTCAGTTGCGGCTGGCACGTTGAGAAATTTGGAGGAAAAAGAACATCGTTTACCCAGGGATCTAAGCAGCACGCAGATGTCACCAAATTAACGTTCTGTTTCTGAGCAACTTGAAGATTTTACAAAAGTATTTTACTTACATCTATTCCTGGAGAGCCTTGTGTTCCTTGAGGCCCCATCAGGCCCATTGAGCCCTAGAAAAAAGGGGTAGAGATTGTTAGGCCCTTTTGGTAACCCTCAGTTAAGTACACAAGCTTAACAGGTCTCTTCCAAAAGGTGTGATAGAATATCACTGTTACTAACTAATAAACTACACAAGAACTTTATACCAACACACAAATTGGCAAACAGTGTGTCACCTCTTCAGGATAATTTCGGATAGGATTGCATATAACTGACAATTTTCTCTTCCTTTTTCTTGATCTCAACATCTCAGTATTTTTACGACATCTATATAATCACATCTGTTCAACTTAAAGATGCATCCTTTACGAGTAAGGTTCACGTGCACTGTGAAAGTTTAGATTGATAAAATAACGTGTTTCATCTAAAGGAGGGAATTATCAAGATAGGAGCTTTGGTTGAACGATTTCTGTGTTCAAACCCCCCCTCCCCCCACCCCTGCTTCAAAACTTTCTAGATCCGTTAAAAATATACAACTTTCACGATTCCTTCGCTCCAAATTCTTCACACAAGATATAGGATTCTTATAAGAAAATCTAGAGTTAAATTCGTCCTTAAGAACAGGGCCTTACTAACGAATCACCTACCATGTTACCCTTGGGCCCAGGTTCTCCCTCCTCACCTGGGAGGCCGGGGTTCCCTGGATCTCCGTCTCGTCCTTCCTCTCCGTCTGGACCAGGCTCTCCGTTGGTACCTCTAGATCCTGGACGCCCCTGAGGTCCATTATTCCCTTTAGGCCCGGGAACCCCTCCTAAGCCTGGTTCACCCATCTCCCCAGGTGCACCCTGCGGCAATAAAAGCACGTTTACACTTTACACCTAGATGGAGGTAGATACATTATATTTTTTTCCATCTTAATTGGCCCTCTTCCCCTCGTTTCAAGCAAGAAATTTCTTGGTCGCGATCAAGGCAGAAAGGTTTAATCATCAGTAAATAAGGAAATATATAAACATTCATTTGGAGTTAGTTCCAGATGTATAAGCTAAGAACATTTTAACTGGCCTTAACTAAAAGCTTAAAGCCAACTTCTTTGAACATTAATTTAACATTCATCATAAAAACCCTTTTTAAGCGACACGACACCGTATTAGCCTCCATAGCTGCATAGCACTGTGTGCGCCTTTACGTCAGGACCGGCGAAGTTGTAGGATATATATCGCTATCTTTCGTCCCAAGCCTCCGCGGCTTCGCCGTTCGTTTTCACAGTTTTTGTTTTCCCTCGCCTGACGCTTCAAAGCGCAAATAAAACTGCCAGCTAAAAAGCCTACACAACACAACTATTGATGATTCCCTCCTGCTTTACCCTGACGTTCAGCCTCGATTGTCTACTCTTTAATAACAAACAAACAAACACAAAGTACAAACAGCTAGCAAATTATTTCATCATTATTTTCATTTATTTCATACCGGAGGACCCTCTCGACCAGACTTCCCACGAGAACCGACTTTGCCCTATGATAAAAAAAAACAAACAAACACGCATCAAGCTTGAATGAGAACTTTATGGTATAAGCAAAAAATCAGCAACTTCAAAAAGAAAGATAATAGGCTGCATGAGAAATATAACAGACTGGATATCAAAATTATTTACCTACATTACAACAAACAAACATGTACAGTAAAGATAACTGCAGGTCCATTGATTGTCTAAACTGTAGCATGAGTAAATAATAATTTATTTCGTTTACACAGCCGAATCTTCCATTTTTCCCTAATTTTATTTGGCTTACCTGTCGGCCCACTGCTCCTGGGATGCCAGGCCTTCCTTGTGGACCTTGCATACCCTGGACACAAAGACACCCAATGAATTTAGAGAAACGTGAACTTGACATCACATGTAAGAGGGAACACGTTTTCTACATAATACGGCCTGTACAAAACTTACGGATCTTCCATCACGACCAGAACTTCCTGGTTTGCCTGTGTCTCCCTAAAAACACAGAGCGAAGAAATTCACGGAAAGAATATACACAATGGCACAGCTATGTCCATTTATAATATACTGCGCAAAACGCAGAAAAAGATTAAGTGTATTTTTAAACGCAAGAGGTACATCTGCCGTAACTGATGCATTCTTCCGACAAAGGAGATGAGTTGACAATCCCACATTGTTGTGATTATAAATTGTTCAATATGTCAAACAAGTTAGTTAATTCAGTTACAAGTTAAGCAAAGTGTTGCGGTTTTCTTTGCTAGAAAAACCACAAGAATTAACAAGTTGACACGGAGTACATATGGAAATAAACGACAACGATGCAAGGACTGACAACGTGGAAAAGACACTTGCAAACGCTCTGCAACATATAACACGAAGGACTAAAAGTAGTCGGAATTGAAGCGTCAGCGGTGTCGAACTTGCGAAGCTTAAAACACGAAAGACGAAATCAACGGTCGACTTCTACAAACTGTCCAAGAGAAAGCAAAATTATGCGGGAAAATCTGACATAATATGAATTGCGGTTAGCGAAAAGAATGCGAAAACAATAGATAAGAGTGGACCACAATCGCAACAAAGAACGCAGGACAAATAGCTAGTTGGAATGCGGCGACAACACAAATACCTTCGTTTAGTTGCCAGCGGAAGTAGCTCATCCACGCACACTGTTGAAACATTATCATACCTGTGCACCCTGCCTTCCTTGGCCTCCTGGTTCTCCTGCAGGTCCTTGTTCTCCCTAAGAGTTATCACCTCAATTTAGTCTTTATTTTCTTTTTATTAAAGATAAACCTTGATTTTCATCGTACACACAATCACGAAAGACACAATAGCTTTGAGTTTAGAGCGCAGAATTCCGCAATGAAATGTCCAGGTTCTTGCCCCAACTGGTTCATTTGTGAGGCTATCGAGTACACCCTCTACCCTCACAGAGCCTCTCTTAACCCGAGGTTACACAGCGGTCTTAGCAAACTTTTAGGGAGGGAAAGCAGGGTGGGGGTTGGGGTTGGTACTTAGAATGGACTACCAAAAGGAAAAGCAATGCTTACGATACCATTCACTCGAAGAAGCCTGAGTAAGCTCTGATTTCAACAGCTCTATCAGTCGAGAAAGAGTTTCATGGTTAAGAGTTGTTCGACGTGATATAATATTTTAGGAGACCAATGTCGGAGAAACTAACGATAACCAGTGAGGAACACTTTATCACATCAAGATTGCAATATGCTAATGTCTACCATTTCTCCCAAAAAACTTAAGTATTAAATAAGGGGGAAAACAGGAGGTGTAATTATTTTGGCCGTTTTTCCTTGAACATGTTAATAATGTTTAACCACGATGTGTTGACGAACCCTTTTTTACAACACAACACAACTGCATACCCTATCTCCCTTGACACCTTGCAATCCTGGCAGACCAGACGCTCCACGAGGACCCTTAAGAAAAAAAGTAAACTTTTCAAGACCAGTCACCATGACTGATGCTCAGCCAACAAATTCTTACATGGAAAAATAAATGAGCACTAAAATACTATGAAGACAAAAACTGCGCGTTTTGGCCACCGCGCAGCGTTTCGCATTTCCACAAAATTAGATTGGTTTGGTTAGACAGAAAAACCAAAAAGACGCGATAATAAAGAACCAAGGCCCTATAACAGCAAAAAAAGGAAAGGATTACAGCAGATTGCAAAACAACAAACCCTCCGTATGCACAAACCTTCACCTGTTTATTTAAACCCTCACAGCGTTACCTTTTCCTCTTTCGGCTCTTACAGCAAAGTAAATCCCAAGAAAAACAGAAAAACCTAGTGTAAACCCTGTGAAATCCGGAGTTCCAGCCATCGGGTTTACCTTTCCTCAATCGTGACATCGGTGAGCACGCTATTACCTCGATATCAGTTGTCTTGTTATCGTGCGCATCATTTCACCCCAAAGTTAGAATTACAGTCACACGTGACAAAGAACAACTCACCGATGCGCCTGATGGACCTGGCTCTCCAACATCCCCAGGGCGACCTGGACTTCCCTTAAAAGAAGACGATAAACTTCAATTTCAGTTACCGTTGAGGCCAAGAGCACTAACCAGAATTCCTCTAGATTAGGAAGTAGGGAGCAAAAAGGTTAGAAAATAACCAAAACGAATAAAGGACCATACGTCTTCTCCATGATGTCCTCTTTGACCAGGGGGACCGTTAAGTCCAGGTGGTCCCTACGGGTGATAAAGATAAAATTTATATCAATTTATGTCACTGATTATCAATTAGACTAGATGTGGATATAACAACGCGGCCATCTCTGTTCATTCATTAATTCATTCATTTTCCATACCTAGACACACAGAATGGGTGAGTGACTTACCGACTGACTGACTGAATGATAGACCGACCAACCGACCGACCAACTGACTGACCGACCGTTAGACTGACTGACCGACTGACCGACTGACCGACCGACTGACTAACTAACTAACAGACCAACCGACTGACCGACTGACCATCGACTGACTGACTGACTAACTGACTGATTGACCAACCGGCTGACTGACTGACGGACCGTTTGACTAACTTACTAGTTTACTTGTTTGTTTTTAGGCGAATAACAGATATACCTACCGGTGTGCCTGGGCTTCCATCTAAGCCCGGTGGCCCCGGTTTTCCGTGTTCCCCCTAAAAGAGATCTTCAGATGATAAATCTGAACAAAAAATCTAATCTGCTAAGTAAAACTAAATAATTTTTTTATTTATTTTGCCAGGCGTATGTTAGTCTCCCTCACAGGCTTTTATTTTTTTGATAGTTTCTCTTAAACAACAAAAGAATGCATCGAGATAAAATCGCTGCTACCAAAGGAGACTATAATAATGTTCACATTTTGAATTAAATGCACAAACATGAACTTAAAAATCAGATAAAGAAGCTAAAAAGCTTGCACATACATCAACCCCTCTCCTTCCAGGAACGCCCATTGAGCCAGCCTCACCCTAAAAATTATATAATTTATACAATTGTTAACAGAAAGAAACATGTAAATATTTAAAAATCAAATAAACTACGTTACGAGGCTACTTAGTCATTTCTAAAAGCATGGCAGAGCGTAACTTTTGGTGCAATTTCAAAATGAGTATCGAAAGTAATGGGGCATTAAATTGGTTTTGCATTGCTTCGCTCTATGATTGGTCAGTAAGGCTCGTGCCACCATCTCAACCAATCTAATGCAAAACTAAAACCACTCGCAACTAGGACTTCCGCGCTTTCCCGCGCTTCAAGTCTTTCTCGTGTCTTGGAGATCTCAATGGCCTCTTGCAATATTCTTCTCTGTTTTGATTGGCCACCAACTCAGTTTTATCCAATAGGCCATTTTACAGTTGTGTACTTAGTTGCCAAGCCTTTGAATTGGAGTGAGGCTGAAGGTGACCTTGTTGTGATAGAGACCAGTATCTAGTTAGCATGATAACAAAGTAATTTGCATTTGAAAAGCAGAAAGGTTTGTATCATAACAAGGTCACCCTTAGCCTCATTCCTGTTCAAAGGCTTGGCAACCAAGCACACAACTGTAAAATGGACTATTCGGTTACAAATACTCTGAACAGCAAGAAAACTCAAAATAACAGCGACGATTTGTGACATTAGACATACCGGGTCACCACGGTTCCCTCTAACTTCCCTATACCCAACACTTGGTCCTTTGCTGCCCTACAAGATAACAGAACAAGGTCACAAAATTCCATTTCAATAAAATAACAATTAATTAGGGTAACATTGATCTAAAGGCTTGAATGAAATTGAGCGAGGCGTTTGAACAGTTTGATTTGTCACAAGCCTGGAACAAACGTAGAGAAATGGACTCCATCCATGAGGAAAGTTTTTTGTAGGATCAGATGCCAAAATCGAGACCCAGCTTTTTTGTGGAATGACCTAACCAAACTGTGAAAAGATTTCACCGGAAACGAAGTGTCCTTGGATCTCTTCTGTAACACACAAATAAGCCTATTGCCCTCGCTCTTGAGGGAAATTTATACTGTTTTCATTGTACAAATTGTGGTGTTTCACAAGGATTAACAGCTCTGAGAAGAGCCGTAACTGCACACGCGTACAATTCGCGATGACCTTTTACGTGTCTTTGATATAACCAGTCTCTGCTGACACTCTGCCCTTCTGCATAATGAATGGCAAAGCGTTCACCATTCTCAATCCAAAATCGCATTTTCTTGTCAGTGAAGGCCTACAGTGTTCATACACTAAACAAAATAATACGTGGTTGCGTGTAGATAAGGAATTTATCTTCTCAAGACCAAACAGAGGCCACGATTACGGAGGTTACGCAACAACAGACGTGACTGAAAGGTAAAGAAGGCATTTGATTAGTTACTTAACTATAAATATTGGTGGTAGTTGCTCTACGGGTCCACCGTTCGTGATATTGTTAATAATCGGCCCTGGGAGGCCAGGAGGACCGGGAGGGCCTTGAGATCCAGGAGGCCCCTCAGGTCCTTGTGGTCCGGGTATTCCCTAGAGAAACAGAAACACTAATTAATGGTAACAAGAATTGATGAATTTGGGGTCAGTTTTTTTCTCCAGAATGAAAAACCCACCGGAAAATAGAGAAGTAAATAAACAATTTATCTTTGCGGGTGAGCTGCAATAAAAGAGATCGCAGAGAAGAATCCTGACTTCTCGTCAACGCCATTATCTTTTCAGGCCTCTTTTCTGCAATTGCTTTACTTGCAGTTGACCTGCTCGAATCATTCATCCATTCGCAGTTTTCTTTTCTGAGAAAACATTTATTTGTAACTGAGCGTAAATCTTGAACACCGAGATAGATTGGAATAGTGCAAGTTGAAACGTTTCGCATTTGTTTCGTATCGGCATATGGACCACTAACAATGGAGTTTACGCCTAGAAATACCCTTAGCTAACCATTTTACCGCCCGTAATAACTAGATATAGATGAGGGACAGTTAAAAAATGATGACCACTGTTATGAGTAATTGTTGTAAATAAAAGCTTTTAGAAATCTCCAGACTGTTGAGTCATGCTGACTTGCACAACATAGAGCTTTCCAGAACATTTCATCAAGTCACGCATTTTATTATGTAATACTTCTAAAACAGTTCTTATGTAAGCTTATGGAATGTTCCAGAACACCTTGTGAATATATATACGTAGAGACTTAGAGTTGTTGTTGTCGGAGCGACGACTGTTTTTAAAGCTGTACCGAGAGAGAGTTACTGTGGATAATAGCTCATTTCAAGGAACTTTGGGAACAACAGTGAGATTGTGTCAGTGTTGAGCTAGGATATAGACTGTCGTGGACTTAATTAAGTTGATTAACGTATTGTACTGTTTTTAGGGGGGCTACTCCTTGTTAAGAACATTACTCGCTGTTTAATAAAGTAGTTGAGTTCGTGGTATTGTAGAGTTTTTCTGTTGGTTAGGTTATACCGTAACACCACGAGCCAATTGATTCTCACCTGAGAACCTCGAAAGCCTTGAGGTCCGGAGGGCCCGGGCGGACCCTGATCTCCCTGGAAAAACAAATATAAAAGATGGTTCAGAACCAACAAATAGGAAATTTGTGACTAAAAAAAATTTCAATTGAGGGCCGGAATAAACGCAGTTTTGCATTATCCTAGGTTTTCAACAATATCAGGCTGGATATAGAAAAAATAGTTTCACCCTCACGTGTCTTCGTCTGGTCGAATGCTATGAAAATTATGAGTGATAAAAATCCTGGCATGTAGTTGGTGTAGGACCCCCACCCTCCCCCCCCACTCGCCCTCTCCCCCTTCGCGTCCATTGGTGATCAAAAAAATTTACTTCTGAATCTCAAGGAAAAAAGAATGTGTTGCAAATCTTTTAAAGAGGCGACCGTGACCGAGAAGATCCTATATGACAAAGACACACACCTTGTCTCCTTTTTCTCCTGGATCACCGGGCGGGCCGACCTACACAAAGGAAATCATTTCGAAAATTGTTAAAACATTTATCAAGAAAACTTCGAGATAAGAATGTCTCGAAGCATTCACAATGGTAACTGAACTGATTGGAGTGTAATTTGGTCTGAAATCACACTCCCTCAAAAAAAAAAAAAAAGTCACCAGTAGCGAAATTCATACTTTATCTGAATTTCCCAACAACTCGAGATCACTTACTCGTCGTGGTGGGAGAATCTGTTGTAGCTGAGGGACAGGAGGGGCAGGAGTCACCAGAGGAGTCGTTGTCGGCAGCGAAGTCGTTAGGAGCAGAGCCACTGAAAAGAAATTCTTTGTCGTTAAGTTGACACTGTTTGTTCATGATAAAGACAAAATTCTTAAATCGACTGTGTCTGGTCTAACGTGGCCTAACTTAGATTTACTTGACTTATTGCAATCCTCTCTACGAACAGTTACCTTTACTCTTTGACTACTGAGACTGACCAGCATCTAATTTCTCCTCAAATGACACCCCTAGTCACACATTAAGTTCACAAGAATAAAAGATAGGATCACCTTATCAGCACCTTAGAAAATGTAAGAAAAACAGTATCAAGAATGTGCATACTGATGTTACGGTGATTTCACGCCAGGCTTCCAAATAATAAGATCGTTCCATGACATCAGCCTGATTTTAGATTCCTAAGGGAATATCAAAACTTACAAGGGCAAAGAGTTTCACTGACTTCCTTCACTTTGGAATCTAGCTGAGAGAAATCGTCCACTTGAAGTACTTCTTGGGCGCTTGAAGCATAATTCCACGGCTCTATAACATCGACTTGACCAATACCCAATACAATGACGTAGACGCCCCTGTCCTTTAACTCTGTTGACGCGTCAATGGGACCGGCCTCATCCGGCGAAGTTATTGCGGTTTGTTTTCCATTTGTGATGAGAAGTACCAGCTGAAGAGGCAAGATACATACAGTTGTATTTCCATGTTTGGCCGATTTTAAAAAGCGACTTTCTGAACTCGAGCCAACTGGCCCATCCAGCCAGAGCATATCCCAATTTCCTTAGCATGAAGCGACCAGGAGTATAACTACCCCCCTGTCACCTCCCTTGGGTGGGATACATCACAAGGTAACCTCCCAGCATTCACCAGGCTTCCCTGACAATTCGCCGGTGCCCATTTATACTCCTGGGTAGAGAGAGGCACTGTGAGATTAAAGTGACTTGCCCAAGAGCACAGCACAATGACACAGCCAGGTCTCGAACCAGGACCTCTCGACCCAGACTCGACCCAGAGCTCAGTGCACTCTGCATCTCCATAACATGTTTAGGATGGGGCACCAAAGACCCTCCTCCCCCTCCCCTCCCCCCCTTTACTATCTATCACATGAAAAGTCTTCAAAATATTCAAATAACAAATTCAAATACAAACATTCTAGCTTAGGGGATTATATTTGAATTCTTCACAGTTCCTGGCTATTGCCGTGACAAAAAACCTAATAAAAGTTCGCAGCAACCTACCTTTTTAACATCTGGCCTCATTCCAAATTCTTCCTGGAAGACTTGTTCATTAACTTCACGAAGTCCTCTGTTGATGAACCTAGATGCGCCAGAGGGCGGCTTTCCTATCGACGTAATCTTTCCAAAGACGTTATCTTCTTTGAAAGTTGCAGGATCAAACTCTTCAAAATCGAGAACTTTTTCACCTTGGTCTCCAAATTTGACCAAAGCAATGTGGGAGCCTTCAGGACCGACGTTGATGTTCTTTGACACATCGACAACGAATTTGAGCAGAGTGCCCCAGTCGTCACCAACACTTCCTGAGGCATCTGCCACAAAAGCCAAGTCAATTTTACAGTTCGGGTCCTCTGTGGAAATTTGAAGGAAAAAGAGAACGTTATATGGTTTGCATCGCCAGTGTATTACTGGAGAGCATTAGTTTGGTAAGGTCGAGGAAAGCCTGGAGCTTAGAGGCACCTCGAGGTATGTCTCGATCATAACGATCCACCGTGACGACATCAAAACCTGATCGGAATCCTGAGCACTCGCTCGCCAGAAAAAAAAAATACTATCAAAGCCGTCACAGTTGATCCTTTATTTATTCTTGTTTTTCCGAATATTTCGCGTACTTTTTTCCCAGGTTTTCCAGTCTTCCACCCCTTTACAAAAATTAACCATCCAAATCGCAATTTACTTGGAACAGCGGACGAAAATGCCCCCGTCTCTAATATCTTGTGCTAAATATGATTCAATACTTAATTGTTCGTCTTTTCCCCTTGCATTCGATTTCCGACAGGTCTAGTTTACGATTTTGGTTTGAAATGTTCTTAACTAGAACGTTTGTCAATTGATTTTTGTTTATTGTGAGCGTCTAAGCAGTAAGCCGAGTCAAAGTGCTCTTTTCTGGGATGTCGCGTAACAATTGCGTGACATTTTAACGAAAGTCAAAGCTGTTAGAAAATGTGTGACCATTTCGCAACATGTCATGTTGTCACTGAGTATAGAAACAGATTTACAGGAAAGTCCTTAGTTTAGTTCAAGAACGTGAATGCTGCTTTGAAGTGGAGACGAACAACTGCTATTCTTTCCGTGCTTTATAAAATATTACGATTTCCCCGCTTCGTTGTTTCAACTCCCTCAGAGTCAGATGAAAGGAGCTTTGTGAAAAGAAAGCAACTGTTTAAAGGCAAGAGCGTTCAAGATCCATTGGGCTAATGTAAAATAAAAATAGAAAACAATATAAGCGTTTCAAAGACAAGGAAAGGGTATGTTTGAAAACTGTGAATTAAGCTACAGGAAGTGGTCTCAGATCGAACAATTTTTCCATGAGATTTCATGACATTAAACCGCAGAAATTATTTCGTGTAATATTAGGTATCAGATGTGATCAAACGATTTCATTGCTACGTGTTCAGTAAACAAATGGATTTTCTTCCAATAATCGCGATGAAACCATCAAATCGTTCGACGCGAAACAGGGACAACAAGTCATAATACTTTTATGATCACGCAACGATCACTGTTAATGATAATAAACAAAACCAGGCACTGTGTTCTATGCTGAATGTACTCACGCGCTGGAATCCTCGTCCCTTGCAACAAAAGAAAAAGAACAACACTCCAAATTAAGTTCGTCTGCATGTTGATGAGTGTTAACTCAACTTGGAAGGGAAGCTATGATAAAGCCAGATCTTACAGATCACTCGAAAGGCCAGCCATTTTGCGAGGATCTGAAGCACGCATGGAGGCTTCAGATAACGTCAATAGGTCTTTGTGGAAAGGAAGTCATGTAACTCGAAACCGTCTACTCACAACAGACACATTCTTTATTCATTCATTATCAGCGATCCATTCAACACTCAATCGTAATATTTACACTGTGGGTCTTTAGCTTTTGAACTAAGCTCTCCGTTCTTACTTATAAAAACAGATTGATGAGACAGTGAAATTTAATCTATTGGACATGGATCCAAGAAAATCAAATCTTCGAAAGGATGGTTTCAATGCCCTTCTAAGGTTTAAATTTCTGTAGTCACAACAAGAAGCTGACACATACATCAAGTATTTTTGAAAACACTTCTTCTTTGATGTCCCTCTAGTGATTTCCCTAAAATTTCATTAATTCAGCCATAAGAAGCTTCATTTCTCTTCACCTAAATTTTGCCCACCAATATTTGTGGTTGGTTAACTACAACACGAGCAAAGAAATTATGAACACCATGACGTGACCAAGATATCGGGTCACCGCTGACCTTCTATGACATCATGGGGAGCAGGAGGTAGATTCATTTTCTCATTGAGGTCTTTTTGGTTTTTTTTTTTTCTTTTTTTTTCCATCTGATTTTTTACTTAAACATTCTTTATTCATTTTAGCTGTTTCTTTAATTTGTGGGTTAATCACGAGAAAGATGTACAGACAACAATCAAATTCTCAAATCAGAAAATATTAATTGGTCTTCGTGTAGAAACTTCTCGAAAAATGATTTCATACATCGAACAACATTCTTCCTTGAGAAGACAAAGAACTCTGGAAAACAGATTAGGCAAGTTTTCGAACGGGCACGCAGACGTTGCAAAAAAAATTCACGGTTTAAAAAGAGAGAATTATTTGACATTCAGATCAGCCGAGCAAATTCAGAAATGAAAGTAAACTGAGGAAGACATTATATTGCACATTAAAGGGTAGAAATACACGATAACATTACTTAAATCATAAAATTGTAATATTCTTTGGGTATATTGGTTCATCTCCAATGGATCCATTTTCTACCAATTGGATAAGTTAAAGATTTCTGCAGAGATAAGAAGAACAAGAGGCAAACTCAAAATGTAGACTGTATTTCTGACCCAAAAGAAAAAGCTATCAAATTTTCTTCTTGATTTCGATCGGCTCGGTTTGAAAATGAACGAAGGATGGACAACTTATTGTCTGAGTAAAGCATGTAAAGTCTGAATGAATCATGTAAATTCTGGCCACAAGGGGAATTTAATTGCTGTAAAAATTTAACTATCACCACATTCTACGTCAATTCGTTAGATAAATAATTTATTTCACGAGGCTTGCGCGGTGATAATTTTTTTTTTTTAAGTCCGATAATTCCATCATTTTTGCATGGAGCAATTGCATTCAAGCTATATCGAAACAGCGGGAGAAACTAGTTCGCTTCTCAGAAGAATTTTCCGTTTGATTTCATCTAAGGATTTCACCAGCATTAATTAATCGGTTTGAAGTTCTGGTGAAGTAATATTTACCGAATGGATTCACATAAAACGGAGTCAAGTTGTTCATTATCAACTGAAATGGAACGTAAATCATCAGCCGAAGAACCAGTTTGTGACGAAGGAGTACAATTAGAACGTTTTGACTCAGTGGATAGTTTTCGCACAAGAGCATCGACAGAAAGCCGGACTGTATCAATGGCTTCCACTGAAAGCTACGAAACAGTAAGGTTTTTTTTTGTTTGTTTTGGTTAGAAATCACCTGCCAGCTTTTATATCTTGAGTGTATTTAATAACTCATCACATTTTGGTTTCTATTGTCTAAACTGAGCTTATCGTAGATGGAGCGTAAGATTTTAAAATGCCGTTTTCCAGTGCGGTAGAAGCGAAGTCTAATGGCCTCTCGAAAAAAATTTTTTTCCAAAGCATAAGCAAACTGAGAAGCCTTAATTGCAAAAGAACTATTATCGCATTGAATTTTACTATTAAGATAAACTGCGAGGCTATTTTAAGTCAAAGTTCCACAATTAGTACTTTTTTAGGTTAATTAACACCGTTATCTAACAGTCCAAAGGCTGTTGATTAACAGCAAAAAGTACTGACCGAGTAATGATCTATTTACCTCATAATTTTCCACCGGGTATAAACACTCTAAAAATAAAAATAAAAAATATGAGAAGCTGTGATTTCTAAACAACATGCATAAGTCGACCTTTTCGAGGGGCTTTGCGACATTTGGCTGAAAGCTTAGTCTTCCCTAAAGCCCTTGCTTGGTGGGGGGAATAATAGGGTATAGCGTATTTCTGGAACCGTTTGTCTTTTTCTCTCATTTTTTACCTTTTGTCAGGCTTCCTCATCTTTCCCAAGCTGGGATAGAAACAGCTGCCAAGGGAACAGAAGATCCTGTTTATTGGGATGGATAAATTCGCTGGAGGAAACTACCAGACGAACACTTTTCATTCATCATCTGCCAGTAGAGATATGCGATCCCGTCAAAGACATGTCGTTGTTTAGTTGTGAAGCGGAGTTTTGTCGTATTTGTCATTGCGGTAAAGAGGATGAAGAGTTAATTGCACCATGCAGATGCTCTGGAAGTGCTAAGTTTGCGCATCAAAGTTGCTTGCTGTCTTGGTTTGAACTGAAAAAGGACAAGACATGCGAACTGTGCCTTTACGAAATTTCTGTCAAAAAGATGGGCTTCAAACCATTCTCACAGGTATTGAAAGCAATATTCAAAGCTTCTTTTCATCGTGGCCATTAACTAAAAGTTTGTGAACGTTTCTCAGCTGTTTGTTGCTTTTTTTGCTAACAGTTAGAGACATAACTATTTGTTTGTTTGTGTCTGACACTGAATTGTTGGCTTAGGTTCTTTAAAATGATATTTTTTCAATCAATTTTTAACTTACTACTAATATAAATTAGGGCAAATGAAAAGGGGAAGTGGAAAAAGTATATTAAAAGCATTTTTATACACTATGTCTATCTGTTTGTCTGGCTATCAGTCTATCTGTCTGTCTGACCGTCTGTACAGTATTCAATTGTCTGTCTGTCTGTTTGTCTGCCGTCTCCTTATCCAGTACAGTTGTATCATGCTACTGACTCCTTCGTAAATTTGTCTAACTGGCTGTCTGTCGCCCTTCAGTCTAACTGTCTATCGGTCTGTCCACCCGTCTGTCTATCTACCCATCTGTCTGCGTATTTGTCTTACTGTCTGTAAAGTGAAGATCCCTGTGGAATTTTTTTATTATCATTATAAAATCTGTGTTATGCATTTTTCACTCTGGTAACCCGTCTAATTGCTTGTTTGTCTGTCTAACAGTCTGTCTGTCGCCTGTCTGCCGGTCTAGTTTAACATTTCACTCCTTTACGATTTTCAATTCACGTTCTCTTTGTTTTTTCACCCTTAAGTGGAGACTACCGTGGCGTTCGTGCGACATTGTGGCGTACCTTTTCTTGTTCTACTGTCTGGTTCTGGTAGTATTTATAGCCATGGTACTGTGGATCGCCTCTAAGCGTTGCCTCTCTCCCATCTGCATTGTTCTGTACTTCGCGTGCGGTTTGGCAGTGTGTTACTTCACCTATTGCTGCGGTTGCATAGAACATATTCGCTACTACTGGAAAGCATGGATCGATGTGAACCGTCAGTGGCTCATATTAACTCACAAAGACAGTGTACAGGTTCTCAATAATGCTATCGAAAAGAAGAGCAACAACGGATGTGGCAAAGCAAGGGAGGAATTTGTCTAGGTGCTTTGAAACTGCCGCTATGTAATTATAACAACAGACCAATATCAAAAGGAAATATAAGGAAAGAAAACAAGGAGAGAATAACATACTCATCTTTATAAAAACAAAAAATATTATGTAGGAGACATGGTGGTCTGATGGTAAGTGCGCAGGACTTCGGGTCAAGAGGGCTGGGTTCGAGGCCTAACCGAGTCATTGCGTTAAATCAGTTTAGTATAGATGCACTCATATCGCGAGCCTGGGCCTCTTGTGAACAACCCTGTAGGCCTTCATATTCCTACAAGACGCAGGTGTTCAACCTCGTGCTGAAATACGGCATTCTCAAGTATTCAACGTAAATTACTTATTAAACAACAGTACAAAAGTGGAGAGCTGAACTATAAAATAAATGAACTGTTTGTAAAGAAAAAAGTTTGTTTGGTTTTTAATATTTAACATACAGTTGTTCATGCGATTTGCTAACGGGCAATAAACGTAATACTGAGGATTGTTGTTTGCCATAGACAGCGCGGACAGAAGGGAGAGACTGGTCATTATTCATCAGGGGGGGTCGATAAAATTTCCTTGTTTCCCCGCCCCCCCCCAATACGGTTGTGTAATTTTCTTGTGAAACCCTCCTAATTGGCAGTTAATTGACCGTCAATCCTCTAAAGTCCCCCTTCAGTATACTTTGTTGGGGACGACTGACTCCCTTCCGTACCCATTGAAAACTATGTGGCTCCCTTTGAAAATTGATCAAACCCCCCCCCCCCTCCCCCTCCTTCCCTTTTGAGAGATGAACTAAGGACCGGTTGAAGAAAATTAGCTCCAAATTATTGTTCAAAGGTTTGTCTACCGAACACTCCGGAGTGAAGTAGCTTAGCCGCGCAAAAACGTGTGGTCTCTTTGAGTCAATCTTCAGTCCAAATGGACAAAGGTAAATCTGTCCCTTGTTTAAAACATCTGCCGGGTGCAAAAGTGTAATCATACAATTTGTTCTCAAAAATACACACGGCTGAATATAAAACTACAAGATTAAGTAATTTTAAGCCCATCAGTTTCCATACTTATATCATTATTGTTCAGTGGGTTGCATTTTCAGCATTAGGTTTTACGGAGAAGAAAAATTAGTCACAATTTGAAGCTGTTTTTCGCTTTTGTCGAGTGAAATATCGTAGCCAATACAAACGAAAAGCAAATTGTATTTTCTGTCCGTGATGCTTCTTTTCCCCTTTTTTTAACTTTTAAATATTTTACAAGTTATTTATCAAAAGTAACCATGATACAAAGAGAAAACCACAGAACCTATTTCATCTTTCTATCAAGCTAAGTTGATATCAAAAGCTATCTCGTGTTTTTAGCTTTGCCATCATCAGCTATCGGTTGGCCGGGAAAATTGCAAAACTGTCAACTTGTCTGGATCAACGACGGTCTTCAGTGAGAATATTTATGAATAAATGAGTTGACCACTTGTTAACGTTTTAGCAATCTTTTCAACGCCCGGATTAGATCAGAATATCGAAAAAAAGGCATCAAGTAAATCACTGTTCTAAACTTAAATTACCACACAATTTGTCCTCAAGTCAAATTTATGTTTTATCAGTGACATCTGTCATTAAATTCCGGTCATTTTCCAGTGAATTCATACAGCGTTGATTTAGAGACGTTGAACGGAAACATCCGTTTTAAAGAAAGTGTCTGATCAAGGTCGCAAAATTCACTTGCGTTTACACCTGCTATATCAAAACAGCATTTATTTTCTCTCGAAATTTAACTCTGGAGTGTTGCCGACGGCCAAAATCACAGTTTGAGTTGACAGGAGATATCACACTCCGCAAACGCCCTTAACATCTGTCGCGTGTTCGCCAGTAGGACATATTTGCTACCCTTAAAAGTCAGGTTACTATGTAATCTTTTGCCAAAAAGAGGAAAAATCGCAAAGGAACAGGAAATTGAAAAAACTCAACAAGGTAACGTACTGTTCACTCTTCTCCTTTCATATTTGAGGGTAGCTATGAACTGACAGCCAATAGGTTTTTATTTCGATGCATTGCATTTTGAATAACCTATTACCACACAACGTGTTATCCATACGAAAAACTGCATTTGATCCAAATAACCTAAGCTTTAGAACCTTACCTGTTTTTGAGACAAAAAGCTTTATTTTCAGCAGACGTCACTTGATAATCCCTACATGTAATTGGTTGAAAATAAGGAAGTGTGTTTCAAAGGGTTTACCGGCGCAGAAAGAGAAACTAAACAGCCTTGAACGCAATTTACTTCGCGTCTAATTTTTTGCGTAAAAATTGCGATCTTTCTGGTTACAATTAGCCGTTAGCTGTCACTATTCCAGGTTGGAAAAATTATTGGCAACTTTATCTTTACGCTTGAAGTAATTTTTTTTACCGTCAAGACCACTTTCGATTTGGTTTACAAGAACAGATCATGACACAGGTAGGATTTTGCCGTGATTTCCATTCCAAAATTGTTTCAATGTGGTAAAAAATATAACATTTAAAAACGATTCAATTTTTTTCTAGTATGTTGAAGAAATGTCTGTTCTCTCGATGTAAAACCACTTTAAATCAGTCCTTCCTCTTGAGGACCTCGCAAATGGAACATAAACAAAATATTGTGTCATAATTAGAGTAAGATTTTTAATAATCTGATCTCTCCTTCGATACTTCTCTTTCCTCTAAAAAGAAATCGTAGCACAAATTCAAGTTAGCCGTATAGTCTGGATCTTTACGCCATGGTAACTGAAAAAAAAATGAGATATGGGTTATGAACATTTCGGGTGAGTTTTAAGAGAGCAGTCGCCCTTTTAGGCCGCTGGCTATGTATAGAAATAAATTTCAAATAAACGGTAATTTGCGGTAAATATAGCTGCCAGATGGTTTAAACTGGATTCATCACCGATTATAGATCGGGCTATTTGGAAATAACTTGATACATAAAGCGACCATAAGCAAACTCCTCAATCTTGATTGGCTTACAGGTAATGTTATATCTGACCAAAAAATCATGGTCCACAAATATGTTATGATTACGTGTCATGGTTCAGCACCATTTGTTGCAGAGCTTAAGATTGTTTTATGGTTTTTTGATAAAAACAAACAGAAAAAATTTTCCACTTGTGTAAAATAAAAATAAGAGAGAGCCAGCTTACATCTAACGCGTGTAAAATATCAGTTATAGATAAATTATTAAATTTAAGCTTGCAGTCCCAAAACAAAGTAATTAAATTAAAGAGATTAAGATTTACAAATAAGGCAAACGGATGAAATTTATTTTCTTGTCGTCTGCTGTCGGCCATTTTTACATTAAATTCAGAATATTTGCGGTGACCGTTGACAAGAGACTTTTGAAATTTTCAAAAAAAAGGCTAACGCTCGAGACGTCAGCTCTAGAACCTCTTTATGATACCAAATTTACATTATCAACTCAGTTGATAGAGACAAATTATACTATGTTGACCCGAGGACTATAAAGATAGGGGGTGAATAGAGAGTTGACTACGCCGTTGCCGGAAATTTCCTGTTTAAACTCAGATCAACAGCGGGACGAACAAGGTTCAAGCATACGAGGGAGAATTTGGTTTGATCACTTTCAGATTTTTCGTTTGCCATTCGAGAAAATTTTCTCCATCCTTTCTCATTCCTACTCCTTTTTACTTATTCTTTCAATTTCCATGTTTTTCTCAGTCCTACTACAGCAGGTTTTTCTTACGCTTCCGTAACCTCAAACTTTGTTTTGCGATTTTATTAAAAAAAAAACCCCGTTAATTTACTCCACGTAACTCAGTACTTCCAGTTCTATTTTCCTTGCAGCCGGAATCAGCAAATCTGATTCTTTGTAAAGTGTTACTTATTCTTCTTACAGTTGTTATAAACGTCAATTGAATTTCTTGGTTACTTCCGCTGATAATTTGGTTGCATTAGTATTTTTTTACCTAACACAGGTTTATCCGCTTCCTGAGACCGACCCACGCCTATACCCTCCGCAAGATGCCATCAGTGGTCTACGAGGTGCGAACGCAGTTGGATCCGTTATAGATTGTCATAGAAACCCAGCCTTTGTTGTGGAGCTCTTTTCGAGAGAAAACTCAGAAGTGCGTACCACGCAGCCCGGACAGGAACTCGAGACAATGGTTTGTTTTTTTTCTTGTTGTTGTTGTTTTCCAAGAATTAATCTGCGCCTTTTGACACTGCTTTCTGATTCAATTGCTATGGACTCGTGTGAGTAAAAGTTTTAAAAAATGAAATTCTGAGGAAGCATTTATTAATTCATTTGATTATTCATTGATTTCTTCACCCACATTCTTGCTTCTTCATTCAGTCGTTTCTACATACCGATACTCATTCATTTATCTCATTCATTCATTCATTTATTCATACAGGCATTTGGCCAATCACTCGCTCTCTCACTCATTCATTCATTCATTTATTCTTTCTTTCATTCACACACATCGACACTTATTCCCGTACCTTAATCTTTCATTCATTCACTCACTTAAAAACTCACCCAGTTACTTACTCACCCACTCACATATTCGTTCACTTATTCATTCCTCCATCTATTCAGCCAACATACCATTGGCTACAAAGGTTAGGTATGACTCTGTTAAACTCGTAGAAAATGCCTTCAAGTACTTGCCAAGTTAATAAACCAAATATAGAAGTAAATAAGGTGTTGACCTTTTTAACTTATGAATTTATCCACCGAAGGATGAAGATATCTGCCGAATTTGTCACGATACCAAAGAAAAAGAAGAACTTGTACGAGTTTGCCGATGTGATGGATCTGCGCGGTTCGCCCATAGGAGTTGTGTCCTACGTTGGTTTCAATTTTCCTTCCGTCAGGAATGTGAACTGTGTCATTACAAAATGAAAATTAAGAAAAATGGCTTTAAACCCCTAAAGGAGGTGGGAAATTTAATTTTTTTCCCTCAGTCTATTCAGACACGAACGATCCAGCCTGATAAATAAGTAAGCCTCTCCGCAAGTTTGTTTAAAAGCTTACTTGTTCATAAATACCAAAAGACGTTGGTGAAGAACAAGTTCCCCTTCCTTCCTTTGTGTTGTGTTCTTGGGAAAGATACGTCACCCTTAAAGCGCTTTTCTCCACCCAGGAGTACAAATGGGTACGGGTCGTTTGTCAGAGAAATCTAACGATTAGCTAGGTGGGAAAGACGGAGGAGGGGGCGGGGGGTCTTCGATGGAATGGTGTCCCATCAAGGGGGAGTAGCAACACTCCCAGTCTTTTTATGCAACAGAAACTGAGATCAGTCCCGGCTCCAGTTGGATGATGGGCCGCTTAGGTTGAATGCAGAATTATAGAAACCGAGATAAGCTCGAGATCTGAGCCATTAAGCTCGAGAACAGACTCTCTCTTTAACCATTCTGTGGGTGTCTCTTTGCAGTGGTCCAATCCATGCCAGTTCATGTCATCAGTGGATTTCTTTATCATGCTGATCGTCAACATTTTACATGGAGCCGTGTTTTCGATGATTGTGATGGTGGCGGTAACGAACAAGTGCTTTAGTCTGACCTGTATCTCTCTCATCTTGTTATGCTTTGCAAGTATGCAAATACTTTCATAGCCCTTTGACCCTTAGGAGTGACCAGCATCTAATTTCTCCTCACAGTATCAACCCTGAATCAAATATTAAGATCACGAAACTAAAGGAAAAGGTTACCAAATAGAGAAGCTTCTGATTGTTAACCAAATTCTCAACAAAATGGCAGAACCTTAGGGAATATATAGAAAACATTATGGAGAATATGCATAAATATGTTAGGGTGTAAAGAATTATGTCATCTGTACCTCTGTCCTTCAATAGATTATAAGTAAGAACCAATCAAAATACGCCTATTATTCAGCTTATCATAGAAAACAGCGCATAATCATTATGTACAATCCTCTTGTTTATCTCCACTCATTTGTTAAAATTTTTTATCTTGACTCACTTTTAGTCGCACTTTTGATGTTCTACTGCTGCGATGGATGCAAATACTTGAATTCCTGCAAAGTACAATGGGTAGTAAACAACAGCAGATGGAGTATCTCCAGTTATGACGAAGAATCATCCTACCAATGACAGAACCCGCAGTTCATCACGTGACATTCGATAAAGAAGGGCATGAAAAGGTTAGATATGGAAGCTGGAATTGCCAATTTTCCTACTGGAAATGGGATTTGGGCTGAGAAATGTGCTTTATTCTCTAAGGGAGACATGCAGCCTGGTTGATAGGAGAGCCTGAAGGAACCGATCGTCGAAATAGCCCTTCCGTAAGCTAAAACTAGCGTATAGGCAGATCGAATGAGACAGAACCTAGACTGGGACGGAAATTCTCAAGAAAAATATGTTGGATTTTTTTTAATACCGATGGAACTTTTAGTTTAACGACGCCAACCTGTCGAGATCCCATGTACATCCCAGTGGGATTCTGGAAAAATCCCAGCAGGTTAACAGCAAGTTCCCACCAGGATCTCGGAAAGACCCCGTGTGATTCCGCCAAGACCACAGCACGGCCTCGGGAAGAACCAGACAAGATCCCAACGGTTCCCCGGTGGGATACCAGCACCGCCTAGAATTGTTCTCTGACTTACTGAAACTTATCCTCAATATTACAAAGGTGCAAAAAATATTATCTGTCCCTTATAACAGACAAAAACTGCAGGCGTTTACATGTAACAGCATGCAGTCTAAGGTAGATAAGTATACAAGTAATCAGACTTTTTACAAATGATCTCTCAGCTTTTCTGATGTAAATTATGTTTATGATTACAAACCTTGTCAACAGGACTCGTACGCAATAAACCAATATATTTATTTTAAAAAAACTCCGTGCAACACAACAACAACATAAAGATATATCGCCCTTGATAGCCTGTCGTGTTTTTAATCACATCACCTTTGAAATCAAGTTCACTAAACTAGGCGTGGTTTTTATTTCAACGTGCTGTAAACATGACAACAATTTACTGTTAGCCGCTTACAAAGGAAACAGTCCTCTTAAGTGCAGATATCTCAAAGTTATTATCAGCTACTATCGAAAGTTATATACAGTAGTTACAAGTTGATTTTCGATGTTCGTTCTACGACCATATTCGTACAGTTCCGTCTGATCCACCGCTAACCAAGAACTCTCCTACACGGTCAAACAATACACTTTGTACTGCATCCTCATGCGCAGTGAGCTCAGGAGCCTGGCCTGTCGCCACTTCAATCATCTTGACCGTCCCATCATTACTTGCGACTCCAAGGACTGTGCCACTAGGGTCAAAGTCTAGGCGGTTGGCCGGGTGCGGCCCGAGATCTACAGTTTTCATGCAGGCCACAGTTCGCACGTCCCACATTTTTACAACACCATATGCATCACACGAGGCAACGGTATCACCCTGAGAAGCGTTCAAAAATGGGGTTTAATTATTACACAACCTAATCCTGGGAGAATATACAATTTGTATATTTGTTTGTGTGTAAGTTTTTGGTCTGTTTGTATTTTTTTTTTCTCTTTTTCCACAAAGAATCCATCAATAAACCTATCGGGAACCTGGCAACAACAATGTAATTTTTTTTTCAACTCGTTCAAATGGCGGAAAACTTTATCCGACGGATAAATCACTACCTCGCGTATTTGTTAACAAAAACCACTGCGTTATCCACTGGTTTGATGATTTATCGAGTGGATAATTTTATCCACCCTTTGAACAACCAGGTCCAAAACTATTCCCGTAATTTTATCAGATGTTACTCACTTCGGTTTTGTAATAGCGCAAAACAAGAACAATTACCCTCTTACAGTTGTCCGCTTAGAACAACAGATCGTGCCGTGCGGCGTTGGAGTTTTGCGGCTATACCTATCTGTGGACTATCTTAAAATTTGCAAAATAAAACGTTGCAGAAAACTATCACCTACAGTCTTGAAAAAGAAATCGAGGAAAGTACGCAGGGGATAGGGGAAGGCTTGTGGTTTAGTATGGTTGCGGTTTTAGTCCTTTGGGTTAAAGAACTTTAAGATTTGATAGAGTTCAGTAAAATGTCTCTGGTAACCCTAATTATCTGATGAAAATACCAACCGTATAAGGCATAGAAATACAATCAATCTGTATCCGCTTACCTTCAGATTAAACACCACGTGATTGCAGGAATGCATGTGTCCGTAAAACGTCTGAGCGCAGAGTCCCTAAGGAAAGCAAGCCACGTCATGAACTTTCCGTGAAAAGTTTAAGGTGCTGGGCAACGTCAACTGAATAATCATTTAAATGAAGTACATTGCAAGAATTCAGTTAGCTAGCAAGAACTTCATGTCCCTTAAAATTAAACCGGTCAGTTAAGAGAACAGAGAGATATTGTTTGGCCGAACTGCTACGTTCTTTGAGCAATGGCAGAAATTCTTCACGCTCCGACAATAACTGGTTAGGAGGCGTGCGGGAGTTTTGAAAGCGAAAGATCGCAAACAACGGTGCAAATTATAGCTCTCACCATCATTGCTTCACGAATACATCGCGAACTTCTTACAAATTCTACCGTGTCGAGTTGGGTAACTCCGCTCGCCTACCGGAGGAACGAACCTGCATGTAAGCCTGATCTTTAAGTTGCCTTTGCGTGTTACTTGTTCATAAATAAATATAAACAAAGAGTTTTCCTTACCGTTCTGGCGTCCCACAAAGAGAGCGTTTTATCAGCAGAGCAGGTCAGCAACGTGTTAGAGTATGGAAGGAACACTATACTATTTACAGAGTCAGCGTGACCGCGCAAAGTGTGTCGGCAGCGCTCACTGTGACAAGGAAAAAAAAATTTGACTTTCTGTCAAGCAAAACTTTTCTCAAAAATCACTTTAACCCTCTAACTCCCATGTGTGACCAAAACAGAATTTCTCCTAACTATATCTACACAATATCATACAGACAAGCGATGAGAATAAGAGAAATTTCAAATGTGGGATTACTAACTGATTCGATACCAAATTCTTCTAACTAATATAATGAGAATCGTTCGGCAGACAGTAATGAGATCTTGGGAGTTAAAGGGTTAGGGTACGTCTATATCTTGATTGTAAGCCTTAGTTTAATCAACCTTTGCGAATTGCTTCTCAAGCCCCCATTTTGAAGTTTGCGTGAAGTACTTCCAATCAGCCAAGATAGTTTTTTCGCCTAAACCCTTAGTTTTGCAGCTATTATCATTAGTCTTGCCACAAAATCTATTTCCATATTGAATGCTTAAACTGTACGATAATTACTATGTCGCAGCGTAAGTCAGAGGAATCAGAAATTACCTGTTGACATCCCAGACTTTAGAGGTGTTATCCATGGAACACGAAGCCAGAAAATCACCACACGAGTGCCAGGAACAGCCCCACACCGCATGGGTGTGGTCAGTGAAGGTCAGCACACATTCCGCTTTGGAAAAATCCCAGATCTTAACTGTCCCATCACCGGATGAAGTGGCTAGACGAGCGCCCCTGCAAAGACAACACGGCTCATGAAAAGGGGACTGGTTATACGGCCAGCAGTGCATGCGCAGCGCAAGTGCATTTACGTGAGCGCGAGCTAAGAAGTTTTTACTGTGAAAGTAAAGTGTTTACATTGACCGGCCAAGTTTCGAACCCAGACCCCTAAACCCAGAGTTCAGCGCACCGACCATTAGGCCACTTGTTCTCCCACGAAACACTCAACAAATTTTTTATGCTTCAAAGTAGAGGCACGTCCAGTACCTATCATTTTCTATATCGCCTGTCAAAGTAGTATCATCATTTAACATTGCTTTTTTTCTTCAGGCAGCTTCTATCACACTCCATTTACTTGGTTAACAACGAAATTCCAACTCAAAATAAATGTTAAACGTGGAAATAAGAAATAAAAAGATAAATAACTGAATTGTCGGGTCATACCCGGGGTGAAAGTCACAGTCGGAGAGCCAATCCTTGTGTCCTTCACCTGTCATAATGATGTCACCACTGAAACAACATTTCAAAATTGAATAAAACAAATAACATTTTTTAACGGTGGATAACATTTAAGAGAACAAACGACCCTTCCAAGTGAGCTGTGGTTCATGGAATTGCACAAAAAAAAGCCCAAGAAAATTCCGGGTCCGACAACCACATACTAATTGGCGCTACCACCGACTGTACTACGAAGACATATTTTGAGAGCGATGAAAATTCTAAAGGATTCTCCAAAACCGTGAGGGAATCCGAACTCTTTAGAGAGAACGAAAACCTCTGAAACAGGGTCATTGTTATTCGAAGAGTTTAAAAGATAATTTCGTCTTACAGTACACGTAAATAAACATCGCTTTATACAAGCTTCATGTGCCTATGAATCGAAGTTGTCCGCATACGCAAACAGTTGTCCGCAAACGCAGTGGCTAATGCGTTGACATAAAAGTGTATTGGTTTTCTTTGGGTCGACGCGTTTGCAACCCGACTGAGTATTCGTTTATTTTCAGCGCAGTACCATCGACTCTGTACTTTTAAGAAGAACTGCTCACAGAATTCCATTTTCGACGACAAAAAAATTACAAAATTGATGATGCCCGAAAAGGCAGTTCACCTTGGCACACCCCACATCTTCCAGCTCCAGTCATCACTGACTGTGGCCAACACTTGTTTTCTAGGATGCAGAGCAAGTCTGTAAAAAGGAACCAAAAGATGTGTCAAGGATTGAAACCAGAAATTTTAACATAAGAATTCTAATACTGCAGACGAGGAACGATATCAAGGCTGCTTTCGGTTGAGGATCACTGAAGAAGCATTAAGAGGAGCAGCCTTGAGTGACAAAATCACTGGTCCCTCTACTATAAAACCAAGTTAACGAGATGAGCACGCGATAGGCGTGCTTGACGGAAGGTGGTTCCCTTCGTCGTGGTAATGCTAGTCTTCCGCTACCTCACAATTTTGCATCTGATTGGTTAAGACGATGGCGTAAGACTTTTCTTGACCAACCACAGAGCAGAGCAAAGAAAAACTATTCCACCCCGGAACACTTTCGGCAGTAGATTACATATTGCCATGAGACAGTTCTTACCCGCTGACTGGTAGGTTATGAGCACTGATGGTGTGCGTCAATCTAAAGCCACCTGAACGAGTCAAATGCGCAGACGGGCCCCTGTGATGTGCAAGCTGAGGATTGACTCGACTGTCAGCAGGGAATTCTGAATCCTGAAGTTAAACAAGAATTACATTTTGTACCTTGCAGTATGAAATTTTTACGTCAATTTTCATTGTAAAGGCACATACAGTAGCTCTGTAAGGTGACGCGAACATCAGGAAGAAAATTTATTTAGTCAACTGCTAAAGAACAAGAGAATATTCTCTGAAAGATAATTATTACCGTCTGATCCAACTCAACACATCCACACAAACTTTCGTGAGTATATAAACATAATCCATAGGGATTTACTAATTACAGGATCAGGGAGTCATAAGACCCAAGACCATACAGGTCTGCATTATCTCACTAGCAGTAAACGAGACTCTGAAACAGCTCTCTTGTTTATGTTGACATACTATACATGTACAGTCCCATCGTCTCGATTTTTTATGGTCTGCTAATTTTAATGTTGTTGAGCCTTTCATAAAGTATTTATCATTATCTAATTGTGTCTAACTCCGAAAAAAGGGTCCTGTTTTAGTGAAAATATACCTTTGGATGTTTACTTTGAACCATCAGATGAGGATCAGCTTCATCTCTGCGTCCAGCTGAAGGGCGATACTGTGACACTTTTTTCTGAACCTCTCCACCTTCAGTTGAACAAAACAAGATTAAAATAAAAAAATTTAGATTTTAGCATTAGCACTTCCATGGGTAACTCGTTGTCCAGTGTTTCTTACTCAAATTTGAAGTTGGAGGGTTTGTTTAAATAGCCAGTGTACAAAACCAAAGAACTGAGAAAAAAAAAAAAAAGAAACCTGTAGCAAGGAGGTGAACTGATAACAAAGTTTCACACAATCTTCAAGTTACTGTTATGTTGTGTGGGTCTGAAAATCGAACCCAGGCCACAACGGTGATGGGTGAGTTCTCATACAATGGTACTATCCTTGTACATCCAGTGTGCAGTTCTTTGTCAAGAGCTGTTTTTTTTTTTTTGTTCTTGTTTTAAGTGTTGTTTTTCCAGCTTGTTTTGTTCTTGTTCTGTTTTGCACAAGGTGCAAGCACAGTTTCTTGAGACAAGAACCCCTTCGTGACAGATTAGTAAATTATGCTTTCATTTTTAATGTTACAAACCTTGAGTGAGCTCTGATTGGTTCCCTCCAACTTGATGAAGAGTTGTCTGAAGCCCAGTCATCTAAAAGAAAAAAAGAGGATTGGGAAAATCACGTTACAAAAGAGTTTTATAAACTGATGACAATGCACATGAGGATATTGACACTGCTATATGAGACAAAAAAAACAATGTCACAACTGACCTGTCCAACTGCTCTGTCTCTTTCAAGTTTGGTCAACATTTTCTCCTTCATGGCCACCTGCAGGAAATTAAAAATAAACAGATACATTTTTTTAAAAAGGAAAAGGAAATCACTGTATTTGAAAGCTGTTCAATTCTAAATGAGGAATCAACTTGTAAAGTCTTTTCAAAATTGAACTCAAATATTGATAAAAGCTTAAATATAATTATTAATTATTATTAATAGTACAATTACAGTACCTCATATTTGTGTTTCAGAGTCTGAAGGGTGGGCTCATAGGAGGAATAGTGCTTCTTCAGTCTAAGACACAAAACAGCATTGTTACAGTACTGAACAGCATTGTTACAGTGCTGAATAGTATTGTTACATTACTGAAAATTGCAAACTTATCAGAAAAATCAGAAGTGACTGGCTTGAGATATTTTCATAAATCATGTTAGCAGTGCAACAAAGCTGTCAGACTTATGCCTAAGTACAGTTGTTACAACATTTACGAGGCAGCCAAAATCACAGCCTAGCACTGTGCTTTTAAGTGGTTGGATCTAATTGTCTCACAGAGTTTAAAATAACCACAAAAGCATAGTTCAAATCAAAGCAATTAATCAACAGAATACCTGCAATTGATTAACTTTAAGTTAAAGAAAATTCTGTTTTTCTTTCCATTATTTTGTTTTCTTTCAAAGCTTTCTACCAAGATGTCATTGTTTTGGTAAATTGAAAGTAACAAAAGTTGCTTTAAATGTTTTTATTCCTTTAATATTTTTCTTGGGGAATTAGTGCAGAGCTGACAAATAGCAATCCACCTGCATGTGTCTCATGTCTGACTGCAACGTTCAGCAATATACATACAAGCTACTTTTATGTCAGTTTAAACAAGTACATGTAATTAGGTACCTTTTAATATCAGTAATAAGCCTGTTCTTCTCTTGAACAACTCTCTTGTGGTGCATGCGATGAAAATCTCTTTCTTTTTTCAACCTGACAAATGCCTGCTTTGCCTTTCTGCCAAGTAAAAAGAGGGGTTAGGAAATAAGTAGGTAAAAGTTTCTTATGCAAACCTGTCTGATAATTTTCAACAAAGAGAATGCCCTGTTGAACAACATTTATTTAGGAAGCTGGGGGGAGTTTACTTACTCAGCAGCTTCCTTGAATTTATTTACTTCTTGACGGAGAGTAGCCACCATGTCATCCAACTGCTGGTTTCTACAAAAATAAATACCGCAAAAATTTTTCGGTTATGTTATTATTGTGTACATGTCATTTGTAACAACTTCACTGTGTTGCACAATATGTGTATCCCATTTGTTAAAGATTCAAAGGAGAAGTACTGTACAACCATATGCTTTAAGAAAGTGCTCTGATGCATGAATTAATCCTAAATAGATTGATTTATAAATTTTGCATGCTGCAAACAAACGGTAAATTTTAGAACATATGATATTAAAGGGTGGACTGATCAGAGGACATTAACATGAAACCTTTACCCACTAACATCAACATGCAAATTCTCCATACCTTTCTAAATACATCTGCAAAGGTGCTGACAGGGAGAATTTTTTTGACTATCAAAAGCTTCTTTAGTTAATTATCATTTCCTTTATTCATGTAACCTTATTGATTGATTCAGGGTTGATGTTGTAAGGAGAAGTAAGATATTAGTCACTCCTTGTGATCAAAGCATTTACACAAACTTACTTCACATAAATGTCTGGTACGACTCTCACATCCTCTTCATTAAGTAATCCTTTTTGCAATAACTCATACCTAAAAGTGTCACAACCAAAGATTTAAATAACCAAACATATTTTTGAAAAGAGGTAATAGTCAAAAAACCAATTTTAAACTAAGATTACTGATGAATCTGTCCTTGTACAAATATTCAGCTCACCACTCAGTGTCACAACCAAAGATTTACATACCCAAGCATATTTTTGAAAAGAAGCAATAACAAAAAACCAATTTTAAACTACGCTTACTAATGAATCTATCCTTGTATAAATATTCAGCTTACCACTCAATGTCTCTACCCACAATTTACATTCCCAAGCATATTTTTTAAAAAAGTCAAAAATTAAAAACCAATTCTAAACTAAGAATTTACTGATGAATCTGTCCTTGTATAAATATTCAGCTTACCACTCAGTGTCATAACTGAAGATTTAAATTCCCTAGCACATTTTAAAAAGGAGGCAATAATCAAAAACCAATTCTAAACTAAGATTATTGATAAATTTGTCCTTGTATAAAAATTCAGCTCACCACTCAGTCTGAAAACAATCTAGTGTTCTTGTCATTCCCATTTTAACAAGAAAATTTCTCACAAAATCTTCCACAATCTCTGGTCTCTGGTAATAAGCCAAAAAAATAAGAATTAATTATACAATGAAAGTAGTATTTGCCCTCTCTAAAATGGGAAAGTTCTAGTAATTAGTTAACATAAATTAATGCTACTTACTGTTGTAACTGTGGCTTTCACTGGCTCAGTCTTTTGCTGTCAATTAAATCATATACAAGAGTTATGTTGTTTTTCATTCAGTTACAAAACTTTAGCATGTGTACATGTACTTTAATGCCTGCACATTTGCTGAATATATATCTTTACAGGATACAAGAAAACATCTTTTCCCTTTAACTCGTGGTTACTCTATCTTTTGTGCACTGTCTTAAAAAGTATCTCATGAGAGACCTTTTTTCACATGCACCAATACTGGGCAATCCCATACAATAATTCACAATTTACAAGTAGCTCACAACATACTGCTAACAATTCATCACTAGTCTTTTCTTGCACTGTTGTAAAAGCTGTTTCCAAATCCTCATCTCCATCTGTTCAGAGAAGCAAAGTCGCCAGAACAGGCAAATTAAATACTAAGGATTTTAATAAACAAATGCAGCAGAAGGAGATAGTTACAGGGTAAGTAACAACATAATAGGCTACATGCAGAGATCTCTTAAATTACTGAAAAGCCTAATTTCTTCTCTATCATATTCAAGTAAATTTGTTTTTCTGGCCTCAAATCTCCTCTTAATAACAAGACGAAGAACTTAAAGTTTTACTGCATCCAAATAAATGAATAATGTCTTCCATGATAAAAGAGCCCCATACAGCTACATGTAGCTCAGTATGTCTGCATAAAAAATAGCTTAATAGGCTTTTAAAATCTTGCAAGAAAATTCTATGTCGTAGGTTGAGAATTCTCCCAGCTCCCCTGTAGGATGTACACCTCAACAGATATCAATAGGGCTTTTCAAGTTTTTTTTTTTCAAAAAATGACTTCAAGTTCGCACTTTTAGCAGGTGATCACTGAGAACATATTAAGAAGTGCACTTAATTTTTTCATATGTTTACCTACTACAGAATACTCGTCTTCCAATGGAACCTAGAATAATAAAAAATGAGGCAATAATTTTCTGAGGTTCAATTTGTCAATAATCAGCACAGTTGAGATGAGTACTAAATAAGAGATGAAGATCTCTGCTGTAAAAGAATATATCAACCATATTATTTGAAACGGCTGGAAAAAAACTTTAAACCACAAGCGCTACCTCTTCATAAGCAAACTCGTCATCACTGTCTTCCGCTACTGTCACCTCTGATTAAAAAACGTTAAAGATTACAACATCAAAATAATTGTTTCAGTGTTTTCAAATTGAATACAAGTTACAAGATAAAGTTAAACGTTTAAGATTACAACCACAAGAACTACCGATAGTTTCAGTGTTTTCCTACTGAAATACCCCATCCAAACTACAAATAAAGGCTAGGCAAATTTACTTGACTTCTTTGACAGTAGCAATGACCGTTTGAAGGCGAGCCACTCAAAAGCTGATTCCGTGCAGTATGAACACAGTTTGATAACAGTTCACTAGTGTTTGAGCTTCACACACATCATCATGCCACCTAAACGTTGAAAGTTTACGACAGTTAAAATTGACATTATTGTCGTACTGCTTCACGCCAATTACAAATACGCCTACTTTACAACATATTCGAGTCTTCATCATAATTCTAGATGGGGAAATAGTGGAGGAGAGTACAGAGGCACACAAAAAGGATACGTTCAAGATAGAAGACTCCTTGTTCGTCCGCCATTTTTGTTTCTTGTCGTTGCTAAGGGTGACGTCGATACCTCATCAAGTGACCAGCGGTACTGTTATCGACCATAGACTTATTAATGTCCGAGTCACTAGGCGAAACTAAAGGCTAAAGAGAAAGGGGCGCCCACTATTAAGTGGAAATAGCATACTGTGTGGAAGTAGCATAGAAAGCTGCGTTCACACAGAAATATGCATGACAAAGGCAACGAAAAGTGCGAAAAATTATGCGACTGTGTAATACCGTCGGACCTTTTCATTTATCTTTTTTTTTTTCCCATTAAAAATATTGTGCTCCGTCGTTGTTGCTTCCGTACTTGATATCAATTTCCCTACGCTGTTAGATAGTGGCTCTAGGATAAATCAAATCGAATAATCTCCCTTAAAAGCTACTTATAATCACACCAATTACTGTCGTAAATTTAAATAAATTTTATTGAAAAAAGTGTAGAGTTTTCCATGCGCTTCAACACTAATTAACGCGCATTACACCTAATACCTTTCAACACTACATCTATTTACCAATGTTTATGGCCAAGTAAAACATTTTAATACAAAGAAAAATTGTGATGTCTCCGTATGGTTCAAAACTCTTTTTAACGTATTTTTACAAATAACGTAATAGATTTTTCACACTATTCAAATTTGTCAGTGAAGTTTTTCACGAGACTTTAGAATAGACGATCTCTATTTCTAAATGTTAATGATTTACATTACTACATTCCAAGCTCAAAAATTAAATTGGGCAAGTAGTATTGAAAATTTTGGGGCTACAAATAAATGGAAAAACATCCATATAATTCTAATTATAGTAACTCGCTGTGCGTCTGTTTAGCTTACAGATAACAGACGATGTCATAACGTGATAGCTGAGTTTGTCACTGATGTTCTAACCACATATTGACATCTTTTTTGATCTTTTACAGTACAGACACACGGCAACATGGAATATATATTTACATCATACAATAATAAAATAACATGTTTGTAATGATGACGTCATCTTTGCGTCAGTCCTCCGATAGATTAAAACTAAGAAGTAATCAAAACGCGTGATTCAGCTTACTGTGGAAAAGTAAATGAAAGCCCTGTATTACATACATGAAGTTATAAACATAGCTTCCGCCAGTGAGAAAGAAGTCCATTTCCTCATTATCAGTTAAATCCATACAGAGGATAGTATTGTTAGTGAAAGCAAAATCTCTCGGCTAAGTCTCTTCGATTTAAACACTTGTCGCACAATGCTTGATACAGAAAAAGATACGTGGCATTCGAAGCGTTTTGTTGCTTCCACTGTCGTAACATTTGATGAGCCTTGTCAAAATAGTCATGTCTCCTATTATCGATGTTATCAAGGTCTTCCTCTAGAACACCCAGCAGGAGTCCAAGCTTCCTCCAGTCTTTTGAGATGACGTTCGACAGTTCCGCGTGATCATCACTACATAGAATGCCTCCTTTCAAAATTTTCCCTAGGAGTATTGAAAGGAATGTCATAAAAGAGCGCAGTAGAAGAATGAAAAAACTAGAATTTGTTTAAAGAATATTGACACACCTGCGAGAGACACTTCCTCGCGGATAAACGACTCCCTTCCTTGATTTGTCCCTGGTCTATCAAAATCTGCAAATAAAGAGTGTATGATTGGATTCAACCTTGACCGCGCTGAATCTTGGTTAAACGAGGAAACAATTGAAAGAAATCAAAGCTATGGAGACAAAAGAACTCTTTAAGTAAGAGGGGAGGGGGGGGTAGGAAGGGAGGGGCTTCTAAAAATATGGGGGGGGGGTAGAAGTTAGGCCGCTCATTCGAGGTTAAACATTTAAATACATTTTAGCTGATAGCAAGGGTGCTCTAGGGTAGGCACTGATTCGGAGATCTTCGGATTAAACTCAGTCTCCTAAGTGCCTGAACCAATTACGATGTTCTCGAAGATTGAATTTTACAATGTCTATAATCTGCAACATCGTGACCTTAAAATATGACATATGTTACATGGTCGAGAAACCTTAGCGGGAACAACTGATTGCGCAATCTCGCACGGCAGATCTCGCTTTCCGAAATGAACAGGACTGCAATGCGCCGAAGAGGAGATCCCTGACGAAATATAAAAAACCCTCAGGTCTGTTTCATTCTTCAACATTCCTGAGCAAGTCTCTCGGTCAGTAGGACCAAGAAAAAAAAGGAGGCACCCAAAAAGAGTGAGGGTCATACAACCTTTACGTCGCTCGCCAGCCCTTTCACTTCTCTCCACAGATTGAGAGCCTGGTAAAGGCAAATATATGTGGCTCACGGAGCTTACGAGTTTTGAAAAATACTCACGGCTATAATTTCATTTTTAAGTCCAAATATTATATTATTTTTAAGGGAAAACGAGCTTGTTTAGTTGCCCTCAACTTAAGAATGTCGGTCATAAAGTGTATTCGCATTCTGACCTCCACAAGGTATCAAATTAGTTCGTTGGCTTGTCCTCATGACGACAGGGGCAATGAAGGCATACATTTTTCCTCTTGGTCAGTAAATGTTGACTTTTTACGAGAAACGTTCGACAACCAAGAAAAGGTATAGTCGAAACTTTACGCACTTTTCTAGCAAAACTAGTAATAATTAGTTACCATTAGTCTGAGGAAAGCTTTGTAAAGACTTACCACTGTAGTTTTTGTCAGTGGCATCCTCCAATATCTGAAACCAAATAAATTACTCGTAGTGTTAGTATTCTCCAAATAACCATCCAAAGGGCAAACCCAACCATTATAGGGACAAAAAGCTTCCGAGCAAAGTCCTGAGTCGTGAAATCAACTGGAGCATTAAATAGGAGGCAATAGGAATGTACTTCTTCAACGTTTTAAATGTTATCATTTCCAGTCTTAAGGCCACTCAGAGCTTTATTAAGGTCTGACCAAACCTGATTCCAATCCCCTTTCCAGGTTAAATGGAACGAAAACCTGATCGCAAGAAACTTGAATTAGCTTTACCTGACTCCAAGTCTTGGGCGGACAAACCTTTGGACCCCGCAGTGTATGCGAGCAAACGACAGGCTTCCTTGTCAAGGAAACATAATGCACACAATCATCATGGCAACAATCTGCTTTCGCATGCCAATAACACTTTGCGGTTCCGGGAACAAACTGGGGCCGACACAAATTGCACCTCGCGCAGAGATCCCATGATACTATTTGCAGCCAATGATTCTCCTCGTGCAGCCTCTCCAAACTAGTCTTCAAAAAGCTGAAAGAGAGGGAAAGACTTTTATCAAAGGGGTTGATATTTTCTCTTAAATATCTTTCACGTGGATACATTAATGTCCGGAAAGTACGTAATGTACACAATGTTCACCCCAGAAAAATGAACTAGACTTTAGCCTCCTTTAAAACAACATCGTAACTATGACACGCATTACACTATCAGAGGGTTGACAATGTTATGAACAAACTAAACTTGTCGGATCAATTCACATCGCAACAAAAACCACTTCTGATTTCACGAACTAGTAATTCGTTTAAAAGTTACCAACCGAATATAGAATGACTCACTTACGTGCACCTACCTTAAGACCTCTCTGCAAACGTTAGGCTCGGTGTACACAGGGTTCATACTTTGATCGATGCAATTCCAAACGTGTACTTTGATCACACGCTTGTAGCAAACAAAATCGACTGCAGTGTGGTCTCCCACAAAGAAACGAGCAAAGTTAGCCCGGAGCTTTGGTTGATCACAGGCAATCCGTCTTTGTGCAAATTCGAGGCAAAGGACAACCATTCTTGGAAAGAGACCAACTGGGACGTACTGAGTGGTGAATGTGACATAAACGGGTGCAGGGCCTGGGTTAACAGAAACGTCCGGCATAAATGCATCGTGCGGTGTGGAGGTCAGCATGCACGGAACAAGATACACGGAACCGCCATCTTTTCCCGTATATTCACAAAGAAGGTTGAACTTCTTCATGAGGAAAAGTAAAGACTCCTTGATGTCGCCAACACCCAGTTCTGTGCAAGAGTAATCAAGCAGTTTAGCATCAAGAATGCCGTACTTGCCAAGATCTTTGCGGAGATTTGAAATGAGAGGTTTCTCTTCTTTCTGTTTTTCAACCGTTATTATCTGACACAAAACATCAATCAACCACTTTTGATTCAAAAAAACCAGACTACCTGGATCGTCAGCCCTACCATGATAAACCACTGAACCACGATCGTGCAAAAAGTGTAAAAGTACTTCATAGTCATCTTCGACCTCAAATTTGCAAATTTCGTCACAGATATTCTTTCGGAAGTCTTGCCTTGTGACATAATTTGTCCCCGCGCTTGCTAGATTACGAACTTCATTTTCCACTTGAAGCCACTTTAAAGGAACCACATCTTTTGTATGTGGCAAGGTATCTGCAACCTTCAGAATCTCTTTCCGTAAGGCAACAACTTGGGGATCTTCTTCCTCTAGTTCCTTACCTGCAAGAGTGTTGTTCACTGCAAATGTTTTTCCGATTATGTGTTCACTGAACTCTCTTGCTGTGTCACAAATAATGTCCTTTACCCTCGTAGTCACGATTTCGGGGTCTTTTACAAGGTCGGCGCGTGTTCCAACCAAAATGACAGGTGGCAATACGTCGCCGTTCTTTTTGTGTTTGAAGGAATTCACCATATCCATCCACCTCATAATGTGATCTAGGTTTGTGTCATTCTTGTCAGGAGACGAAATCTTAACTTCGTCGCAACCAGGCTCTTTCACCAAACATTGGGCTGGGGCAGAAAGATCTTTGGTAGGATCAACCACTAGCAGATAAACTGCTTCACGCGAAGCGAGAATAGGATGAATAGCACGGTAAATGGCTTGACCACCAAAATCCATGCAAACTGGCCAAATGCCGTCATCCTTCACTAACTCTATCCCCGAGAGGTTATCAGTGGTAAGTCGCACCACTTCATCGGGCATGTCACTGTTTCGCTTCTCATTATGCCCGTTGTCCCCTTCTCTTGTCGGAGAAGTTTTATCTGAGTTCACCCGAGTCCTCGGTTCTCTGCCATGATCCTGCTTTCCCTGAATTGAACCGAAAACACAAACATGTCAATTCAATTAGCAAAGGTGGAATGGAAGTGGGCCATTCATAAATAGCTTAAATATCACCTTTAAATATGAATGAATAATAAAATGTATTAAAAACCTTTGGTGAGCTCTTTGGTCCAACCTCATTGAAGGATTCTGAAAAACAATTAGCTTTGATTAACTCCAGTTAACCCAGTAATACTTCGCTGTTGTGCTGTGGTTGTCGTTGCCGTCTTTTTCCCCCTCTTTGTCTTTTGCTTTAATTTGACGGCTTGTTTTTCAGGTTTAAAAACGTAAGATTATAATTTTGCGTGTCGAGTAAAGTTGTAGAATACTCGAAAAAATTCCGTGTTACGATGAAGTCGTGAGCTTAGCCATGCATACTGATTTACAAATAACATGATGTGATCAAAGATTGTTCTAGAAGCATATCTACACGAGTGAAACTCATGTCAAGCTGTTGTTGGTATCACTCGATAAGACGTAAACAAAGATGTGTTGCAGACCTGCCGAGAAAACGGCTTAAATAACGACGTAAAAACCTATTTTAAAAAAACGTCGTTACTTGTGTGCGAGGTGTTGAATTTTAAAACTCCAACGATAAACTATCTCCTTCCGGTCTTAGTAGCAACTTGTAAAAGGTAATGTAACGTGCTACCTCCGTGATTTGCTAGCGGAAAGTTTTTCAACAACACAGAAACCATACATACCCAGGTTTGATCCTATTTCACCGATCATTCCCTCTTTTCTTTGTGTCTCATCAGTCTCTGTTTGCTTCGTAACTTCGTTTGGTGGTTCAGTTAATAACTGGTTACTAATATTTTGAGCACATTTGTAATGGAAGGTATTTTTTTCTTGTTCCTCTTTGGAATTCTTCCATGGTTTTTCACTAACATGTTTCAGAGGCATGTCTATTTGCACCCCCACTGTGCTCGATTCATCTTGTCGGAATAGTTCACCTTTCAAAGAACGTAAGACACTAGTTTTGCCAACCCGGTCTTGGCCAATCAACAAGATTTTAGCCCGCTTATCTAATGTCTTTCCCGTTTCAAGAGCTCTCTGATAAGCGGCCTTCGCGATGGATCCTCTGGCCAATATATAAGGCCGGACTAAGCGCACAACTTGCAACTTGCTCAAAGAAGGGGCATCAGCTCTTTCAGTGCTATTATTTTTGCGAAGAATGGTTTTCACTCGTTCATTCCAATCCTCTGCCTCCTTAGGCATACCAATGACATCACAGATGTTGGCCAGGTTTCTGTAACACTTTGCCACAATTATATTTTCAGGTCCCGACCTCTTCGCAAGAATGTCACGCGCACTCTCAAAGTTAATCTTTGCTAGCACAAGATGACCAATGGAACTATATACGGTCCCCAAGATACTGTAAGAAAAAGCCACGAGATCGTGCTCACCTCCAAAATTATTCGAATGAATATCTAGCGCACGACCATGATAGTCCTCTGCTTCCTGAAATTCACCGCAGGCAAGAAATACGTCCCCCAAGCCATAGTAAGAAAAAGCCACGAGATCGTGCGTAGGTCCAAAATTCATCAAACGAATATCAAGCGCACGACCATGATAGTCCTTTGCTCCCCGAAATTCACCGCAGGCGAGAAGTACGTCCCCCAAGCCATAGTAAGAACATGCCACTTCAACATGCTCAGTTCCTAGTCTCTTCAAACGAATATCCAGCGCACGACCATGATAGTCCTTTGCTTGCTGCAATTCACCAAAGACAAGACATACGCTCCCCAAGCCATAGTAAGAACATGCCACATCAACATGCTCAGGTCCTAAATCCTTCAAAAGAATATCCAGCGCACGACAATAATAGTCCTTTGCTTGCTGAAATTCATCAAGGACAAGACATACGTTCCCCAAGCCATTGTAAGAACTTGCCACCTCAACATGCTCAGGTCCTAAATTCTTCAAACGAATATCCAGCGCACGACAATAATAGTCCTTTGCTTGCTGAAATTCACCAAGGACAAGACATACGTTCCCCAAGCCATAGTAAGAACATGCCACCTCAGCATGCTCAGGTCCTAAATTCTTCAAACGAAAATCCAGCTCACGAAAGTAATTGTCCTTCGCTTGCTGAACATCACCAAGGAACCAAGATGCTGTTCCCATGATACTGTAAGAGGTTGCTGGGTCAGTCATGCTCAGGTTCATCCTTCTTCAAATGAATCTCCAGCGCACAATCCTGAAAGATGTTTCCTTGCTATGGTGAACTTAATATGGTTCCATGATGGTTCTTCGCCGGCTTGAGGTTATCAATGATTCCTTAAATGGTAGTTATCTATGTAACTGACAGCAAACTTGTTTTACTACAGCGACATGATAATCTAAAAAAAAGAGTTATAGAGGCTTGAAGATATCACAGGTGAGGAAGTTGTGTTTAGATTTAAATGTTGGGTTTAAAATAGAAAACGTTGGTGCCCAGCATGAAAAAACCGTGTTGTGAATTAATCACTAGGCGAAAGGTTCGTTCAAGTCTTTAAAAAAGACCTTTTGTCGCTCCTTCAAGCTCCAAATTCGTCTCTGAGATGCTAAGCCTTAACCGCCCCAGTCCCCACGACTAATCCCAGTCTCTGACTCAGAGTCGTGGAGACTCCGCGACAAACGGCCTTACAAGTTCACTTTTTTTTATAGAGAAAGACGAAATTACAAGAGTTTTCTTTGAGTCAAAAGGTAAGAAGAGAACACATATAGTGAATGGTTTTGACTGAAAAAGAATCAGTATTACTAAACAAATTCTAACCTGAAACAATTGTTAGGAACGACCTCCTAGGCCAGTTACCTGAGGGGTTACAAATTCCACAACTTTCTCCTTCAAGAGGAGAGAACGAAGGTTTCGTGTCATTTGAGAAATGCAAAAAAAATAACGGAAGTTTTAGATGCAAAAGATTGCCTGGTGGAGATGGGTTTACATTCGAATTCTGCTCGTCTTTTTTTAAGTTTACTAGCAATGAACTCGCAAATTCTCTCAATGCTGGCCGTGAAGATAGCTAACCATCAATCTCGCAACGAAGGGTGGTAATAAGTCTCGGTTATACCAACAGACACCTTTGAAAACTGCTAAAGAACAACTTGATTAGCATTTACACAACGGACAGTCACGATTTTTCACGAGATTGGCTTATTTTCCTTGACACAAAAATATTAGAGAAATGTCTCCGGTGTTCACGATTTCTTGTATTCCCTAATAACACAATGCAGTCCAATTCATAGTCAGATCTTACATAAACACTTTCCCTGTAGATTCTATAAATCTACTATATAGAGATCTCTCAAACATGCTAAACTGAATTACTATGAAGAGATTAAACAACGAGAATTTCCTTTCAAATTTTTTCACAAAATTGTCCTACTGACAGAAATACTTCCCAATTACCAAAAAAAATTGATTTTTATTAAGATGGTGAGTTTTATTATTTAAGCCTACTGTTTAAATGAAAGATGATTTAAATGAAAGATCTTAGCTGCGAGGATCTCCTAATTTCATCTTTCCACCGCAGTGCAAATATGTGAATTTTCATATATCTAAAATCTTCATTCACTTGAAAGATGATGTTATTTAGTGAATGGCATATTCAGAAAAAAATAATAACTCCGAGAGATGTCAATAGGGGTCGACCCGACAACCTTTCGATTAGTAGTTCGGAAGTTTGTCACCATGGGCCTAGCTTAATGGCCAAGCCTGTCACGAGTCTCCTATAGCTCAGTGGTAGAGTATTCAGAGAACTCATCGGAAGGTCGTATGTTTCATTCCTATTGGGAGCAATTGTAGTTCTTTTACTCCGAGTACGCCTGTGTCATTCACCACATAACATCTTCTTTGATCAGTATTGTTTGTCAATTGTAGAGATGATCACAATAATCACGGCTTCATAAATGAAGACAAATGACTGACGTAAAACTATACGCAACAAACTGGACAAAATGTAATGTATGTATTACCACAATTTGTTCAAAATTATGCAATTTTACCGTAATAAGGAAATGGAATGGGCAAAACATGCCATGTTCCACTGCGTAACAGAGCAAAAATACTGACTGAAAGCAGAGCAATAAAATGGCCAGACTCAAAGATCCTAACCTTGAGTTTGTCTTTTGTTTAAGTTTTGGGCTAATACCTGCGAGCCTGCCTGCAACCTCTTAATGGTGCTGATGAATAAAGGGGGTAATTTTCTACAAAAACTTTAGTACCGTGTCAGTGGGAGAGTATAACAGGGTATTTTAGTATTATCAACTGAGTTGATAACGTAAATTGGCCACCGTAAAGAGTGACATCAGCACAAGTGACATCAGCACAAGTGACATCAGCACAAGTGACATCAGCACAAGTGACATCAGCACAAGTGACATCAGCACAAGTGACATCAGCACAAGTGACATCAGCACAAGTGACATGAGGCCTTTGAGCAAGCAAAGCCAGTGTGGCATAGGTCTTTGGGGGGGGGGCCTTCATTTCCCAGCCAGAACCCTTAAGGACCTTGCATGCTCTTGCGTTGCCGTAACATGGAAACCTACAAGCTTCCCCACCCTCACAGCAATACCGAGGAGTGGGCTGCAAGCAAGCCCCATAACAGCATGCTTCCAGAACAGGAGAGACAAAAATTACTTCCAAGTAAGTAAGGGGGACTATGAAGATCAAAAACAGATTCCACGAATTTAAACAATTTCACAGAATGTGTGGTGGTCTTCATCTTAAATATCACCAAAAGATGGGGGTAAATTTATCACCCACATAGATAACTTTCAACCCAACCCCTAATGCCTAAGGGCATTAGATTGCATACCTAGAAGGCAGAGGTAGGCTGCCATAGTTGGAAAATCATTCCTTAATGCCCCTGAAAGGTTTCTGACCCACAGGCCAGAATCCCAAGGAGAAATAACAGTAGTCCCTTCATATAAGCATATATATATGTTGAATTGATAAAAAAAATTAAGAAAGGAAAATATCTGTGTATAGTGGGCTAAATTATCCTGATTTGAAAAAAACTAGGTCAGCTTAGTCATATTGAACAGTTTCTTATGGGTAACTACAATGTCTCTTCCTTTCATTATATGTCACTCTCGGAGAATTTACAGAGGTGAGTATATTTCATTGTATTTATCTCTTTAGATGCAGAAGTCATTCCCCAGTGCCGGATAGAATTGTTTGATATGCAATTACTCGATATTTCAGATAAAAATAAGGAACAAAATCAAGATACTCTATCCAATTTAATGATAGTATGCTAAGAGAAATCAGAGGTCAATTAAAAAAATATAAAATATCAACCAGTCATATGGATAAGCATCTCCTTAAGAAACTTCATTGTGTAGTATCTAATAAACCCAGGTCCTTCCTTTAGCGGAAAAAAATGGTTTGAATAAGAAAAAAAAACCCTGAAAATATTTGGTGTTATCCAGATTTTAGACATCTGCATTGGCACACATCCTATTAGTAACCACTAGGACACCAGCTATAAAATGCTATTGAAAATCCACTCCTTCAATGCTTCCTTTGAACCAGCCAAGCAAAACAAACAAACCAATCCAAAAAGATAGACAAAAGTGCAGTGTTATAAATTACCATCTGTTATAAATGGTATGCATGAAAAGAGAGATAAATTTGGATACAAGGGGCTGTTATTTTAAAAAACAAAGTTTAACCCTTGCTCATCCAAACTGTGCTCTCAACAATCTTAACCCTTTCACTCCCATGATCTCAGAAGCAATTCTCCTTACTATCTGCCATACAGTCCTCAAAATGTTAGTTTAGAGAATTTGGTTTTGGATCAACTTATAATCCCTTAATTGATATTTTTCTTTATTCTCATTACTTGCCTGCTTGATATTGTACTGATATTGCAAGAAGAAAATTCTGTCTTGGTCACTCATGGGAGTGAAGTAAAAAATATCACCTAAGCAAGGTGAAAGGGCTTGTTTTAGCAAGAAAGATCTAATTACCTCAAACCCCCCTCCCTGACAAACTTTCAAATTCCATTGATCATAAAAATCTGCTGCCCAATTCAGACTTTGTTCCAATAATGAACCCTAACTGTTTCTATATCATATCTTTTCACAAGAGAATGGAAATTAAAAGTTATTTCATGCTTTCCAGTTATCTTACTGAGTGGAAGTCTCACCACCAGTAAATTTGCCACCAAGCTCACTGGCTAATTAGGAAAAAATTCAAAGCTTTCAGCAACTCTTAAGTTTGATCTTGAGTCTTGTGAGCATCACCATAAGAATGCCATGAGCAATACCGCAGAGCCAAGCTGAAAGCTTGATAGTTTTTCAAGATGGCAGAAGATGAGTTAAATGTACATAACAATTGAAATGCTACCGATCTGATCCAATCAAAGAAATATCAAACAGATCATTGAACAACAAAGTCAAGCCTGTAAATATTTAAAATGTTCATCAAA